CGCAGAGCCAACAGTAACACAATACAGAGAGCCGGAAGTGGCGCATGCGCAAAGCCAACAATACCATAAGACAGAGACCCGGATTTGGCGCATGCGCAGAGCCAACAGTAACAATGGCGGGGCCTGAATGCAGCGCATGCGCAAAGCCAACAATAAGGAAGGAACGGCCGAACCCGGATGTGGCGCATGCGCGCTGTTAACAAAGCAGAACCAGAGGCCGACGATGCCCGGATGTGGCGCATGCGCAGTGGCCTCTACAACACAAAAGCGGCTACGCAAATACCCGGATGTGGCGCGGTCAGCAATGGTGGCTCCAACCGAATTTAGGCACGAAAATACCCGGATGCCGCGCATGCTCAGTAAACGGATGGAAAAACGGCATTTTCCCGAGCTCGGCGCATGCGCGATGGCGGCTTTACCTCATTATTACGTCCCCGGTGCCCGGATGTTTGCGCGCCGGTTCCCGGTTGCTGCGCACGCGTGATGGCGGCGCTCCCCGAAGGGTCGGAGTACCCGGATGTTGCGCATGCGCAGTGGCTGAGCTCAGTACTGCGCATGCGCAGCCGAGATGCCCGGTTGTTCACCTTTGGTTACCCGGATCTTGCGCATGCGCTGTGCCCAAATTACGCAACAACAGCGCATGCGCAAAGCTCTATTGCCATATAGCGGTGCAGTACATGGATTTTGCGCATGCGCAATACTTTCAATACAGGATGATTCAGTACCCGGATGTTGCGCATGCGTCCTGCCTGCTCTCCACCACTGCGCATGCGCTCTGCTCTCAATCCACGGATGAAACGCTTCTATACCCGTATGTCGCGCCTGCGTCCTGCCTGCTCTGTGGCACTGCGCATGCGCTCTGCTCTCAGTGCCCGGATGAGCCGCCTCAGTACCCGTATGCTGCGCATGCGCGCTGCCTGCTCTGCACCACTGCGCATGCGCTCTGCTCTCAGTACCCGGATGGAACGCTTCTATACCCAGATGTTGCGCATGCGCCCTGTTCACTCTCCACCTCTGCGCATGCGCTCTGCTCTCAGTGCCCGGATGAGCCGCCTCAGTACCCGGATGTTACGCATGCGCCCTGTTCACTCTCCACCACTGCGCATGCGCTCTGCTCTCAGTGCCCGGATGAACCGCCTCAGTACCCGGATGCTGCGCATGCGTATTGCCTGCTCTCCACCACTGCGCATGCGCTCTACTCTCAATCCCCGGATGAGCCGCCTCAGTACCCGTATGCTGCGCATGCGTACCGCCTACTCTGTAGCACTGCGCATGCGCTCTGCTCTCAGTCCCCGGATGAGCCGCCTGAATACCCGGATGCTGCGCATGCGCCCTGCCTTCTGTGCACCACTGCGCATGCGCTCTACTCTCAGTGCCCGGATGAGCCGCCTCAGTACCCGTATATAGCGCCTGCGTCCTGCCTTCTCTCCACCACCGCGCATGCGCTCTGCTCTCAGTGCCCGGATTTGCCGCCTCAGTACCCGTATGTCGCGCATGCGTCCTGCCTGCTCTGCACCACTGCGCATGCGCTCTACTCTCAATCCCCGGATGAGCCGCCTGAATACCCGGATGTCGCGCATGCGCCCTGCCTTCTCTCCACCACTGCGCATGCGCTCTGCTCTCAGTGCCCGGATGAGCCGCCTCAGTACCCGTATGCTGCGCATGCGTCCTGCCTTCTGTGCACCACTGCGCATGCGCTCTGCTCTCAGTGCCCGGATGAAATGCTTCTATACCGGGATGTTGCGCATGCGTACTGCCTGCTCTGTACCACTGCGCATGCGCTCTACTCTCAATGCGCGGATGAGCCGCCTCAGTACCCGTGTGTCGCGCCTGCGTACTGCCTGCTCTGTGGCACTGCGCATGCGCCATGCTCTCAGTGCCCGGATGAAACGCTTCCATACCCGGATGTTGCGCATGCGTACTGCCTGCTCTGCGGCACTGCGCATGCGCTCTGCTCTCAGTGCGAGCATGAAACGCTTCTATACCCGGATGTTGCGCATGCGCTTTGTTCACTCTCCACCTCTGCGCATGCGCTCTGCTGTCAGTGCCCGGATGAGCCGCCTCAGTACCCGTATGCTGCGCATGCGTACCGCCTACTCTGTAGCACTGCGCATGCGCTCTGCTCTCAATTTCCGGATGAGCCGCCTGAATACCCGTATGCTGCGCATGCGTACTGCCTGCTCTGTCGCCGTGCGCATGCGCGCTACTCTCAGTGCCCGGATGAGCCGCCTGAATACCCGGATCTTGCGCATGCGCCCTGCCTTCTGTGCACCACTGCGCATGCGCTCTGCTCGCAATCCCCGGATGAGCCGCCTGAATACCCGGATGTCGCGCATGCGCCCATCTCCCCCTACCCGGACGTACCCGCGCCATCCCCGGATGTCGCGCATGCGCCTTGGGCCCGGCCGTGTCGGCGGGACGCGAGCGGCCCGGAGCCGCCCCGTTCCATCGCTCCGTCCGGGGCTCCTCCGTCCGCCATGTCGCTCTCGAACCCCCCGAGCAGCAACGACGCGTGCCTGAGCATCGTGCACAGCCTCATGTGTCACCGGCAGGGCGGCGAGAGCGAGACGTTCGCCAAGCGGGCCATCGAGAGCCTGGTGAAGAAGCTGAAGGAGAAGAAAGACGAGCTGGATTCGCTCATCACCGCCATCACCACCAACGGCGCCCATCCCAGCAAATGCGTCACCATCCAACGCACGTTGGACGGCCGCCTGCAGGTGGCCGGCAGGAAAGGTTTCCCTCACGTCATTTACGCCCGCCTTTGGCGTTGGCCCGACCTGCATAAGAACGAATTGAAGCACGTCAAGTATTGCCAGTTCGCTTTCGATCTCAAGTGCGACAGCGTCTGCGTCAACCCCTATCATTACGAGAGGGTCGTGTCGCCCGGCATCGGTGAGGAGGGGGAGGTTGGAGGGGCGTTTAGAGGGGGGGGGGGGGGGGGGGGGTTGGGAGCGGCTGCTGTGGCGCCTTTGGCCCCATAGGGGCCCCCATAGGGTCGCCCATAGGGACGCCCATAAGCCCATAGGGTCACCCATAAGCCCATAGGATCCCCCATAGGGTCGCCCATAGGGTCCCCCATAGGGTCCTCCATAAGCCCATAGCATCCCCTATAGGATCCCCCATACCATCCCCCATAGCATCCCCCATAACCCCATTGCATCCCCTATAAGATCCCCCACAACCCCATAGGGTCCCCCATATGATCCCCCATAACCCCATAGGATCCCCCATAACCCCATAGCATCCCCCCATTCCATCCCCCATTACCCCATAGCATCCCCTATAGCATCCCCCATAGGATCCCCCATAGGATCCCCCATAGGGTCGCCCATAGGATCCCCCATTGCCCATAGGATCCCCTATAGGGTCCCCCATAGGGTCGCCCATAGGGTCCCCCATAGGATCCCCTATAGCATCCCCCATTAACCCATAGAATCCCCCATAGGATCCCCCATAGGATCCCTCATAACCCCATAGCATCCCCCATAACCCCATAGCATCCCCCATAACCCCATAGGATCCTCCATAAGCCCATAGGATCCCCCATAACCCCATAGGATCCTCAATAACCCTATAGGATCCCCCATAACCCCCTAGGGTCCCCCATAAGCCCATAGGACCCCCTATAGGATCCCCCATAGGGTCGCCCATAGGGTCACCCATAAGCCCATAGGATCCCCCATAAGCCCATAGGATCCCCCATAGGGTCACCCATAGGGTCCCCCATAGGATCCCCCATTACCCCATAGGATCCCACATGACCCCATAGAATCCCCCATAACCCCATAGGATCCCCCATAGGGTCCCCCATAGGATCCCCCATAGGGTCGCCCATAACCCCACAGCATCCCCCATAACCACATAGGATCCCCCATAGGCTCCCCATAGGATCCCCCATAACCCCATAGCATCCCCCCATTCCATCCCCCATAAGCCCATAGCATCCCCCATAGGGTCCCCCATAGGATCCCCCATAGGCTCCCCCATGACCCCATAGGATCCCCCATAACCCCATAGGATCCCCCATAATCCCATAGGATCCTCCATAACCCCATAGCATCCCCCATAACCCCATAGGATCCCCCATAGGGTCCCCTATAGAGTCACCCATAAGCCCATAGGACCCCCTATAGGATCCCCCATAGGGTCGCCCATAGGGTCACCCATAAGCCCATAGGATCCCCCATAACCCCATAGGATCCCCCATAGGGTCGCCCATAGGATCCCCCATAACCCCATAACATCCCCCATGACCCCATAGGATCCCCCATAGGATCCCCCTTAGGGTCCCCTATAGGGTCACCCATAAGCCCATAGGATCCCCTATAGGGTCCCCTATAGAGTCACCCATAGGATCGCCCATAGGGTCCCCCAGAAGCTTGTAGGATCCCCCATAGGATCCCCCATAGCATCCCCCATAACCCCATAGAATCCCCCATAGGATCTCCTATAACCCCATAGGATCCCCCATAAGCCCATAGGATCCCCCATAACCCCATAGGATCCCCCATAGGATCCCCCATAACCCCATAGCATCCCCCATGACCCCATAGGATGCCCCATTACCCATAGGGTCCCCCATAGGATCCCACATGACCCCATAGGGTCCCCCATAAGCCCATACGATCCCCCATAGGGTCGCCCATAGGATCCCCCATAACCCCATAGGATCCCCGATAAGCCCATAGGATCCCCCATAACCCCACAGGATCCCTCATAGGGTTCGCCCATCACCCCATAAGCCCATAGGATCCCCCATAACCCCATAGGATCCCCCATAGGATCCCCCATAAGCCCATAGGATCCCCCATAAGCCCATAGGATCCCCCATAGGGTCCCCCATAGGATCCCACATGACCCCATAGCATCCCCTATTACCACATAGTATCCCCCATAGGATCCCCCATAGGGTCACCCATAAGCCCATAGGATCCCCTATAGGGTCCCCCATAGGATCCCCCATAACCCCATAGGATCCCCCATAGGGTCGCCCATAGGATCCTCCATAACCTCATAGGATCCCCCATTAAATCCCCCATAGGATCCTCCATAAGCCCATAGGATCCCCCATAACCCCATAGGATCCTCAATAACCCTATAGGATCCCCCATAACCCCCTAGGGTCCCCCATAAGCCCATAGGACCCCCTATAGGATCCCCCATAGGGTCACCCATAGGATCCCCCATAACCCCATAGGATCCCCCATAGGATCCCCCATAGGATCCCCCATCACCCCCATAGGATCCCCCATAACCCCATAGGATCCTCCATAGGATCCCCCATAGGATCCCCCATAGGGTCCCCCATAAGCCCATAGGATCCTCCATAACCCCATAGGATCCCCCATTGCCCATAGGATCCCCCATAGCATCCCCCATAGGATCCCCCATAGGATCCCCCATAAGCCCATAGGATCCCCCATAACCCCATAACATCCCCCATGACCCCATAGGATCCCCCATAGGATCCCCTATAGGATCCCCCATAGGATCCCCTATAGGATCCCCCATAGGGTCCCCCATAGGATCCCCCATAAGCCCATAGGGTCCCCATAGGATCCCCCATCATCCCATAACATCCCCCATGACCCCATAGGATCCCCCATTAAATCCCCTATAAATCCCCATAGAACCCCATATAATCCCCCATAACCCCATAGGATCCCCCATAACCCCATAAATCCCCTATAAATCCCCCATAGAACCCCATAGAATCCCCCATAACCCCATAGAATCCCCCATAACCCCATAAATCCCCCATTAAATCCCCTATAACCCCATAGAACCCCCTTTACCCCATTAAATCCCCTATAAATCCCCCATTACCCCATAGGATCCCCCATAACCCCATAAATCCCCTATAAATCCCCATAGAACCCCATAGGATCCCCCATAAATCCCCTATAACCCCATAGAACCCCCATAACCCCATAAATCCCCTATAAATCCCCCATAGAACCCCATAGAATCCCCCATAACCCCATAGAATCCCCCATAAATCCCCTATAACCCCATAGAACCCCCTTTACCCCATTAAATCCCCTATAAATCCCCCATAAATCCCCCATAGAACCCCATAGGATCCCCCATAAATCCCCATAGAACCCCATAGAATCCCCCATAACCCCATAAATCCCCTATAAATCCCCCATAGAACCCCATAGAATCCCCCATAACCCCATAAATCCCCCATAACCCCATAAATCCCCTATAAATCCCCCATAGAACCCCATAGGATCCCCCATAAATCCCCTATAACCCCATAGAACCCCCATAACCCCATAAATCCCCCATAGAACCCCATAGAATCCCCCATACCCCCATAGAACCCCCATAACCCCATAAATCCCCTATAAATCCCCTATAAACCCCCTATAGAATCCCTTATAACCCCCGCTGCCGTTTCCCATTGGCTGCGCCCCCTGCCTTTCCGGCTTCCGCCCCGCCTCTTTTTTCCTGCCCCGTTCCCCCATTGGCTCCCAGCGCCGCTGCCGCTCCGCCTTTTCCCTCCCCCTCCCCCCCCGCCGCTGTTTCCCATTGGCTGCGCCCCCTGCCTTTCCGGCTTCCGCCCCGCCTCTTTTTTCCTGCCCCGTTCTCCCATTGGCTCCCAGCGCTCTGCCGCTCCGCCTTTTCCCTCCCCCCCCTCCCTCCCCCCCGCCCCCCGCCGCCGTTTCCCATTGGCTGCGCCCCCTGCCCTTCCGGCTTCCGCCCCGCCTCTTTTTTCCTGCCCCGTTCCCCCATTGGCTCCCAGCGCCGCTGCCGCTTCCGGGTTCCGCTCCGCGGTTTCCTTCCATTCATAAAGCAGCCGTTTATCAGCCATTAATGGCCTCATTATTCCCATTAATAACGCTATTAATTGCCCCGATTCTTACACAGATCCGCCAGCAACCTCATTAACGGCGCTAATAACTTAATTAACTCCCCCAATAATCAATCAGCACCGGGATTATTAGCGCTAATAAAGCTATTAATGCTATTAATCATTCCCTAAGCCCATTAATTATCTTTATTCTCCCACTAATATTGTTATTAATCATCAATAATGCCACTAATAGCGTTATTAGTTCATTAATAATCCTATTAATAGTGTTATTAATCATCAATAATCCATTAATAGTGTTACTAATCATCAATAATCCCATTAATAGCGTTATTAGTTGATTAATAATCCTATTAATAGTGTGATTAGTTCATTAATAATCCCATTAAGTGTTATTAGATCATTAATAATCCCATTAATAGTGCTATTAGCCCATTAATAATCCATTAATAGTGTTATTAATCCGTTAATAATCCCATTCATAGTGCTATTAATCACCAATAATCCCATTAATTTTTTCTATGTTCCTATTAATCCCATTAATAACTTTATTAGCTCATTAATAGCCCTATTAGCCCATTAATAATCCCATTAATCCATCAATAATCCCATTAATCCCACCAATAGCTCATTAATAACGCCATTAACCTGTTAATAATCCCATTAATTCCATCCAGTTGCCAATTAATTGCATTAATACTCCTAATAATCCCCTAAACAACCCTATTAGCCCATTAATAAATTATTAATCCATTAATAATCTGGTTAATCTCATTAATACTCCACTAATAATGCCATTAATGTGCCAATAATCCCATTAATCCTATTATTAATGCACTAATAATCCCATTAATTTCTACTATATCCCCATTAATCCCATAAATAATCCTAATAATCTTCTAAATAACCCTATTAGCTCATTAATAACCTATTAATCACTCAATATTACCATTAATTTCATTAATAATCCACTAATAATGCCATTCATGTACCAATAATCCCATTAATCCCACTATTAATCCACTAATAATCGTATTAATTTCTATTATATCCCCATTAATCCCATTAATAATCTTAGTTATCCACTAAATAACCCTATTAGCCCATCAATAATCTATTAATCCATTAATAATCCTACTAATCTCACTGATAACTCATTAATAATGCCATTAATGTGCCAATAATCCCATTAATGCTATTATTAATGCACTAATAATCCTATTAATTTCTATTATATCCCCATTAATCCCATAAATAATCCTAATAATCCCCTAAATAACCCTATTAGCTCATTAATAACCTATTAATCACTCAATAATCCCATTAATCTCATTAATAACCTGCTAATAATGGCATTAATGCGCCAATAATCACATTAATCCCACTATTAATCCACTAATAACCCTATTAATTTCTATTATATCCCCATTAATCCCATAAATAATCCTAATAATCCCCCAAATAACCCTATTAGCCTATTAATAACCCTATTAGCTCATTAATAATGTCATTAATAACCTCATTAATAATCGTGTCCTCCATTTTAGATCTCTCTGGCCTGACCCTACAGAGCTCTGGTGAGTAAGGGAGAATTAATGGGGTTTTTGGGGGGATAAAGGGGGATTTTGGGGTCAGATTTGGGGTCTTATGGGGTTTTATGGGGTCAAATTGGGGTTTTGGGGTCAGATTTGGGGTCTTATGGGGTCAAATTGGGGTTTTATGGGGTTTTATGGGGTCAAATTGGGGTCTTATGGGATCTTATGGGGTCAAATTGGGTTTTATGGGGTCAGATTTGGGGTCTTATGGGGTCAAATTGGGGTTTTATGGGGTCAGATTTGGGATTTTATGGGGTCAAATTGGGATCTTATGGGGTCTTATGGGGTCAAATTGGGGTCTTTTGGGGTCAGATTTGGGGTCTTATGGGGTCAAATTGGGGTTTTGGGGTCAGATTTGGGGTCTTATGGGGTCAAATTGGGGTTTTGGGGTCAGATTTGGGGTCTTATGAGGTCAAATTGGGGTCTTATGGGGTCAATTTGGGATCTTATGGGGTCAAATTGGGGTTTTGGGGTCAGATTTGGAGTCTTATGGGGTCAAATTGGGATCTTATGGGGTTTTATGGGGTCAAATTGGGGTCTTATGGGGTCAGATTTGGGATCTTATGGGGTCTTATGGGGTTTTATGGGGTCAAATTGGGGTCCTATGGGGTCAAGTTGGGGTTTTGGGGTCAGATTTGGGGTCTTATGGGGTCAAATTGGGGTCTTATGGGGTTTTATGGGGTCAAACTGGGGTCTTATGGGGTCAAATTGGGATCTTATTGGGTCTTATGGGATCTTATGGGGTTTTATGGGGTCAAATTGGGGTTTTGGGGTCAGATTTGGGGTCTTATGGGGTTTTATGGGGTCTTACGGGGTCCTATGGGGTCAAATTGGGATCTTATGGGGTTTTATGGGGTCAAATTGGGGTCTTATGGGATCTTATGGGGTTTTATGGGGTCTTATGGCGTCTTATGGGGTCTTATGGGGTCAAATTGGGGTCTTATGGGGTCAAATTGGGGTTTTGGGGTCAGATTTGGGGTCTTATGGAGTCAGATTTGGGGTCTTATGGGGTTTTATGGGGTCTTATGGGATCTTATGGGGTTTTATGGGGTCTTATGGGGTCTTATGGGGTTTTATGGGTTCTTATGGGGTCTTATGGCGTCTTATGGGGTTTTATGGGGTCAAATTGGGATCTTATTGGGTTTTATGGGGTCTTATGGGGTTTTGAGCTCAAATTTGGCCTCTTTTTGGGGTCTTATGGGGTCCAAACCTGGGATTTGGGGTGGTTTTGGGGCGGCTTTTAGGGTTGCGAGGTTGGATATTGGGGTCAAATTTGGGGTCTTATGGGGTCAAATTGGGTTCTTTTGGGGTCAGATTTGGGGTCTTATAGGGTCAAATTGGGGTTTTGGGGTCAGATTTGGGGTCTTACGGGGTTTTATGGGGTCAAATTGGGGTCTTATGGGGTCAAATTATGGGGTCAAATTGGGGTCTTATGGGGTCAAATTGGGGTTTTATCGGGTCAAATTGGGATCTTATGGGGTCTTATGGGGTCTTATGGGGTTTTATGGGGTCTTATGGGGTCTTATGGGGTTTTATGGGGTCTTATGGCGTCTTATGGGGTTTTATGGGGTCTTATGGGGTCTTATTGGGTTTTATGGGGTCTTATGGCGTCTTACGGGGTTTTATGGGGTCTTATGGGGTCTTATGGGATCTTATGGGGTTTTATGGGGTCTTATGGCATCTTATGTAGTTTTATGGGGTCTTATGGGGTTTTGAGCTCAAATTTGGCCTCTTTTTGGGGTCTTATGGGGTCCAAAAGTGGGATTTGGGGTGGTTTTGGGGTGGATTTTGGGTTGAAATGCTGGATTTTGGGGTCAAATTTGGGGTCCTATGGGGTCAAATTGGGGTTTTGGAGTCAGATTTGGGGTCTTACGGGGTTTTATGGGGTCAAACTGGGGTCTTATGGGGTCTTATGGGGTCAAATTGGGCTTTATGGGGTCAAATTAGGGTCTTATGTGGTCAAATTGGGGTCTTATGGGGTCAAATTGGGGTTTTGGGGTCAGATTTGGGGTCTTATGGGGTTTTATGGGGTCAAATTGGGATCTTATGGGGTTTTATGGGGTCAAATTGGGGTCTTACGGGGTCAAATTGGGGTTTTGGGGTCAGATTTGGGGTCTTATGGGGTCAAATTGGGGTTTTGGGGTCAGATTTGGGGTCTTATGGGGTTTTATGGGGTCAAATTGGGATCTTATGGGGTTTTATGGGGTCAAATTGGGGTCTTATGGGGTCAAATTGGGGTTTTGGGGTCAGATTTGGGGTCTTATGGAGTCAGATTTGGGGTCTTATGGGGTTTTATGGGGTCAAATTGGGATCTTATGGGGTCTTATGGGGTTTTATGGGGTCTTATGGGGTCAGATTTGGGGTCTTATGGAGTCAGATTTGGGGTCTTATGGGGTCTTATGGGGTTTTATGGGGTCAAATTAGGGTCTTATGGGTTCTTTTGGGGTCTTATGGGGTTTTATGGGGTCTTATGGGGTCTTATGGGGTTTTATGGGGTCTTATGGGGTCTTATGGGGTCCAAAGGTTGGATTTGGGGTGGTTTTGGGGCGGCTTTTAGGGTTGCTTGCTTGGATTTTGGGGTTGCGAGGTTGGATTTGGGCTTTGTTTGTGGTTTCCGGTTGGAGCCCCGTCGGGTTTGTTGGTGAAGGACGAATACGTGAGCGAATACGAAGGGCAGCCGTCGCTTCCTGCCGCCGACGGCCATTCGGTTCAGACCATCCAGCATCCGCCCAGCGCCCGGGCCGCGAGCGAGGCCTACAACCCGCCGACGGAGCCTGCGGGCCCCAATTTCCCAGCCATCCCTGGGGCGTCCACCAGTGAGTGCCAAGATGGCCGCCGGGGGCCTCGTTTGTTGACTAATTAGGGGTGTAATGGGTTTGATGTAGTGATAATGGTGTTAATGGATCAGGAATCGCGTCTATAAGGCTATTAATCCATCAATAATGCCATTAATCTATCAATAATCCCATTAATCTATCAATAATCCCATTAATCTCATCAATAATCCCATTAATAGCTTCATTAGTCCATCAATAATCCCATCAATCCATCAATAATGCCATCAGTCCATCAATAATCCCATCAATCCCATCAATAATCCCATTAATAGCTTCATTAGGCCATCAATAATAGCATGAGTCCATCAATAATGCCATCAGTCCATCAATAATCCCATCAATAATCGCATCAGTCCATCAATAATGCCATCAATCCATCAATAATCCCATCAATCCCATCAATAATCCCATTAATAGCTTCATTAGGCCATCAATAACCTCATCAATCCATCAGTAATGCCATCAGTCCATCAATAATGCCATCAATCCCTCAGTAATCCCATCAATCCCATCAATAATCCCATTAATAGCTTCATTAGGCCATCAATAATCGCATGAGTCCATCAATAATGCCATCAATCCATCAATAATCCCATCAATAATCCCATTAAGACACCAATAATGCCATCAATCCATCAATAATGCCATCAGTCCATCAATAACCCCACCAGTCCATCAATAATCCCATTAGTCTATCAATAATCCCATCAATCCCATCAATAATCCCATTAATAGCTTCAATAGGCCATCAATAATAGCATGAGTCCATCAATAATGCCATCAGTCCATCAATAACCACATCAATCCCGTCAATAATCCCATTAATCCATCAATAATCCCATCAGTCCATCAATAATCCCATTAAGACACCAATAATGCCATCAATCCCATCAATAATCCCATTAATAGCTTCATTAGGCCATCAATAACCCCATCAATCCATCAATAATGCCATCAGTCCATCAATAATCCCATCAATCCCATCAATAATGGAGCTCCAAGCGAGGCCTACAACCCGCCGACGGAGCCTGCGGGCCCCAATTTCCCAGCCATCCCTGGGGCGTCCACCAGTGAGTGCCAAGATGGCCGCCGGGGGCCTCCTTTGCTGACTAATTGGGTTGTTAAGGGGGTGGTTTTAGTGATGATTGCTTTAATGGATCAGGAATCGCGTCTGTAAGGCCATTAATCCATCAATAATGCCATTAATCCATCAATAATCCCATTAATAGCTCCATTAGGCCATCAATAACCTCATTAATCCATCAGTAATGCCATCAATCCATCAATAATCCCATCAAACCATCAATAATCCCATCAATCCATCAATAATCCCATTAGTTTATCAGTAATGCCATCAGTCCATCAATAATCCCATCAATCCCATCAATAATCTCATTAATAGCTTCATTAGTCCATCAATAATGCCATTAATCCATCAATAATGCCATCAGTTCATCAATAATCCCATCAAACCATCAATAATCCCATTAGTTTATCAGTAATGCCATCAGTCCATCAACAATCCCATCAATAATCCCATCAATCCATCAACAATCCCATCAATAATCCCATCAGTCCATCAATAATCCCATCAATAATCCCATTAAGACACCAATAATGCCATCATTCCATCAATAATCCCATCAATCCCATCAATAATCCCATTAATAGCTTCATTAGGCCATCAATAATAGCATGAGTCCATCAATAATGCCATCAGTCCATCAATAACCCCATCAATCCCATCAATAATCCCATTAATAGCTTCATTAGTCGATCAGTAATCGCATGAGTCCATCAATAATGCCATCAGTCCATCAATAATCCCATCAATCCCATCAATAATCCCATTAATAGCTTCAATAGGCCATCAATAATAGCATGAGTCCATCAATAATGCCATCAGTCCATCAATAATCCCATCAATAATCCCATCAATAATCCCATTAATAGCTTCATTAGTCCATCAATAATCCCATCAGTCCATCAATAATGCCATCAGTCCATCAATAATCCCATCAGTCCATCAATAATCCCATTAATAGCTTCATTAGGCCATCAATAATCGCATGAGTCCATCAATAATGCCATCAATCCATCAATAATCCCATCAATAATCCCATTAAGACACCAATAATGCCATCAATCCATCAATAATGCCATCAGTCCATCAATAACCCCACCAGTCCATCAATAATCCCATTAGTCTATCAATAATGCCATCAATCCCATCAATAATCCCATTAATAGCTTCATTAGGCCATCAATAATGCCATCAGTCCATCAATAATCCCATCAATCCATCAATAATGCCATCAATCCATCAATAATCCCATTAGTTTATCAGTAATGCCATCAGTCCATCAATAATCCCATCAATCCCATCAATAATCCCATTAATAGCTTCATTAGGCCATCAATAATGCCATCAATCCATCAATAATGCCATCAGTCCATCAATAATGCCATCAATCCCATCAATAATCCCATTAATAGCATCATTACTCCATCAATAATCCCATCAATCCATCAATAATCCCATCAGTCCATCAATAATCCCATTAATCTCATCAATGATCCCATTAATAGCTTCATTAGTCCATCAATAACCTCATCAGTCCATCAATAATCCCATTAACCCATCAATAATCCCATCAATCCATCAATAATCCCATCAGTTCATCAATAATCCCATTAACCATCGCATCAATCCATCAATAATCCCATCAATCCATCAATAATCCCAATAAGACACCAATAATGCCATTAATCCATCAATAATGCCATCAGTCCATCAATAATCCCATTAATCCATCAATAATCCCATCAATAATCCCATTAAGACACCAATAATGCCATCAGTCCGTCAATAATCCCATCAATGCCATCAATTATCCCATTAGTTTATCAGTAATGCAATCAGTCCGTCAATAATCCTATTGGCCCATCAATAATCCCATTAATAGCTTCATTAGTCCATCAATAACCCCATCAATCCATCAATAATGCCATTAATCCATCAATAATCCCATTAATCCATCAATAATCCCATCAGTAATTAATAACTTCATTAGGCCATTAATAATTCCAATGATCTTTCAGTAATCTCATTATCATCATTAATAATGCTGCTCATGCACTTAATAATCCCATTAATCAATTAATAATGCCATTCATGCCATTAATAATCACATCAATAATCCTGTTGTGCCTGCAATCCAAAATGGCCGCCTCAAAATGGGCGCTCTAGCCAAAACTCTATGGTCAAAAGTCACCACTGTAACATAGGACCTCCAATCCAAAATGGCCGCCCCAAAATGGCCACCCAAGCCAAAACTCTATGGTTGAAAATCACCACAGTAGCGCAGGACCTCCAATCCAAAATGGCCGCCCCAAAATGGCCGCTCTAGCCGAAACTCTATGGTCAAAAGTTGTCACTATAGCTCAGGACCTCCAATCCAAAATGGCCACCTCAAAATGGCCGCTCTAGCCAAAACTCTATGGTCAAAAGTCACCACTCTACCATAGGACCTCCAATCCAAAATGGCTGCCCCAAAATGGCCACCCAAGCCAAAACTGTATGGTTGAAAATCACCACAGTAGCGCAGGACCTCCAATCCAAAATGGCTGCCCGAAAATGACCGCTCTAGCCAAAACTTTATGGTCAAAAATCACCACTGTAACATAAGACCTCCAATCCAAAATGGCCACCCCCAAATGGCCGCTCTAGCCAAAACTCTATGGTCAAAAGTTGCCACTCTACCATAGGACCTCCAATCCAAACTGGCCGCCCCAAAATGGGCGCTCTAGCCAAAACTCTATGGTCAAAAGTTGCCACTGTAACGCAGGACCTCCAATCCAAAATGGCCGCCCCAAAATGGCCGCCCAAGCCAAAACTCTATGGTTGAAAATCACCACTGTAACATAAGACCTCCAATCCAAAATGGCCGCCCCCAAAAGGCCGCTCTATCCGAAACTCTATGGGTAAGAATGGGCACCCAAGCCAAACCTCTATGGTCAACAATCACCGCTGTAGCGCAGGACCTCCAATCCAAAATGCCCACCTCAAAATGGCTGCCAAGCCAAAACTTTATGGTCAAAAATCACCACTGTAACATAAGACCTCCAATCCAAAATGGCTGCCCCCAAATGGCCGCTCTATCCGAAACTCTATGGGTAAGAATGGGCAGCCAAGCCAAACCTCTATGGTCAACAACCACCACTGTAACGCAGGACCTCCAATCCAAAATGGCCGCCCCTCCATACAACGACCTGCCTCCCCCATCCTCTCTGATCCGACCCGGCCTCTCTAGCAGCCGCTCTATGATCTCTCGTCCTCCCAGGCCAACCCCCAAGCGTCCTACCTGGCGGCCACAGCGACGCTCTCCTCCCATTGGCTACCGGATCGCAGGCGGCGGCGGCGGCGGCGGCGGCTCAGAACGGTTTCACAGCCCAACCGGCCACGTATCACCACAGTGAGACCCGAAAAGGACCCTGCGCGTCCCACAATCCCATTGGGGTCCCTTTTGGGGTCCCAGAATCCAATTGGGGTCCCCAGATCCCATTGGGGTCCCACGATCCCATAGGGTCCCATTTGGGGTCCCAGAATCCCATTGGGGTCCCAGAATCCCATTGGGGTCCTTTAGGGTCCCCAGATCCCATTGGGGTCCCAGAATCCCATTTGGGGTCCCAGAATCCCATTGGGGTCCCCATTGTGTCCCTATATCCTATTGGGGTCCTCAGATCCCATAGGATCCCTTTTGGGGTCCCAGAATCCCATTGGGGTCCTCAGAATCCCATTGGGGTCCTTTAGGGTCCCAGAATCCCATTGGGGTCCCCAGATCCCATTGGGGTCCCTTTTAGGGTCCTAAAATCCCATTGGGGTCCCAAGATCCCATTGGGGTCCCTTTTGAGGTCCCAGAATCCCATTGGGGTCCCAGAATCCCATTGGGGTCCCATTTGGGGTCGTCAGATCCTATTGGGGTCCTGTAGGGTCCCAAGATCCCATTGGGGTCCCTTTTGGGGTCCCAGAATCCCATTGGGGTCCCATTTGGGGTCCTCAGATCCCATTGGGGTCCCTTTTGGGGTACCAGAATCCCATTGGGGTCCCCGTATCCCATATGGTCCCATTTGGGGTCCTAAAATCCCATTGGGGTCCCCAGATCCCATTGGGGTCCCAGAATCCCATTGGGGTCCCCAGATCCCATTGGGTCCCATTTGGGGTCCTAAAATCCCATTGGGGTCCCCAGATCCCATTGGGGTCCCTTTTAGGGTCCCCAGATCCCATTGGGGTCCCAGAATCCCATTGGGGTCCCCGTATCCCATAGGGTCCCATTTGGGGTCCTAAAATCCCATTGGGGTCCCCAGATCCCATTGGGGTCCCTTTTGGGGTCCCAAAATCCCATTGGGGTCCCAGAATCCCATTGGGGTCCCCAGAATCCCTTTGGGGTCCCATTTGGGGTCCCAGAATCCCATTGGGGTCCCCAGATCCCATTGGGTCCCATTTGGGGTCCTAAAATCCCATTGGGGTCCCCAGATCCCATTGGGGTCCCTTTTAGGGTCCCCAGATCCCACTGGGGTCCTGTAGGGTCCCCAGATCCCATTGGGGTCCCAGAATCCCATTGGGGTCCCATTTGCGGTCCCAGAATCCCATTGGGGTCCCCAGATCCCATTGGGGTCCCCATTGTGTCCCTATATCCTATTGGGGTCCTCAGATCCCATTGGGGTCCCATTTGGGGTCCCACAATCCCATTGGGGTCCCCAGATCCCATTGGGGTCCCTTTTGGGGTCCCAGAATCCCATTGGGGTCCCCAGAATCCCATTGGGGTCCCAGAATCCCATTGGGGTCCCCAGATCCCATTGGGGTCCCAGAATCCCATTGGGGTCCCCAGATCCCATTGGGGTCCCTTTTGGGGTCCCAGAATCCCATTGGGGTCCCCAGATCCCATTGGGGTCCCATTTGGGGTCCCAGAATCCCATTGGAGTCCCCAGATCCCATAGGGTCCCTTTTGGGGTCCCAGAATCCCATTGGGGTCCCCAGATCCCATTGGGGTCCCTTTTGGGGTCCCAGAATCCCATTGGGGTCCCCAAATCCCATATGGGTCCCATTTGGGTTCCCAGAATCCCTTTGGGGTCCCAGAATCCCATTGGGGTCCTCAGATCCCATTGGGGTCCCATTTGGGGTCCCACAATCCCATTGGGGTCCCCAAGATCCCATTGGGGTCCCAGAATCCCATTGGGGTCCCAGAATCCCATTGGAGTCCCAAAATCCCATTGGGGTCCCACAATCCCATTGGGGTCCCATTTGGGGTCCCAGAATCCCATTGGGGTCCTCAGATCCCAATGGGGTCCCTTTTAGGGTCCTAGAATCCAATTGGGGTCCCCAGATCCCATTGGGGTCCCACGATCCCATAGGGTCCCATTTGGGGTCCCAGAATCCCATTGGGGTCCCCAGATCCCATTGGGGTCCCCATTGTGTCCCTATATCCTATTGGGGTCCCCAGATCCCATTGGGCTCCCTTTTAGGATCCCAGAATCCCATTGGGGTCCCAGAATCCCATTGGGGTCCCAAGATCCCATTGGGGTCCTTTAGGGTCCCAGAATCCCATTGGGGTCCCCATTGTGTCCCTATATCCTATTGGGGTCCCCGTATCCCATTGGGGTCCCTTTTGGGGTCCCAGAATCCCATTGGGGTCCTGTAGGGTCCCCAGATCCCATTGGGGTCCCTTTTGGGGTCCCAGAATCCCATTGGGGTCCCTTTTGGGGTCCTCAGATCCCATTGGGGTCCTTTAGGGTCCCTGTATCCCATTGAGGTCCCATTTGGGGTCCTAAAATCCCATTGGGGTCCCCAGAATCCCATTGGGGTCCCCAGATCCCATTGGGTCCCATTTGGGGTCCTAAAATCCCATTGGGGTCCCCAGATCCCATTGGGGTCCCTTTTGGGGTCCCCAGATCCCACTGGGGTCCTGTAGGGTCCCCAGATCCCATTGGGGTCCCAGAATCCCATTGGGGTCCCTTTTGGGGTCCCCAGATCCCATTGGGGTCCCAGAATCCCATTGGGGTCCCTTTTGGGGTCCCAGAATCCCATTGGGGTCCCCGTATCCCATTGGGGTCCCTTTTGGGGTCCCAAGATCCCATTGGGGTCCCTTTTGGGGTCCCAGAATCCCTTTGGGGTCCCAGAATCCCATTGGGGTCCTCAGATCCCATTGGGGTCCCATTTGGGGTCCCACAATCCCATTGGGGTCCCCAAGATCCCATTGGGGTCCCAGAATCCCATTGGGGTCCCAGAATCCCATTGGAGTCCCAGAATCCCATTGGGGTCCCCAGATCCCATTGGGGTCCCTTTTGGGGTCCCACAATCCCATTGGGGTCCCCAGATCCCATTGGGGTCCCTTTTAGGGTCCCCAGATCCCATTGGGTCCCTTTTGGGGTCCCAGAATCCCATTGGGGTCCCCAGATCCCATTGGGGTCCCTTTTAGGGTCCCCAGATCCCATTGGGTCCCATTTGGGGTCCCAGAATCCCATTGGGGTCCCAGAATCCCATTTTGGTCCCCAGATTCCATTGGGGTCCTTTAGGGTCCCAGAATCCCATTGGGGTCCTTTAGGGTCCCAAGATCCCATTGGGGTCCCTTTTGGGGTCCCAGAATCCCATTGGGTCCCTTTTAGGGTCCCAAAATCCCATTGGGGTCCCCAGATCCCATTGGGGTCCCATTTGGGGTCCCAGAATCCCATTGGGGTCCCATTTGGGGTCCCAGAATCCCATTGGGGTCCCCAAGATCCCATTGGGGTCCCACAATCCCATTGGGGTCCCTTTTGGGGTCCCAAAATCCCATTGGGGTCCCAGAATCCCATTGGGGTCCCACGATCCCATAGGGTCCCATTTGGGGTCCCAGAATCCCATTGGGGTCCTCAGATCCCATTGGGGTCCCCAGATCCCATTGGGGTCCCTTTTGGGGTCCCAGAATCCCATTGGGGTCCCCAGATCCCATTGGGGTCCCATTTGGGGTCCCCAGATCCCATTGGGATCCCATTTGGGGTCCCAAAATCCCATTGGGGTCCCACAATCCCATTGGGGTCCCTTTTGGGGTCCCAAAATCCCATTGGGGTCCCAGAATCCCATTGGGGTCCCAGAATCCCATTGGGGTCCCTTTTAGGGTCCCAAAATCCCATTGGGGTCCCAGAATCCCATTGGGGTCCTTTAGGGTCCCAGAATCCCATTGGGGTCCCTTTTAGGGTCCCAAAATCCCATTGGGGTCCCAGAATCCCATTGGGGTCCCCACAATCCCTTTGGGGTCCCATTTGGGGTCCCAGAATCCCATTGGGGTCCCCAGATCCCATTGGGGTCCCTTTTAGGGTCCCAGAATCCCATTGAGGTCCCAAGATCCCATTGGGGTCCCTTTTGGGGTCCCAGAATCCCATTGGGGTCCCCAGATCCCATTGGGGTCCCATTTGGGGTCCCAGAATCCCATTGGGGTCCCAGAATCCCATTGGGGTCCCCAGATCCCATTGGGATCCCTTTTGGGGTCCCAAGATCCCATCGGGGTCCATTTGGGGTCCCAGAATCCCATTGGGGTCCCATTTGGGGGTCCCAAAATCCCATTGGGGTCCCCAGATCCCATTGGGGTCCCTTTTAGGGTCCCAGAATCCCATTGGGGTCCTCAGATCCCATTGGGGTCCCTTTTGGGGTCCCAGAATCCCATTGGGGTCCCTTTTAGGGTCCCAGAATCCCATTGGGGTCCCCAGATCCCATTGGGTCCCATTTGGTGTCCCAGAATCCCATTGGGGTCCCAGAATCCCATTGGGGTCCCATTTGGGGTCCCAGAATCCCATTGGGGTCCTTTAGGGTCCCAAGATCCCATTGGGGTCCCTTTTGGGGTCCCAGAATCCCATTGGGGTCCCAGAATCCCATTGGGGTCCCATTTGGGGTCCCAAGATCCCATTGGGGTCCCCAGAATCCCATTGGGGTCCCTTTTGGGGTCCCAGAATCCCATTGGGGTCCCAAGATCCCATTGGGGTCCCCATTGTGTCCCTATATCCTATTGGGGTCCTCAGATCCCATTGGGGTCCCTTTTGGGGTCCCAAGATCCCATTGGGGTCCCTTTTGGGGTCCCAGAATCCCATTGGGGTCCCCAGATCCCATTGGGGTCCCTTTTGGGGTCCCAGAATCCCATTGGGGTCCCCAGATCCCATTGGGTTCCCTTTTGGGGTCCCAGAATCCCATTGGGGTCCCACAATCCCATTGGGGTCCCCAGAATCCCATTGGGGTCCCATTTGGGGTCCCAGAATCCCATTGGGGTCCCCAGATCCCATTGGGGTCCCATTTGGGGTCCCAGAATCCCATTGGGGTCCCCAGATCCCATTGGGGTCCCTTTTAGGGTCCCAGAATCCCATTGGGGTCCCCAGATCCCATTGGGGTCCCTTTTGGGGTCCCAGAATCCCATTGGGGTCCCCAGATCCCATAGGGGTCCCTTTTGGGGTCCCAGAATCCCATTGGGGTCCCCAGATCCCATTGGGGTCCCTTTTAGGGTCCCCAGATCCCACTGGGGTCCTGTAGGGTCCCCAGATCCCATTGGGGTCCCAGAATCCCATTGGGTCCCTTTTGGGGTCCCAGAATCCCATTGGGGTCCCAAGATCCCATTGGGGTCCCCATTGTGTCCCTATATCCTATTGAGGTCCCCGTATCCCATAGGGTCCCATTCGGGGTCCTAAAAGCCTTCAGGCCGCTGGGCGTCACCTGGGCTGGCGGTGGGAAGGAATGGCGGAAGCACTTCCGGTGGAGGGCGGAAGTTTCCACTCTCGTTTCCTGTTTGCAGACAGCGGAGGAAACGGAGGTTGGAGCGGCGGCCGCGGCGCTGCGTATCCTTCCGCCATCCCCCATCATCAGAACGGGCACCTGCAGCATCATCCGCCGCTGCATCCGGGGCACTACTGTGAGCGGGACAGGAAGTGGGAAGGGGAAGAGGAAGTGGGGGGGGGGAAAGAGGAAGTGGGGGGGGGAAGTGGGAGGGGGAAGTGAAAGCGAAAGTGAAAGTGGGAGAGGAAGGGAAGGGGGAAGAGGAAGTGGGAGGGGAAGGGAAGGAGGAAGAGGAAGTGAAAGTGAAAGCGAAACCAGGGGAAGGGAAAGGAAGGGGAAGTGGGAGCGGAAGGGAAGGAGGAAGTGAAAGTGAAAGGGGAAGGGGAAGGGAAGGGGGAAGTGAAAGTGAAAGCGAAAGTGAAGTGAAAGGGGAAGGGGAAGGGAAGGAGGAAATGAAAGTGAAACCGGGAAGGGAAAGGAAGGGGGAAGTAGGAGGGGAAGGAAAGGAGGAAGTGAAAGTGAAAGCGGAAGTGGAAGGGGAAGGGAAGGAGGAAGTGAAAGTGAAACTGGGAAGGGAAGGGAAGGGATGGGGGAAGAGGAAGTGGGAGGGGAAGGGAAGGAGGAAGTGAAAGCGAAAGTGAAACTGGGAGGAGAAGGGAAGGGGGAAGAGGAAGTGAAAGTGAAAGTGAAACTGGCAAGGGAAGGGGGAAGAGGAAGTGGGAGCGGAAGGGAAGGAGGAAGTGAAAGCGAAAGTGAAACTGGGAGGAGAAGGGAAGGGGGAAGAGGAAGTGAAAGTGAAACCGGGAAGGGAAAGGAAGGGGAAGTGGGAGCGGAAGGGAAGGAGGAAGTGGGAGGGGAAGGGGGAAGAGGAAGTGGAAGGGAAGGAGGAAGTGAAAGTGAAAGCGGAAGTGAAAGGGGAAGGGAAGGAGGAAGTGAAAGTGAAACTGGGAAGGGAAGGGAAGGGGGAAGAGGAAGTGGGAGGGGAAGGGAAGGAGGAAGTGAAAGCGAAAGTGAAACTGGGAGGGGAAGGGAAGGGGAAGTGGGAGGGGAAGGGAAAGAGGAAGTGGGAGGGGAAGGGGAAGGGAAAGGGGAAGGGAAGGAGGAAGTGAAAGTGAAACTGGGAAGGGAAGGGAAGGGGGAAGTGGGAGGGGAAGGGAAAGAGGAAGTGAAAGTGAAAGCGAAAGTAAACTGAAAGGCGAAGGTGGAAGTGGAAGGGGAAGGGAAAGGGGAAGGGAAGGAGGAAGTGAAAGTGAAAGCGAAAGTAAACTGAAAGGCGAAGGTGGAAGTGGAAGGGGAAGTGGAAGGGGAAAGGAAGGAGGAAGTGGAAGGTGAAGGTGGAAGTGGGAGGGGAAGGGAAGGGGGAAGTGAAAGCGGAAGTGAAGTGAAAGCGGAAGCCGGAAGTGGAAGGGAAGTGGGAGGGGAAGTGAATGGGAACAGAAGTGAAGTGAATGGGAACCAGAAGTGAAGTGAATGGGAACAGAAGTGAAGTGAATGGGAACAGAAGTGAAGTGAATGGGAACAGAAGTGAAGTGAATGGGAACAGAAGTGAAGTGAATGGGAACCGAAAGTGAAGTGAATGGGAACCAGAAGTGAAGTGAATGGGAACCAGAAGTGAAGTGAATGGGAACAGAAGTGAAGTGAATGGGAACCAAAAGTGAAGTGAATGGGAACCAGAAGTGAAGTGAATGGGAACAGAAGTGAAGTGAATGGGAACCAGAAGTGAAGTGAATGGGAACAGAAGTGAAGTGAATGGGAACCAAAAGTGAAGTGAATGGGAACCAGAAGTGAAGTGAATGGGAACAGAAGTGAAGTGAATGGGAACCAGAAGTGAAGTGAATGGGAACAGAAGTGAAGTGAATGGGAACAGAAGTGAAGTGAATGGGAACCGAAAGTGAAGTGAATGGGAACCGAAAGTGAAGTGAATGGGAACCAAAAGTGAAGTGAATGGGAACAGAAGTGAAGTGAATGGGAACAGAAGTGAAGTGAATGGGAACAGAAGTGAAGTGAATGGGAACCAGAAGTGAAGTGAATGGGAACAGAAGTGAAGTGAATGGGAACAGAAGTGAAGTGAATGGGAACCAGAAGTGAAGTGAATGGGAACAGAAGTGAAGTGAATGGGAACAGAAGTGAAGTGAATGGGAACAGAAGTGAAGTGAATGGGAACAGAAGTGAATGGGAACAGAAGTGAAGTGAATGGGAACAGAAGTGAAGTGAATGGGAACAGAAGTGAAGTGAATGGGAACCAAAAGTGAAGTGAATGGGAACAGAAGTGAATGGGAACAGAAGTGAAGTGAATGGGAACAGAAGTGAATGGGAACAGAAGTGAAGTGAATGGGAACAGAAGTGAAGTGAATGGGAACAGAAGTGAATGGGAACCAGAAGTGAAGTGAATGGGAACAGAAGTGAAGTGAATGGGAACAGAAGTGAAGTGAATGGGAACCAGAAGTGAATGGGAACAGAAGTGAAGTGAATGGGAACAGAAGTGAAGTGAATGGGAACCAAAAGTGAAGTGAATGGGAACAGAAGTGAAGTGAATGGGAACAGAAGTGAAGTGAATGGGAACCAAAAGTGAAGTGAATGGGAACCAGAAGTGAAGTGAATGGGAACCAAAAGTGAATGGGAACAGAAGTGAAGTGAATGGGAACCAAAATGAAGTGAATGGGAACCAGAAGTGAAGTGAATGGGAACCAAAAGTGAAGTGAATGGGAACCGAAAGTGAAGTGAATGGGAACAGAAGTGAAGTGAATGGGAACAGAAGTGAAGTGAATGGGAACCGAAAGTGAAGTGAATGGGAACAGAAGTGAAGTGAATGGGAACCAAAAGTGAAGTGAATGGGAACAGAAGTGAAGTGAATGGGAACCAAAAGTGAAGTGAATGGGAACAGAAGTGAAGTGAATGGGAACAGAAGTGAAGTGAATGGGAACCAAAAGTGAAGTGAATGGGAACAGAAGTGAAGTGAATGGGAACCAGAAGTGAATGGGAACAGAAGTGAAGTGAATGGGAACAGAAGTGAAGTGAATGGGAACCAAAAGTGAAGTGAATGGGAACAGAAGTGAAGTGAATGGGAACAGAAGTGAATGGGAACAGAAGTGAAGTGAATGGGAACAGAAGTGAAGTGAAAGGGAACCAGAAGTGAAGTGAATGGGAACAGAAGTGAAGTGAATGGGAACCAAAAGTGAAGTGAATGGAAAGCGAAAGCGAAAGTAAAACCCAAAGCCCCGTCGGCCATTTTGTTTCTCACCTCCTTCAGGGCCGGTGCACAACGAACTCGCCTTCCAACCTCCCATCTCCAATCATCCCGGTGAGTGTTGGGTCCTGGAAGGGGAAATGGGAAGCTGCAGGTCCTGGAAGGGGGGTAGGGAGGGGGATTTTGGTGTAATCCAGGTCCTGGAAGGGGGGTAAGGAGGGGGATTCTGGTGTAATCCAGGTCCTGGAAGGGAAGATAGGAACCTGTAGGTCCTGGAAGGGGGGTAGTGAGGGGGATTTTGGTGTAATCCAGGTCCTGGAAGGGGAAATGGGAAGCTGCAGGTCCTGGAAGGGGGGTAGTGAGGGGGATTCTGGTGTAATCCAGGTCCTGGAAGGTGAATTATGAACCTGTAGGTCCTGGAAGGGGGGTAGTGAGGGGGATTTTGGTGTAACCAAGGACGTGGAAGGGAAGATAGGAACCTGCAGGTCCTGGAAGGGGGGTAGTGAGGATGATTCTGGTGCAATCCAGGTCCTGGAAGGGGGGTAAGGAGGGGGATTCTGGTGTAACCAAGGACTTGGAAGGGAAGATAGGAACCTGCAGGTCCTGGAAGGGGGGTAGTGAGGATGATTCTGGTGCAATCCAGGTCCTGGAAGGGTAAAATCCTCTCAGGTCCCGGCAGATGCATAGTGAAAGTCGCTGTGTTGTTCTTGCAGCCCCGGAATATTGGTGTTCCATTGCTTATTTTGAGATGGACGTTCAGGTTGGAGAGACGTTTAAGGTCCCTTCCAGTTGCCCCGTGGTGACGGTGGATGGTTACGTGGATCCTTCGGGCGGCGATCGCTTCTGTTTGGGACAACTTTCCAACGTTCATCGGACCGAAGCCATCGAAAGAGCGCGGTGAGGAAGCCGCTCCATCTGTCGCTCCATCTGTGCCCCCACAAAGAAACCCCATAGGAATCCCAGATCACCCATAGGGACCCCATATACCCCATATGAATCCCATATCCCCCATAGGATCCCATATAGCCCATAGGATCCCATATACCCCATTGAAACCCCATATCCCCCATAAGATCCCATATCCCCTGTAGGATCCCATATACCCCATATATACCCCATATACCCCATAGGATCCCATATACCCCATAGAAACCCCTTATCCCCCATAGAAACCCCATATACACCATAGAAACTCCATATACCCCATTGTAACCCCGTATCCCCCATAGGATCCCATATCCCCCATAGAAACCCCATATCCCCCCTAAGATCCCATATACCCCATAGAAACCCCATATCCCCCATAGGGACCCCATATCCCCCATAAGATCCCATATACCCCATTGAAACCTCATATCCCCCATAGCGACCCCATATATCCCATTACAACCCCATATCCCCCATAGGATCCCATATAGCCCATAGGATCCCATATACCCCATAAGATCCCATATCCCCCATGGGATCCCATATACCCCACAGGAATCCCATATCCCCCATAAGAACACTGTATCCCCCATAGAAACCCCATATCCCCCATAGGAATCCCATATGCCCCATAGAAGCCCTATATCCCCCATAGAAACCCCATATCCCCAATAAGAACCCCATATACCCCATAGAAACCCCTTATCCCCCATAGGGACCCCATACACCCCATAGGAATCCCATATACCCAATACGAATCCCATATCCACCATAGAAATCCCATATCCCCCATAAGATCCCATATACCCCATAGGATCCCATATAGCCCATAAGATCCCATATCCCCCATAGAAACCCCATATCCCCCACAGGAACCCCATATCCCCTATAGGATCCCATATACCCCATAAATACCTCATATACCCCATAGGATCCCATATCCCCCATAGAAGCCCTACATCCCCTATAGAAACCCCATATCCCCCATAGCAACCCCATGTATCCCATTACAACCCCATATCCCCCATAGGATCTCATATAGCCCATAGGATCCCATATACCCCATAGATCCCATATAGCCCATAGGAATCCCATATCCCCCATAGGATCCCATATCCTCCCTAAGATCCCATATCCCATATAGGATTCCATATCCCCCATAGGATCCCATGTACCTCATTGAAACCCCATATCCCCCATAGAAACCCCATATCCCCCCTAAGATCCCATATACCCCATATATACCCCATATCCCCCATAGGGACCCCATATGCCCCATAGGGACCCCATACACCCCATAGGAATCCCATATACCCCATAGAAACCCCATAACCCCCATAAAATCCCATATCCCCCATAGGATCCCATATAGCCCATAGGATCCCATATCCCCCATAGGATCCCATATAGCCCATAGGATCCCATATAGCCCATAGAAACCCCATATACGAAATAGGATCCCATATTCACCATAGGGACCCCATATCCCCCATAGGATCCCATATCCCCCATAGAAACCCCATATCCACCATAGGGACCCCATATCCCCCATAGGGACCCCATATCTCCCATAGGGACCCCATACACCCCATAGGAATCCCATATACCCCATAGAAACCCCATATCCACCATAGAAACCCCATAACTCCCATAAAATCCCATAGAAACCCCATAGAAACCCCATATCGCCCATAGGACCCCATAGAACCCCAAAATCCCCCATAGGACCCCACAGGGACCCCACAGGATCCCATAAGAACCCATAGGAACACCACAGACCCCATAGGACCCCATAGGACCCCAATATCCCCCATAAGACCCCATAGGGACCCGGTATGGTGCCAAGATGGCCGCCGTGGTGCAAAGGGGGTTCACTATAGTGGTGAGTTGGGATCCCCTATAAATCCCATATAAGAAAGGGCTGCAGATGGAGTCCAAAAGACCCCATAGGACCCCATAGGACCCCATAGGACCCCATAGGACCCCATAGGGACCCCATAGGACCCCATAAGACCCCATAGGGACCCCATAGGGACCCAGTATGGTGCCAAGATGGCCGCCGTGGTGCAAGGGGGGTTCACTATAGTAGTGAGTTGGGTTCCCCTATACATCCCACAGAAGAATTGGCTGCAATGGGACCCCATAGGACCCCATAAGACCCCATAGGACCCCATAAGACCCCATAGGGACCCAATAGGACCCCATAGGGACCCCGTATGGTGCCAAGATGGCTGCCGTGGTGCAAAGTGAGTTCACTACAGTGGTGAGTGGGGATCCCCTATAAATCCCATATAAGAAAGGGCTGCAGATGGAGTCCAAAAGACCCCATAGGACCCCATAGGACCCCATAGGACCCCATAGGACCCCATAGGGACCCGGTATGGTGCCAAGATGGCCGCCGTGGTGCAAGGAGGGTTCACTACAGTGGTGAGTTGGGATCCCCTATAGATCCCACATAAGAAAGGGCTGCAGATGGAGACCAAAAGACCCCATAGGACCCCATAGGACCCCATAAGAACCCATAGGACCCCATAAGACCCCATAGGACCCCATAAGACCCCATAATCCCCTATAAGACCCCATAGAGACCCTATATGGTGCCAAGATGGCCGCCGTGGTGCAAAGTGAGTTCACTACTGTGGTGAGTTGGGATCCCCTATAGATCCCACATAAGAAATGGCTGCAGATGGAGCCTAAAGGACCCCATAGGACCCCATAGGACCCCATAGGACCCCATAGGGACCCCGTATGGTGCCAAGATGGCCGCCGTGGTGCAAAGGGGGTTCACTATAGTGGTGAGTTGGGTTCTGCCATAGGTCCTATGGAGGAAAAGGGCTGCAGTTGGACCCCATAGGACCCCATAAGACCCCATAAGAGCCCATAGGACCCCATAGGACCCCATAGGGACCCAATAGGACCCCATAGGGACCCGGTATGGTGCCAAGATGGCCGCCGTGGTGCAAAGTGAGTTCACTGTAGTGGTGAGTTGGGATCCATAGTGGGGTCCTCATAGGAAAGGGCTGCAATGGAACCCCATAAGACCCCTGTAGGGACCCCATAAGACCCCCATAGGACCCTATAGGACCCCATAGGGACCCAGTATGGTGCCAAGATGGCCGCCGTGGTGCAAAGGGGGTTCACTATAGTGGTGAGTTGGGTTCTGCCATAGGTCCTATGGAGGAAAAGGGCTGCAGTTGGACCCCATAGGACCCCATAGGACCCCATAGGACCGCATAAGACCCCTGTAGGGACCCCATAGGACCCCATAGGGACCCCTTATGGTGCCAAGATGGCCGCCGTGGTGCAAAGTGAGTTCACTACAGTGGTGAGTTGGGATCCCCTGTAGATCCCACATAAGAAATGGCTGCAGATGGAGTCCAAAAGACCCCATAGGACCCCATAGGACCCCATAAGACCCCATAGGACCCCATAAGACCCCATAGGGACCCCATAGGGACCCCGTATGGTGCCAAGATGGCCGCCGTGGTGCAAAGGGGGTTCACTACAGTGGTGAGTTGGGATCCCCTATACATCCCACAGAAGAATTGGCTGCAATGGGACCCCATAGGACCCCATAAGACCCCATAGGACCCCATAAGACCCCATAGGACCCCATAGGGACCCCATAGGGACCCCGTACGGTGCCAAGATGGCCGCCGTGGTGCAAAGGGGGTTCACTACTGTGGTGAACCGTTCAGGTTGCACATCGGCAAAGGGGTGCAGCTGGAGTGCAAGGGGGAAGGGGACGTGTGGGTGAGGTGCCTGAGCGACCACGCCGTGTTCGTGCAAAGTTACTACCTGGACCGAGAGGCCGGCCGGGCGCCGGGGGACGCAGTGCACAAGATCTACCCCAGCGCCTACATCAAGGTAGGGGGGGGGGGGGGGGGGGGGTATAGGGGGGTATAGGGGGGGATTTGGGGGGGGTATTGGGGTCTATGGGGGTCTATGGGGAATGTGGGGTTCTATGGGGGTCTATGGGGCATATAGGGGTCTTATAGGGGATATGGAGGATCTATGGGGCATCTATGGGGGATATGAGGTTCTATGGGGGTCTGTGGGGTTCTATGGCGTTCTATGGGGGACCTATGGGGGTTTTATAGGGGATATGGGGGGGTATTGGGGTCTATGGGGGTCTATGGGGGCTATGGGGTTCTATGGGGGTCTATGGGGGATCTATGGGGGTTTTATAGGGGATATGGGGGTCCATGGGGGATCTATGGGGGTTTTATAGGGGATATGGGGTTCTATGGGGATCTATGGGGGTTTTATAGGGGATATGGGGTCCTATGGGGGTCTATGGGGGATCTATGCGGGATATGGGGTTCTGTGGGGTTCTATGGGGGTCTATGGGAGTTCTATGGGGGTCTATGGGGGATATGGGCTTCTATGGGAGATCTATGGGGGTCTATGGGGGATATGGGGGATATGGGGTTCTATGGGGGTCTATGGGGTTCTATGGGGGTCTATGGGGGTCTATGGGGGCTATGGGGTTCTATGGGGGTCTATGGGGGATCTATGGGGGTCTATGGGGGATCTATGGGGGATATGGGGTTCTATGGGGGTCTATGGGGCCTATGGGGTTCTATGGGGGTCTATGGGGGTTTTAGAGGGGATATGGGGGATCTATGGGGGTTTTATAGGAGATATGGAGTTCTATGGGGTTCTATGGGGATTTTATAGGGGATATGGGGTTCTATGGGGGATCTATGGGGGATATGGGGGTCTATGCGGTTCTATGGGGGATCTATGGGGGTTTTATAGGGGATATGGGGTTCTATGGGGTTCTATGGGGGCTATGGGGTTCTATGGGGGTTTTAGAGGGGATATGGGGTTCTATGGGGGTTTATGGGGGATATGGGGGTCTATGGGGGTCTATGGGGGTTTTATGGGGGTCTATGGGGTCCTATGGGAGTCTATGGGGGATCTATGGGGGTTTTATAGGGGATATGGGGTCCTATGGGGATCTATGGGGTTTTTATAGGGGATATGGGGTTCTATGGGGGATCTATGGGGGATCTATGGGGGTCTATGGGGGATCTATGGGGGTTTTATAGGGGATATGGGGTTCCGCAAGGATCCTATGGCAGTTTATATATGGGATATGGGGTTCTATGGGGGTCTATGGGGGTTTATAGGGGATATGGGGTTCTATGGGGGTTTTATAGGGGATATGGGGTTGTATGGGGGTCTATGGGGGTCTATGGAGGTTTTATAGGGGATATGGGGATCTATGGGGGATCTATGGGGGATATGGGGGATATGGGGGATCTAAGGGGGTCTATGGGGGATATGGGGTTCTATGGGGGTTCTATGGGGGATATGGGGTTCTATGGGGGATCTATGGGGATTTATAGGGGTCTTATAGGGGATATGGAGGATCTATGGGGGATGTGGGGTTCTATGGGGGTCTATGGGGGTTTTATAGGGGATATGGGGTTCTATGGGGGTCTATGGGGTTCTATGGGGGATGTGGGGTTCTATGGGGTTCTATGGGAGTTCTATGGGGGTCTATGGGGGATCTATGGGGGACTATGGGGGATCTATGGGGGTTTTATAGGGGATATGGGGGTCTATGGGGGTTTTAGAGGGGATATGGGGTTCTATGGGGGTCTATGGGGTTCTATGGGGGATCTATGGGGGATATGGGGATCTGTGGAGGATCTATGGGGGTTTTATAGGGGATATGGGGTTCTATGCAGGTCTATGGGGGTTTTATAGGGGATATGGGGTTCTATGGGGGTCTATGGGGTTCTATGGGGGATGTGGGGTTCTATGGGATTCTATGGGGGATCTATGGGGGACTATGGGGGATCTATGGGGGTTTTATAGGGGATATGGGGGTCTATGGGGGTTTTAGAGGGGATATGGGGTTCTATGGGGGTCTATGGGGTTCTATGGGGGATCTATGGGGGATATGGGGATCTGTGGAGGATCTATGGGGGTTTTATAGGGGATATGGGGTTCTATGCGGGTCTGTGGGGGTTTTATAGGGGATATGGGGTTCTATGGGGGTCTATGGGGGATCTATGGGGGATATGGGGGTCTATGGGGGATATGGGGGTCTATGGGGGATATGGGGTTCTATGGGGGTCTATGGGGATTTATAGGGGTCTTATAGGGGATATGGAGGATCTATGGAGGTTTTATAGGGGATATGGGGTTCTATGGGGTCCTATGGGGGATCTATTGGGGCTTTATAGGGGATATGGGGGGGTATGAGGGGTTTTATAGGGGATATGGGGTTCTACGGGGGATATGGGGGATGTGGGGTTTATAGGGGATATGGGGTTCTATGAGGGTCTATGGGGGATATGGGGGTTCTATAGGGGATATGGGGTTCTATGGGGTCCTATGGGGGATCTGTGGAGGTTTTTATGGGATATGGGGTTCTATGGGGGATCTATGGAGGTTTTATAGGGGATATGGGGTTCTATGGGGGTCTATGGGGGATATGCGGTTCTATGGGGGTCTATGGGGGTTTTATAGGGGATATGAGGTTCTATGGGGGTCTGTGGGGGTTTTATGGGGGTCTATGGGGTCCTATAGGAGTCTATGGGGGATATGGGGGTTTTATAGGGGATATGGGGTCCTATGGTGTTCTATGGGGTTTTATAGGGGATATGGGGTTCTATGGGGTGCTATGGGGGATATGAGGGTTCTATAGGGGATATGGGGTCCTATGGGGGTCTATGGGGTTTTATAGGGGATATGGGGTTCTATGGGGTTTTATAGGGGATATGGGGTCCTATGGGGGATCTATGGGGGATATGGGGTCTTATGGGGGTTTTATAGGGGATATGGGGTTCTATGGGGGTCTATGGGGGATATGGGGGTCTATGGGGGTTTTATAGGGGATATGAGGTTCTATGGGAGTCTATGGGGGTTTTATAGGGGATATGGGGTCCTATGGGAGTCTATGGGGGATATGGGGGTTTTATAGGGGATATGGGGTTCTATGGGGATCTATGGGAGATGTGGGGGTTCTATAGGGGATATGGGGTCCTATGGGGTTCTATGGGGTTTTATAGGGGATATGGGGTCCTATGGGGTTCTATGGGGTTTCATAGGGGATATGGGGTTTTATGGGGGATATGGGAGTTCTATGGGGGTTTTATAGGGGATATGGGGTCCTATGGGGATCTCTGGGGAATATGGGGGTTCTATAGGGGATATGGGGTTCTATGGGGGACCTATGGGGGCTATGGGGGTTCTATAGGGGATATGGGGTCCTATGTGGTTCTATGGGGTTTTATAGGGGATATGGGGTTCTATGGGGGATCTATGGGGGCTATGGGGGTTCTATAGAGGATATGGGGTCCTATGTGGTTCTATGGGGCTTTATAGGGGATATGGGGTTCTATGGGGGATCTGTGGGGGTTTTATAGGGGATATGGGGTTCTGTGGGGTTCTATGGGGGATCTATGGGGGTTTTATAGGGTATATGGGGATCTAAGGGAGTTCTATGGGGTTTCATAGGGGATATGGGCTTCTATGGGGGATCTATGGGGCTATGGGGGTTCTATAGGGGATATGGGGTCCTATGGGGTCCTATGGGGCTTTTATAGGGGATATGGGGTCCTATGGGGGTCTTTGGGGGATCTATGGGGATTTTATAGGGGATATGGGGTTCTATGGGGGTTCTATGGGGTTTTATAGGGGATATGGGGTCCTATGGTGTTCTATGGGGTTTTATAGGGGATATAGGCTTCTATGGGGGATCTATGTGGGCTATGGGGGTTCTATAGGGGATATGGGGTCCTATGTGGTTCTATGGGGCTTTATAGGGGATATGGGGTTCTATGGGGTTCTATGGGGTTTCATAGGGGATATGGGGTTCTATGGGGGATATGGGAGTTCTATGGGGGTTTTATAGGGGATATGGCGTCCTATGGGGATCTCTGGGGAATATGGGGGTTCTATAGGGGATATGGGGTTCTATGGGGGTCTATGGGGGTTCTATAGGGGATATGGGGTCCTATGGGGTTCTATGGGGTTTCATAGGGGATATGGGGTCCTATGGGTTCCTATGGGGGATATGGGGTTCTATGCTGGTCTATGGGGGTTTTATAGGGGATATGGGGTCCTATGGGGGTATATGGGGGATCTATGGGGACTGTGGGGGTTCTATAGGGGATATGGGGTTCTATGGGGGTTCTATGGGGGTTTTATAGCGGATATGGGGTTCTATGGGGTCCTATGGGGGATATGGGGGTTCTATAGGGGATATGGGGTCCTATGGGGTTCTATGGGGTTTTATAGGGGATATGGGGTTCTATGGGGGATATGGGAGTTCTATGGGGGTTTTATAGGGGATACGGGGTTCTATGGGGGATATATGGGGGCTATGGGGGTTCTATTGAGGATATGGGGTCCTATGGGGTTCTATGGGGCTTTATAGGGGATATGGGGTTCTATGGGGGTTCTATGGGGGTCTGTGGGGGATCTATGGGGGATATGAGGTACTGTGGGGGTCTATAGGGGTTCTATAGGGGATATGGGGTTCTATGGGGGTCTATGGGGGATATGGGGTTCTCCAAGGATCCTATGGGGGTTTATATATGGGATATGGGGTTCTATGGGGGTCTATGGGGGTTTTATAGGGGATATGGGGTTCTATGAGGGTTTTATAGGGGATATGGGGTTGTATGGGGTTTTATAGGGGATATGGGGTTCTATGGGGGTCTATGGGGGATCTATGGGGGTTTTATAGGGGATATGGGGTCCTATGGGGTTCTATGGGGTTCTATAGGGGATATGGGGTTCTATGGGGGATCTATGGGGCTTTTATAGGGGATATGGGGTCCTATGGGGTCCTATGGGGGCTATGGGGGTTCTATAGGGGATATGGGCTCCTGTGGGGTCTTATGGGGCTTTTATAGGGTCTGTGGGTTCGCGGCGAGCCCCGCAACGCATCCCAGCCCCCTACCTTTGCAGGTATTCGACCTGAGGCAGTGCCACAGACAGATGCAACAGCAGGCAGCCACGGCGCAGGCGGCGGCGGCGGCTCAAGCGGCGGCGGTAGCTGGCAATATTCCTGGGCCCGGCTCTGTGGGTGGCATTGCTCCAGCAATTAGTGAGTAATTAACGCCTCGTTAAGCCTCAGCGCTTTCTATCGCCTCTCTGTTGGCGGTTGTGGGTTCTTACGGGGGCTCAGCGGCAAGGATTTGCTGCCATTCACTCTCATTAGCAGCCATTCGGCCCTATGGGCACCCGTTGGTCCTCATTAGACTTCATTAGGCCTAATTAGCATCTGTTAGTCCCCAATAGTACCCACTGACACTCATTAGCCTTCATTAACCGCCATTGACACCCATTAGCCACCATTAGTGCCCATTGGCAACCATTAGCGCCCATTAGCGCCCATTGGCAACCATGAGCGCCCATTAGCACCTATAGGCCCCAATTAGCAGCCATTGGCATTAATTAGCACCCATTAGTCCCCATTAACACTCATTAGCACCTATTAGCACCCATTAGCCCCCATTAACACTCATTAGCACCCATTAGTCCCCATTAACACTCATTAGCACCCATTAGTCCCCATTGACACCCGTTAGCCACCATTAGCGCCCATTGGCAACCATTAGCGCCCATTGGCAACCATTAGCACCTATAGGCCCCAATTAGCAGCCATTGGTACTAATTAGCCTCCATTAGCTCCCATTAACACTCATTAGCACCCATTAGTCTCCATTGACACTCATTAGCACCCATTAGCCCCCATTAACACTCATTAGCACCCATTAGTCCCCATTGACACCCGTTAGCCACCATTAGCGCCCATTGGCAACCATTAGCGCCCATTGGCAACCAGTAGCACCTATAGGCCCCAATTAGCAGCCATTGGTACTAATTAGCCTTCATTAGCTCCCATTAACACTCATTAGCACCCATTAGTCCCCATTGACACTCATTAGCACCCATTAGCGCCCATTGGCAACCATTAGCGCCCATTGGCAACCATGAGCACCCATTAGCACCTATAGGCCCCAATTAGCACCCATTGGTACTAATTAGTCTCCATTAGCTCCCATTAACACTCGTTAGCACCCATTAGTCCCCATTAACACTCATTAGCACCCATCAGTCCCCACTGACACCCATTAGCACCCATTAGCGCCCATTAACACTCATTAGCCACCATTAGCGCCCATTGGCAACCATTAGCGCCCATTAGCACCTATAGGCCCCAATTAGCAGCCATTGGTACTAATTAGCCTCCATTCGCTCCCATTAACACTCATTAGCACCCATCAGTCCCCATTGACACCCGTTAGCCACCATTAGCCCCAGTTAACACTCATTAGCACCCATCAGTCCCCATTAACACTCATTAGCACCCATCAGTCTCCATTGGCACCCATTAGCGCACATTAGCACCTATAGGCCCCAATTAGCAGCCGTTGGCATTAATTAGCCTCCATTCACTCCCATTAACACTCATTAGCACCCATTAGTCCCCATTAACACTCATTAGCACCCATTAGTCCCCATTGACACCCATTAGTACCCATCAGTCCCCATTAACACTCATTAGCCACCATTAGCGCCCATTGGCAACCATTAGCGCCCATTAGCACCTATAGGCCCCAATTAGCAGCCATTGGCATTAATTAGCCTCCATTCGCTCCCATTGACACTCATTAGCACCCATTAGCCCCCATTAACACTCATTAGCACCCATCAGTCCCCACTGGCACCCATTAGCGCACATTGGCTTCTATTGGCCCTCATTGGCCATCGTTAATCCTCATTAGTCACTATTAGCACCCATTGGCCCCAATTAGCAGCAATTGGTATTAATTAGCCTACATTAGCCCCCATTGACACTCATCGGCACCCATTAGCCCCCATTAACACTCATTAGTACCCATTAGTCCCCATTGACACCCGTTAGCCACCATTAGCGCCCATTGGCAACCATTAGCGCCCATTGGCAACCATTAGCACCCATTAGCACCTATAGGCCCCAATTAGCAGCCATTGGCATTAATTAGCCTCCATTCGCTCCCATTGACACTCATTAGCACCCATTAGTCCCCATTGACACCCGTTAGCCACCATTAGCGCCCATTGGCAACCATTAGCGCCCATTAGCACCTATAGGCCCCAATTAGCAGCCATTGGCATTAATTAGCCTCCATTCGCTCCCATTAACGCTCATTAGCACCCATTAGTCCCCATTAACACTCATTAGCACCCATTAGCGCCTCCTCCCCACCTCCATCCTCCCCCTTATCCCCCATTCCTTACCCCAATCCACCACCCTACATCCACGGATGCCACCCCCACCCATGGGTGCCCCTACACCCCATCTTCCCCCCCCTACGGCTGCCCCCCACCCATGGGTGCTCTCCACCCCCCAGACCCTCCACCTATGGCTCCCCCCCACCCATGGGTGCTCCCCATTCTCCCCACTCCCCATCCTGTCCCCATTCCCCACCCCAACTTCGCCTCCCCTCCCACCCCTCACCCCCATCTCCCACCCCCACCCATAGGTGCCCCCACACCCCTTATCCCCCCCCTATGGCTCCCCCCCACCCATGGGTGCCCCTGTACCCCAGATCTCCCCCCTATGGCTCCCTCCCACCCATGGGTGCTCCCTTGACCCCCCCCCACCCATAGGTGCTCCCCATCCTCCTCCTCTCCCTCCTCCCCATCACCCCTATCCCCCAATCCGCCACCCTACACCCCCATCTCCCACCCCCACCCATAGGTGCTCCCTACACCCCATCTTCTCCCCCCTACGGCTCCCCCCCACCCATGGGTGCTCCCTTGACCCCCCCCCACCCATAGGTGCTCCCCATTCTCTTCCTCCCCATCATCCTCCTCCCCCTCCCCCTTATCACCCATTCCTTACCCCAACCCCCTACCCTACACCCCCATCTCCCACCCCCACCCATAGGTGCTCCCTACACCCCATCTTCTCCCCCCTACGTCTCCCCCCCACCCACAGGTGCCCCCTACACCCCATCTTCCCCCCCCTACGGCTCCCCCTCACCCATGGGTGCTCTCCATCCTCCTCTTCCTCCCCCTTATCCCCCATTCCTTACCCCAATCCCCCACCCTACACCCACACCTCCCACCCCTCACCCATAGGTGCCCCCTACACCCCATCTTCTCCCCCCTATGGCTCCCCCCCACCCATGGGTGCTCCCTTGACCCCCCCCCACCCATAGGTGCTCCCCATCCTCCTCCTCTCCCTCCTCCCCATCACCCCTATCCCCCAATCCGCCACCCTACACCCCCATCTCCCACCCCCACCCATAGGTGCCCCCTACACCCCATCTTCTCCCCCCTACGGCTCCCCCCCACCCATGGGTGCTCCCTTGACACCCCCACCCATAAGTGCTCCCCATCCTCCTCCTCTCCCTCACTCCTATCACCCATTCCTTACCCCAATCCCTCACCCTACATCCACACCTCCCACCCCCCACCCATGGGTGCTCTCCACACCCCAGATCCCCCACCTACGGCTCCCCCCCACCCATAGGTGCCCCCTACACCCCATCTTCCCCCCCCTACGGCTCCCCCTCACCCATGGGTGCTCCCCATTCTCCTCCTCCCCATCCTGCCCCCATTCCCCACCCCGACTTCGCCTCCCTTCTCACCCATCACCCCCATCTCCAACCTGCCCTCCACCCATGGGTGCCTCCTACACCCCATCTTCTCCCCCCTATGGCTGCCCCTCACCCAGGGGTGCCCCCACACCTTCAATCCCCCACCTATGGCTTCCCCCCACCCATGGGTGCTCCTTTCACCCCCCTACCCATGGCTGCTCCCCATCCTCCTCCTCTCCCTCCTCCCCATCACCCCTATGCCCCAATCCCCCACCCTACATCCAATGGTGCCACCCCCACTCATGGGTGCTCCCACACCCCTTACCCCCCACCCATGGCTCCCCTCCACCCATGGGTGCCCCCTACACCCCATCTTCTCCCACCTATGGCTCCCCCTCACCCATGGCTGCTCCCCATCCTCCTCTCCCTCCTCCCCATCACCCCTATGTCCCAATCCCCTACCCTACACTCACACCTCCCACCCCCACCCATAGGTGCCCCCTACACCCCATCTTCTCCCCCCTACGGCTCCCCCCCACCCATGGGTGCTCCCTTGACCCCCCCCCACCCATGACTGCTCCCCATCCTCCTCTCCCTCACTCCTATCCCCCATTCCTTACCCCAACCCCCTACCCTACATCCACGGATGCCACCCCCACCCATGGGTGCCCCTGTACCCCAGATCCCCCACCTACGTCTCCCCCCCACCCATGGGTGCTCCCTTGACCCCCCCCCACCCATGGCTGCTCCCCATCCTCCTCCTCTCCCTCCTCCCCATCACCCCTATCCCCCAATCCGCCACCCTACACCCCCATCTCCCACCCCCACCCATAGGTGCCCCCTACACCCCATCTTCCCCCCCCTACGGCTCCCCCCCACCCATAGGTGCCGCCTACACCCCATCTTCCCCCCCCTACGGCTCCCCCTCACCCATGGGTGCTCCCCATTCTCCTCCCCATCACCCCTATCCCCCAATCCCCTACCCTACATCCACGGATGCCACCCCTACCCATGGGTGCCCCTGTACCCCAGATCCCCCACCTACGTCTCCCCCCCACCCATAGGTGCCCCCTACACCCCATCTTCTCCCCCCTACGGCTCCCCCTCACCCATGGGTGCTCTCCATTCTCCTCTTCCTCCGCCTTATCCCCCATTCCTTACCCCAACCCCCTACCCTACATCCACGGATGCCACCCCTACCCATGGGTGCCCCTGTACCCCAGATCCCCCACCTACGGCTCCCCCCCACCCATGGGTGCTCCCTTGACCCCCCCCCACCCATAGGTGCTCCCCATTCTCCTCCTCCCCATCCCCCATCCTCACCCCTTATCCCCCATTCCTTACCCCAACCCCCTACCCTACATCCACGGATGCCACCCCTCACCCATAGGTGCGCCCTACACCCCATCTTCTCCCCCCTATGGCTGACCCTCACCCAGGGGTGCCCCCACACCTTCAATCCCCCACCTATGGCTTCCCCTCACCCATGGGTGCTCCCTTGACCCCCCCCCACCCATAGGTGCTCCCCATCCTCCTCCTCTCCCTCCTCCCCATCACCCCTATCCCCCAATCCGCCACCCTACACCCCCATCTCCCACCCCCACCCATAGGTGCCCCCTACACCCCATCTTCTCCCCCCTACGGCTCCCCCCCACCCATGGGTGCTCCCTTCACCCCCCCCCCACCCATGACTGCTCCCCATCCTCCTCTCCCTCACTCCTATCCCCCATTCCTTACCCCAATCCCCTACCCTACATCCACACCTCCCACCCCCCACCCATGGGTGCTCTCCACACCCCAGACCCTCCACCTACGTCTCCCCCCCACCCATAGGTGCCCCCTACACCCCATCTTCTCCCCCCTACGGCTCCCCCCCACCCATGGGTGCTCCGTTGACACCCCCACCCATAGGTGCTCCCCATCCCCCATCCTCACCCCTATCCCCCATTCCTTACCCCAATCCCCTACCCTACATCCACGGATGCCACCCCCCACCCATGGGTGCCCCTGTACCCCAGATCCCCCACCTACGTCTCCCCCCCACCCATAGGTGCCCCCTACACCCCATCTTCTCCCCCCTACGGCTCCCCCCCACCCATGGGTGCTCCCCATCCTCCTCTACCTCACTCCTATCACCCATTCCTTACCCCAACCCCCTACCCTACACCCCCATCTCCCACCCCCACCCATAGGTGCTCCCTACACCCCATCTTCTCCCCCTTACGACTCCCCCCCACCCATGGGTGCTCCCTTGACACCCCCACCCATAAGTGCTCCCTATCCTCCTCCTATCCCTCACTCCTATCCCCCATTCCTTACCCCAATCCACTACCCTACATCCACGGATGCCACCCCCACCCATGGGTGCCCCTGTACCCCATCTTCTCCCCCCTACGGCTCCCCCCCACCCATGGGTGCTCCCTTGACACCCCCACCCATGACTGCTCCCCATCCTCCTGCTCTCCCTCACTCCTATCCCCCATTCCTTACCCCAATCCCCTACCCTACATCCACACCTCCCACCCCCCACCCATGGGTGCTCTCCACACCCCAGACCCTCCACCTACGTCTCCCCCCCACCCATAGGTGCCCCCTACACCCCATCTTCTCCCCCCTACGGCTCCCCCCCACCCATGGGTGCTCCGTTGACACCCCCACCCATAGGTGCTCCCCATCCCCCATCCTCACCCCTATCCCCCATTCCTTACCCCAATCCCCTACCCTACATCCACGGATGCCACCCCCACCCATGGGTGCCCCTGTACCCCAGATCCCCCACCTACGTCTCCCCCCCACCCATAGGTGCCCCCTACACCCCATCTTCTCCCCCCTACGGCTCCCCCCCACCCATGGGTGCTCCCCATCCTCCTCTACCTCACTCCTATCACCCATTCCTTACCCCAACCCCCTACCCTACACCCCCATCTCCCACCCCCACCCATAGGTGCTCCCTACACCCCATCTTCTCCCCCTTACGACTCCCCCCCACCCATGGGTGCTCCCTTGACACCCCCACCCATAAGTGCTCCCTATCCTCCTCCTATCCCTCACTCCTATCCCCCATTCCTTACCCCAATCCACTACCCTACATCCACGGATGCCACCCCCACCCATGGGTGCCCCTGTACCCCATCTTCTCCCCCCTACGGCTCCCCCCCACCCATGGGTGCTCCCTTGACACCCCCACCCATGACTGCTCCCCATCCTCCTGCTCTCCCTCACTCCTATCCCCCATTCCTTACCCCAATCCCCTACCCTACATCCACACCTCCCACCCCCCACCCATGGGTGCTCTCCACACCCCAGACCCTCCACCTACGGCTCCCCCCCACCCATAGGTGCCCCCTACACCCCGTCTTCTCCCACCTATGGTTTTCCCCCACCCATGGGTGCTCCCCATTCTACTCCTCCCCATCCTGCCCCCATTCCCCACCCCGACTTCACCTCCCCTCCCACCCTACACCCCCATCTCCCACCCCCACCCATAGGTGCCCCCTACACCCCATCTTCCCCCCCCTACCCCCACCCCCCACCCATGGGTGCCCCCTTATCACCCTTCCCCTTTCCCACCCAGGCCTCTCGGCCGCCGCCGGCATCGGCGTGGACGACCTTCGCCGCCTTTGCATTTTACGCATGAGCTTCGTTAAAGGCTGGGGCCCCGATTACCCGCGTCAGAGCATCAAGGAGACGCCATGTTGGATCGAGATCCACCTCCATCGCGCCCTTCAGCTGCTGGACGAAGTCCTGCACACGATGCCCATCGCCGACCCGCAACCTTTGGACTGAAGCTTTGCCTTCTCCCCCCCCCCCCTTCCCTTCCCGGACCTTGAAGCAGCGCCTTCGTTAGTTTTAATTAATTGCTTTTTGTTAATTGGTTTCGGTTCCCAGGTCCCGGAAGGGCGGCGCGGCGGCTTTTTGGTTTGATTTCCAATGGGGGTTTTTTTGGGGGTTGGGGGAATAAAAAGATGGATTCGGTCGCGGTGTGGAGCTTTCGGTTCGTTAGCGGCGTTGTTAATTGGTTAATTATCTGGGTGGTGTCGTTAATAGAAGGGTTTGCTGCTCGCTGATGCCAGCAGTCGCCTCTGTGATGCCATCAATGCGTCAAGAATCCTGCAATAATCCGTGCAATCTTCCCATTAGGTCGTTAATAAGCTGAGCAATCCATCCTTAATTACATTAATAAGCGTATTTATCCATTAATAATCCCATCAATCCCATCAACAGTCTCATCAATTCATCAATAATCCCATCAATCCATCAATAATCCCATCAATCCATCAATAATCCCATTAATCCATCAATAATCCCACCAATTTCATCAATAACCCCATTAATCTCATCAATAATCCCATTAATCTCAACAATTATCCCATCAATTGATCAATAATCCCATCAATCTCATCAATAATACCATCAATCTCATCTATAATCCCATTAATTTCATCAATAACCCCATCAGTCCATCAATAATCCCATCAGTCCATCAATAATCCCATTAATCTCATCAATAATCCCATCAATCTCAACAATAATACCATCAGTCCATCAATAATCCCATCAATAAATCAATAATCTCATTAATCTTGTCAATAATCCCATCAATATCATCAATAATCCAATCAATCCATCAATAATCCCATTAATCTCATCAATAATCGCATCTATCCATCAATAAACATAATTTGCCCCATCAATCTCATCAATAATCCTATTAATCCATCAATAATCCCATTAATCCATCAATAATCCCACCAATCTCATCAATAATACCATCAATTCCATCAATAATCCCATGAATCTCATCAATAACCCCATCAGCCCATCAATAATCCCATCAGTCCATCAATAATCCCATCAATCTCATCAATAATCCCATTAATCCATCAATAATCCCATTAATCTCATCAATAATCCCATCAGTCCATCAATAACCCCATCAATCTCATCAATAATCCCATTAATCTCATCAATAACCCCATCAGTCCATCAATAATCCCATCAGTCCATCAATAATCCCATCAATCTCATCAATAACCCATCAATATCATCAATAATCCCATGAATCCATCAATAATCCCATTAATCTCATCAATAATCCCACCAATCTCATCAACAATACCATCAATTCCATCAATACTCCCATTAATCTCATCAATAATCCCATCAATCCATCAATAATCCCATTAATCTCATAAATAATTCCATCACTCTCATCAATAATCCCATGAATTTCATCAATAATTCCAACAATCCATCAATAATCCCATTAATCTCATCAATAAACCCATCAATCTCATCAATAATCCCATTAATCTCATCAATAACCCCATTTACCCCATCAATCACATCAATAATCCCATCAATCCATAATCCCATTAATCTCATCAATAAACCCATCAATATCATCAACAATCCCAATATCATCAATAATCCCATTAACCTCATCAATAATCCCATTAATCTCATCAATAACTCCATCTATCCATCAATAACCCCGTTTACCCCATCAATCTCATCAATAACCCCATCAATCTCATCAATAATCCCATCAATTTCATCAATAACCCCATTAATCTCATCAATAATCCCATCAATCGCATCAATAATCCCATCAATCCATCAATAATCCCATCAATCCATCAATAATCCCATCAATCTCATCAATAATCCCACCAATTTCATCAATAATCCCATCAATCTCATCAATATTCACATCAATCTCATCAATATTCCCATCAATCCATCAATAATCCCATTAATCTCATCAATAATCCCATCAATCTCATCAATAATCCCATTAATTGCATCAATAATCCCATTAATCTCATCAATAATCCCATCAATCCATCAATAATCCCATCAAATTCATCAATAATCCCATTAACCCATCAATAATCCCATCAATCAATCAATAATCCCATTAATCTCATCAATAACCCCATTAACCCCATTAATCTCATCAATAATCACATCAATCCATTAATAATCCCATTAATTTCATCAATAATCCCATCAATCTCATCAATAATCCCATCAACCCATCAATACTCCCATTAATCTCATCAATAATCGCATCTATCCATCAATAACCCCATTTACCCCATCAATGTCATCAATAACCCCATTGATCTCATCAATAATCCCATTAATCTCATCAATAATCCCATCAATTTCATCAATAATCCCATTAATCCATCAATAATCCCATTAATCTCGTCAATAACCCCATCGATGTATCAATAATCCCAGCCATCCTGCAATAATCCGTTCAATCTTCCCATTAGGTCGTTAATAATCTGAGCAATCCATCCTTAATTACATTAATAATCATATTTATCTATTAATAATCCCATCAATCCCATCAACGTCATCGATAAACCCATCTATCTCATCAATAATACCAGCAATCCATCAATAATCCCATCAATCTCATCAATAATCCCATTAACCCATCAATAATCCCATTAATCTCATCAATAATCCCATCAATCCATCAATAATCCCATCAATCTCATCAATAATCCCATCAAATCCATTAATAACCCTGCTTACCCCATCAATCTCATCAATAATCCCATTAACTCATCAATAATCCCATTAATCTCATCAATTATCCCATCAATCCATCAATAATCCCATCGATCCTGAAATAATCCATGCCATCTTCCCATTAGGCCATTAATAATCTGAGTAATTCATCACTAATTGTATTAATGACCACATTTATCCATCAATAATCCCATTAATCACATGAACATCATCAATAACCCATCAATTCATCAATTATCCCATCAATATCATCAATAATCCCATCAATCCATCAATAATCCCATTAATCTCGTCAATAAACCCATCAATCTCTTCAATAATCCCATCGATCTCATCAATAATCCCATTAATCCATCAATAATCCCATTAATCTCATCAATAATCCCATTAATCTCATCAATAACCCCATTTACCCAATTAATCTCATCAATAATCACATCAATCCTTCAATAATCCCATTAATCTCATCAATAATCCCACCAATCTCATCAATAACCCCATTAATCCATCAATAATCCCATCAATCTCATCAATAATCCCATCAAATCCATTAATAACCCTGCTTACCCCATCAATCTCATCAATAATCCCATTAATCCATCAATAATCCCATTAATCTCATCAATTATCCCATCAATCAATCAATAATCCCATCTATCCTGCAATAATCCATGCCATCTTCCCATTAGGCCATTAATAATCTGAGCAATTCATCACTAATTGTATTAATGATCAATAGACCCATTAATACCCCAACCACCTCGTTCATCCAATTAATCTTGCCATTAATCCCATTCATCCCACTAATCTCATCAATAATCCCAGCCCCAATCCTGCATTTGTGGACTCACAAACCCCAAAATCCCCACAAAAACCCCAAATCCCCTTAAAAGACCCCAAAATCCACTCAAAAAGCCCCAAAATCCCCTAAAAATCCCCTAAAATCCCCTAAAAGACCCCAAATCCCCTTAAAAGACCCCAAAATCCCATAATAGAAACCCAAAATCCCCTAAAAGGAACCCAAAATCCCCTCTAAAAGCCCCAAAATCCCCTTAAAAGACCCCAAAATCCTATAATAGAACCCCAAAATCCCATTCAAAAACCCCAAATCCCCTAAAAGACCCCAAAATCCCTTAAAAGACCCCAAAATCCACTCAAAAAGCCCCAAAACCCCATTAAAAATACCCTAAAATCCCCTAAAAGCCCCAAAATCCCCTAAAAATCCCCTAAAATCCCCTTAAAAGACCCCAAATCCCCTTAAAAGACCCCAAAATCCCATAATAGAAACCCAAAATCCCCTAAAAGGTACCAAAATCCCCTCTAAAAGCCCTAAAATCCCTCAAAAGACCCCAAAATCCTATAATAGAACCCCCAAAATCCCATTCAAAAACCCCAAATCCCCTAAAAGACCCCAAAATCCCTTAAAAGACCCCAAAATCCTATAATAGAACCCCCAAAATCCCATTAAAAAACCCCAAAATCCCTTAAAAGACCCCAAAATCCTATAATAGAACCCCCAAAATCCCATTAAAAAACCCCAAAATCCCTTAAAAGACCCCAAATCCCCTTAAAAGACCCCAAAATCCCATAATAGAAACCCAAAATCCCCTAAAAGGAAACCAAAATCCCCTCTAAAAGCCCCAAAATCCCTCAAAAGACCCCAAAATCCTATAATAGAACCCCAAAATCCCATAAAAGACCCCAAATCCCCTAAAAGACCCCAAAATCCCCTAAAATACCCTAAAATCCACTCAAAAAGCCCCAAAACCCCATTAAAAATACCCTAAAATCCCCTAAAAGCCCCAAAATCCCCTAAAAATGCCCTAAAATCCCCTAAAAGACCCCAAATCCCCTTAAAAGACCCCAAAATCCCATAATAGAAACCCAAAATCCCCTAAAAGGAAACCAAAATCCCCTCTAAAAGCCCCAAAATCCCCCAAAAGACCCCAAAATCCGATAATAGAACCCCAAAATCCCATTCAAAAACCAAAATCCCCTAAAAGACCCCAAAATCCCTTAAAAGACCCCAAAATTCACTCAAAAAGCCCCAAAATCCCCTAAAAATGCCCTAAAATCCCCTAAAAGACCCCAAATCCCCTTAAAAGACCCCAAAATCCCATAATAGAAACCCAAAATCCCCTAAAAGGAACCCAAAATCCCCTCTAAAAGCCCTAAAATCCCTTAAAAGACCCCAAAATCCACTCAAAAAGCCCCAAAATCCCCTAAAAATACCCTAAAATCCCCTAAAAGACCCCAAAATCCCCTTAAAAGACCCCAAAATCCCATAATAGAAACCCAAAATCCCCTAAAAGGAAACCAAAATCCCCTCTAAAAGCCCCAAAATCCCTCAAAGACCCCAAAATCCTATAATAGAACCCCAAAATCCCATTAAAAAACCCCAAATCCCATAAAAGACCCCAAAATCCACTCAAAAAGCCCCAAAATCCCCTAAAAATACCCTAAAATCCCCTAAAAGACCCCAAATCCCCTTAAAAGACCCCAAAATCCCATAATAGAAACCCAAAATCCCCTAAAAGGAAACCAAAATCCACTCAAAAAGCCCTAAAATCCCTCAAAAGACCCCAAAATCCCATAATAGAAACCCAAAATCCCATTCAAAAACCCCAAATCCCATAAAAGACCCCAAAATCCCTTCAAAGACCCCAAAATCCACTCAAAAAGCCCCAAAATCCCCTAAAAATACCCTAAAATCCCCTAAAAGACCCCAAAATCCCTTAAAAGACCCCAAAATCCCATAATAGAAACCCAAAATCCCCTAAAAGGAACCAAAATCCCCTCTAAAAGCCCTAAAATCCCTTAAAAGACCCCAAAATCCCTTAAAGGACCCCAAAATCCACTCAAAAAGCCCCAAAATCCCCTAAAAATACCCTAAAATCCCCTAAAAGACCCCAAATCCCCTTAAAAGACCCCAAAATCCCATAATAGAAACCCAAAATCCCCTAAAAGGAACCCAAAATCCCCTCTAAAAGCCCCAAAATCCCCTTAAAATACCCCAAAATCCTATAATAGAACCCCAAAATCCCATTCAAAAACCCCAAAATCCCTTAAAAGACCCCAAAATCCCTTAAAAGACCCCAAATCCCCTTAAAAGACACCAAAATCCTATAATAGAAACCCAAAATCCCATTAAAAAACCCCAAATCTCCTAAAAAGACCCCAAATCCCCTAAAAGACCCCAAATCCCCTTAAAAGACCCCAAAATCCCATAATAGAAACTCAAAATCCCCTAAAAGGAAACCAAAATCCCCTCTAAAAGCCCCAAAATCCCTCAAAAGACCCCAAAATCCTATAATAGAACCCCCAAAATCCCATTCAAAAACCCCAAAATCCCTTAAAAGACCCCAAAATCCCCTCAAAAGACCCCAAAATCCCTCAAAAGACCCCAAAATCCCCTAAAAATACCCCAAAATCCCCTAAAAGACCCCAAATCCCTTAAAAGACCCCAAAATCCCATAATAGAAACCCAAAATCCCCTAAAAGGAACCAAAATCCCCTCTAAAAGCCCTAAAATCCCACAAAAGACCCCAAAATCCTATAAAAGAACCCCAAAATCCCATTCAAAAACCCCAAATCCCCTTAAAAGACCCCAAAATCCACTCAAAAAGCCCCAAAATCCACTCAAAAAGCCCCAAAATCCCCTAAAAATACCCTAAAATCCCCTAAAAGCCCCAAAATCCCCTAAAAATCCCCTAAAATCCCCTAAAAGACCCCAAATCCCCTTAAAAGACCCCAAAATCCCATAATAGAAACCCAAAATCCCCTAAAAGGTACCAAAATCCCCTCTAAAAGCCCTAAAATCCCTTAAAAGACCCCAAAATCCTATAATAGAACCCCCAAAATCCCATTAAAAAACCCCAAATCCCCTAAAAGACCCCAAAATCCCTTAAAACACCCCAAAATCCCCTAAAAATACCCTAAAATCCCCTAAAAGACCCCAAATCCCCTTAAAAGACCCCAAAATCCCATAATAGAAACCCCAAATCCCCTAAAAGGAAACCAAAATCCCCTCTAAAAGCCCTAAAATCCCTCAAAAGACCCCAAAATCCTATAATAGAACCCCAAAATCCCATTCAAAAACCCCAAATCCCCTAAAAGACCCCAAAATCCCTTAAAAGGCCCCAAAATCCCCTTAAAAGACCCCAAAATCCTATAATAGAACCCTAAAATCCCATTAAAAAACCCCATAACCCCTAAAAGATCCCAAATCCCCTTAAAAGACCCCAAAATCCCATAATAGAAACCCAAAATCCCCTAAAAGGAAACCAAAATCCCCTCTAAAAGCCCCAAAATCCCTCAAAAGACCCCAAAATCCTATAATAGAACCCCAAAATCCCATTCAAAAACCCCAAATCCCCTAAAAGACCCCAAAATCCACTCAAAAAGCCCCAAAATCCCCTAAAAATACCCTAAAATCCCCTAAAAGACCCCAAATCCCCTTAAAAGACCCCAAAATCCCATAACAGAAACCCAAAATCCCCTAAAAGGAACCAAAATCCCCTCTAAAAGCCCCAAAATCCCTTAAAAGACCCCAAAATCCCTTAAAGGACCCCAAAATCCACTCAAAAAGCCCCAAAATCCCCTAAAAATCCCCTAAAATCCCCTAAAAGACCCCAAATCCCCTTAAAAGACCCCAAAATCCCATAATAGAAACCCAAAATCCCCTAAAAGGAAACCAAAATCCCCTCTAAAAGCCCCAAAATCCCCTTAAAAGACCCCAAAATCCCATAATAGAAACCCAAAATCCCATTCAAAAACTCCAAATCCCCTAAAAGACCCCAAAAACTCTCAAAAAGCCCCAAAATCCTATAATAGAACCCCCAAAATCCCATTAAAAAAACCCAAATCCCCTAAAAGACCCCAAAATCCCTCAAAAGACCCCAAAATCCCATAATAAAAACCCAAAATCCCCTAAAAGGAAACCAAAATCCCCTAAAAGACCCCAAAATCCCATAATAGAAACCCAAAATCCCCTAAAAGGAAACCAAAATCCCCTCTAAAAGCCCTAAAATCCCTCAAAAGACCCCAAAATCCCCTAAAAGCCCCCAAATCCCCTTAAAAGACCCCAAAATCCCATAATAGAAACCCAAAATCCCCTAAAAGGAACCCAAAATCCCCTCTAAAAGCCCCAAAATCCCTCAAAAGACCCCAAAATCCCATAATAGAAACCCAAAATCCCATTCAAAAACCCCAAATCCCCTAAAAGACCCCAAAATCCCTTAAAAGACCCCAAAATCCCATAATAGAAACCCAAAATCCCCTAAAAGGAAACCAAAATCCCCTCTAAAAGCCCTAAAATCCCTCAAAAGACCCCAAAATCCCATAATAGAACCCCCAAAATCCCATTCAAAAACCCCAAATCCCCTAAAAGACCCCAAAATCCCTTAAAAGACCCCAAAATCCACTCAAAAAGCCCCAAAATCCCCTAAAAATACCCTAAAATCCCCTAAAAGACCCCAAATCCCCTTAAAAGACCCCAAAATCCCATAATAGAAACCCAAAATCCCCTAAAAGGAAACCAAAATCCCCTCTAAAAGCCCTAAAATCCCTCAAAAGACCCCAAAACCCCATTAAAAGACCCCAAATCCCCTAAAAGACCCCAAATCCCCTTAAAAGACCCCAAAATCCCATAATAGAAACCCAAAATCCCCTAAAAGGAAACCAAAATCCCCTCTAAAAGCCCTAAAATCCCTCAAAAGACCCCAAAATCCTATAATAGAACCCCAAAATCCCATTCATAAACCCCAAATCCCCTAAAAGACCCCAAAATCCTTTAAAAGACCCCAAAATCCTATAATAGAACCCCAAAATCCCATTAAAAAACCCCAAAATCCCTTAAAAGACCCCAAATCCCCTTAAAAGACCCCAAATCCCCTTAAAAGACCCCAAAATTCTATAATAGAACCCTAAAATCCCATTCAAAAACCCCAAATCCCATAAAGGACCCCAAAATCCCCTAAAAGACCCCAAAATCCCATAATAGAAACCCAAAATCCCCTAAAAGGAAACCAAAATCCCCTCTAAAAGCCCTAAAATCCCTCAAAAGACCCCAAAATCCTATAATAAAACCCCCAAAATCCCTCAAAAGACCCCAAAATCCTATAATAGAACCCTAAAATCCCATTAAAAAACCCCAAATCCCCTAAAAGACCCCAAAATCCCTTAAAAGACCCCAAAATCCCATAATAGAAACCCAAAATCCCCTAAAAATCCCCTAAAATCCCCTAAAAGACCCCAAATCCACTCAAAAGACCCCAAAATCCCATAATAGAAACCCAAAATCCCCTAAAAGGAAACCAAAATCCCCTCTAAAAGCCCCAAAATCCCTCAAAAGACCCCAAAATCCTATAATAGAACCCTAAAATCCCATTAAAAGACCCCAAATCCCATAAAGGACCCCAAAATCCCTTAAAAGACCCCAAATCCCCTTAAAAGACCCCAAATCCCCTTAAAAGACCCCAAAATCCCATAATAGAAACCCAAAATCCCATTAAAAAACCCCAAATCTCCTAAAAAGACCCCAAATCCCCTAAAAGACCCCAAATCCCCTTAAAAGACCCCAAAATCCCATAATAGAAACCCAAAATCCCCTAAAAAGACCCCAAAATCCCCTAAAAGACCCCAAAATCCCATAATAGAAACCCAAAATCCCCTAAAAGGAAACCAAAATCCCCTCTAAAAGCCCTAAAATCCCTCAAAAGACCCCAAAATCCTATAATAGAACCCCAAAATCCCATTAAAAAACCCCAAATCCCATAAAGGACCCCAAAATCCCTTAAAAGACCCCAAAATCCCCTTAAAAGACCCCAAATCCTATAATAGAACCCTAAAATCCCATTAAAAAACCCCAAATCCCCTTAAAAGATCCCAAAATCCTATAATAGAACCCCAAAATCCCATTCAAAAACCCCAAATCCCCTAAAAGACCCCAAATCCCCTTAAAAGACCCCAAAATCCCATAATAAAAACCCAAAATCCCCGAAAAGGAAACCAAAATCCCCTCTAAAAGCCCCAAAATCCCTCAAAAGACCCCAAAATCCTATAATAGAACCCCAAAATCCCATTAAAAAACCCCAAATCCCCTAAAAAGACCCCAAATCCACTTAAAAGACCCCAAAATCCCATAACAGAAACCCAAAATCCCCTCTAAAAGGAAACCAAAATCCACCCATTAAAAGACCCCAAAATCCTATAATAAAACCCCAAAATCCCATTAAAAAACCCCAAATCCCCTAAAAGACCCCAAAATCCACTCAAAAAGCCCCAAAATCCACTCAAAAAGCCCCCAAATCCCCTAAAAATACCCTAAAATCCCCTAAAGACCCCAAATCCCCTTAAAAGACCCCAAAATCCCATAATAGAAACCCAAAATCCCCTAAAAGGAAACCAAAATCCCCTCTAAAAGCCCCAAAATCCCTCAAAAGACCCCAAAATCCTATAATAGAACCCCAAAATCCCATTCAAAAACCCCAAAATCCCCTTAAAAGACCCCAAAATCCCATAATAGAAACACAAAATCCCCTAAAAGGAAACCAAAATCCCCTCTAAAAGCCCTAAAATCCCTCAAAAGACCCCAAAATCCTATAATAGAACCCCAAAATCCCATTCAAAAACCCCAAATCCCTTAAAAGACCCCAAATCCCTTAAAAGACCCCAAAATCCCCTTAAAAGACCCCAAAATCCCATAATAGAAACCCAAAATCCCCTAAAAATACCCTAAAATCCCCTAAAAGACCCCAAAATCCCCTTAAAAGACCCCAAAATCCCATAATACAAACCCAAAATCCCCTAAAAGGAAACCAAAATCCCCTCTAAAAGCCCTAAAATCCCTCAAAAGACCCCAAAATCCTATAATAGAAACCCAAAATCCCATTCAAAAACCCCAAATCCCATAAAGGACCCCAAAATCCCTTAAAAGACCCCAAAATCCACTCAAAAAGCCCCAAAATCCCCTAAAAATACCCTAAAATCCCCTAAAAGACCCCAAATCCCCTTAAAAGACCCCAAAATCCCATAATAGAAACCCAAAATCCCCTAAAAGGAACCAAAATCCCCTCTAAAAGCCCTAAAATCCCTTAAAAGACCCCAAAATCCCTTAAAGGACCCCAAAATCCACTCAAAAGACCCCAAAATCCCATAATAGAAACCCAAAATCCCCTAAAAGGAAACCAAAATCCCCTCTAAAAGCCCCAAAATCCCTCAAAAGACCCCAAAATCCTATAATAGAACCCAAAAATCCCATTCAAAAACCCAAATCCCCTTAAAAGACCCCAAAATCCCTTAAAAGACCCCAAAATCCCCTAAAAATACCCTAAAATCCCCTAAAAGACCCCAAATCCCCTTAAAAGACCCCAAAATCCCATAATAGAAACCCAAAATCCCCTAAAAGGAAACCAAAATCCCCTCTAAAAGCCCTAAAATCCCTCAAAAGACCCCAAAATCCTATAATAGAACCCCCAAAATCCCATTAAAAAATCCCAAATCCCATAAAAGACCCCAAAATCCCTTAAAAGACCCCAAAATCCCCTAAAAATACCCTAAAATCCCCTAAAAGACCCCAAATCCCCTTAAAAGATCCCAAAATCCCATAATAGAAACCCAAAATCCCCTAAAAGGAAACCAAAATCCCCTCAAAAAGCCCTAAAATCCCTCAAAAGACCCCAAAATCCTATAATAGAACCCACAAAATCCCATTAAAAAACCCCAAATCCCGTAAAAGACCCCAAAAACCCTCAAAAGACCCCAAAATCCTATAATAGAACCCCAAAATCCCATTAAAAAACCCCAAATCCCCTTAAAAGACCGCAAAATCCCCTTAAAAGACCCCAAAATCCCTTAAAAGACCCCAAAATCCCATAATAGAAACCCAAAATCCCCTAAAAGACCCCAAATCCCCTAAAAAGACCCCAAAATCCTATAATAGAAACCCAAAATCCCATTCAAAAACCCCAAATCCCCTCAAGCAACCCCAAAATCCCTCAAATCAACCCAAAAATCCCATTAAAACCCCCCAAAATCCCCTAAAAAACCCCAAAAAGCCCCAAATCCCCCCCTAAAAAGCCCCAAATCCCTTCAAACTCCGCCATTTTCCCCCTGCTTTCCCCTCCACGGCCTCCATTTTCCCCCAACTTTTCCGCCCTGAATCCCCGTTTTCTCCCCCAAAATCCCAACTTTTCCTCGCGTTTCACCCCCAAAATCCCCATTTTTCAACATTTTCCCCCAAAATTCCTCATTTTTTCCTCTTATTTTCCCCTAAAATCGCTTTTTTTCCCCCAAATTCTCCCCGTGGCCGCCATTTTCCCGCCAAGCCGCCATTTTGTCCCCACCCCTCTTCCCGCCAAGCCGCCATTTTTTCCCCCTTGCCGTTTTCCCGCCACGCCGCCATTTTGTCCCCACCCTCTTCCCGCCACGCCGCCATTTTTTACCCTCAGCCGTTTTCCCGCCAAGCCGCCATTTTGTCCCCACCCCTCTTCCCGCCACGCCGCCATTTTTTCCCCTCACCTCCCAACCAAAACCCCCCCCAAATTTCACCCCAATTCACCCCCAAAACGCCGTTTTCCCACCAAGTTTCCACACAAACCACCGCATTCCCTCAAAAAGTGCCCGAATTCGCCGTTTTTATTCGCGTTCCGCCCCGAAATCCCCACCGCCATTCCGCATTTCCACAACCGCCGAAGCCGCCGCTTTCATTCCGACGGCAGCCGAGAAGCGCCGCGCTCTGAGCAACGTTTGACCTTTTTTCATTTACAGTTCCGGCGAAAATCCGCCCTTTTCTCCACGCCGCCTTCCATCATTACCGACGATTTTCGGCTTCGAGCCGCGGCGGCCGCCGCGCCGCCACCTCCCTTCCGGCGGCCGTTCGCCGGCACTTCCGGTGTCTTCGGAAACCTTCGGGAATGTTCGGATGCGGCTCAATGCGCTTCGCGCTGCTCCCTGTGTGAAAGAGCGGGAAACACACGGGGCGGCCTGCGGGCACGTCGACAGAACAACATGGCGGCACTTCCGGTCCGCTCGCAGCTCAGCTGCAGGAAAAATGGCCGAACTTCCGGTCCGTTCGGCGCGATCCGATCCGCTCGCAGCGCTTCGGAAACAAGCGGCGTTTGCGGCCATTTCGCCTCACATCCGGGCATTTCGAGCCGCTTCGGAGCATTTCGCTCCATTCCGAGCCGTTCGGGGACGGGTTGGATGTGGGAACGGCGGGGGGTGAGGGGGGGCAACATGGAGGCACTTCCGGTGGCTGCGAGAAACTTCGGGAAAGTCCCGGGGTGGCTCCGAGCGCTTCCGGTTACTTCGAAGGAGGCCGGAGGTGGATGGGAGGAAAAGGCAGAGGAAAAGATGGCGGCACTTCCGGTCACTTTCGGGGAAATTCGGAACAGATCGGAGAGCATTCGGGCATCACCGAGAACATCGGGGCAGCCCGTTGTGATTGGGGTCCAATCGAAGCACTTCCGGTACCTTCGGAGCACTTCCGGTCCTTTCGGACCACATCGGAGCAGTTCAGAGGGATATCGGAGCACTTCCGGGTTCTTCGGCGCACTTCCGGTCCGTTCGGAGCTGTTCGGAAATGTTCGTAGAACATCCGAGAGCTTCGGAGCTTTTCGGCTCATTTCGGAAGCGTTCGGAGCACTTCGGGTCGCTTCGGAGAACTTCGGAACACATCGGGGAAATTGCGATCATTTCAGAGCACTTCGGGTCCTTTCGGCAATGTTCGGAACGCTTCGGATGAACTGAGGGCACTTCCGGTATTTTCGGAGCAATTCGGGTCACTTCGGAGATCTTCGGTTCGACTTCGGGGCGCTTTTGGTCTTTGCGGAGCACTTCCGGTACCTTCGGAGCACTTCCGGTCCTTTCGGAACACATCGGAGCGGTTCAGAGGGATATCGGAGCACTTCCGGGTTCTTCGGCGCACTTCCGGTCCGTTCGGAGCTGTTCGGAGATGTTCGTAGAACATCCGAGAGCTTCGGAGCTTTTCGGAGCATTTCGGAAGCGTTCGGAGCACTTCGGGTCCCTTCGCAGCACTTCGGGTCGCTTCGGAGAACTTCGGAACACTTCGGGGAAATTGCGATCATTTCAGAGCACTTCGGGTCCTTTCGGCAAAGTTCGGAACGCTTCGGATGAACTGAGGGCACTTCCGGTACCTTCGGAGCACTTCCGGTCCTTTCGGAACACATCGGAGCAGTTCAGAGGGATATCGGAGCACTTCCGGGTTCCTCGGCGCACTTCCGGTCGGTTCGGAGCTCTTCGGAGATATTCGTAGAACATCCGAGAGCTTCGGAGCTTTTCGGAGCATTTCGGAAGCGTTCGGAGCACTTTGGGTCCCTTCGGAGCACTTCGGGTCGCTTCGGAGAACTTCGGAACACATCGGGGAAATTGCGATCATTTCAGAGCACTTCGGGTCCTTTCGGCAATGTTCGGAACGCTTCGGCTGAACTGAGGGCACTTCCGGTATTTTCGGAGCGATTCGGGTCACTTCGGAAATCTTCGGTTCGAGTTCGGGGCGCTTTTGGTCTTTGCGGAGCACTTCCGGATACATCGCCGCACTTCCGGTCTTTCGCAGCCCTTCGGACCATTTCGGAAGTGTTCGGAGCACTTCGGGTCGCTTCGGAGCACTTCGGGTCGCTTCGGAGAACTTCGGAACACTTCGGGGAAATTGCGATCATTTCAGAGCACTTCGGGTCCTTTCGGCCAAGTTCGGAACGCTTCGGATGAACTGAGGGCACTTCCGGTATTTTCGGAGCAATTCGTTTCACTTCGGAGATCTTCGGTGCGACTTCGGGGCGCTTTTGGTCTTTGCGGAGCACTTCCGGTACCTTCGGAGCACTTCCGGTCCTTTCGGAACACTTCGGAGGCGTTCGGTAAGACGTCGGAGCACTTCCGGATTCTTCGGTGCACTTCCGGTCTTTCGGAGCTCTTCGGAGCTTTTCGGACCATTTCGGAAGCGTTCGGAGCACTTTGGGTCCCTTCGGAGCACTTCGGGTCGCTTCGGAGAACTTCGGAACACATCGGGGAAATTGCGATCGTTTCAGAGCACTTCGGGTCCTTTCGGCAAAGTTCGGAACGCTTCGGATGAACTGAGGGCACTTCCGGTATTTTCGGAGCACTTCCGGTCCTTTCGGAACACATCGGAGCAGTTCAGAGGGATATCGGAGCACTTCCGGGTTCTTCCGCGCACTTCCGGTCCGTTCGGAGCTCTTCGGAGATGTTCGTAAAACATCCGAGAGCTTCGGAGCTTTTCGGCTCATTTCGGAAGCGTTCGGAGCACTTCGGGTCCCTTCACAGCACTTCGGGTCGCTTCGGAGAACTTCGGGTCCCTTCGGAGCACTTCGGGTCCCTTCGGAGCACTTCGGGTCCCTTCGGAGCACTTCGGGTCGCTTCGGAGAACTTCGGAACACATCGGGGAAATTGCGATCGTTTCAGAGCACTTCGGGTCCTTTCGGCAAAGTTCGGAACGCTTCGGATGAACTGAGGGCACTTCCGGTATCTTCGGAGTAATTCGGGTCACTTCGGAGATCTTCGCTTCCAGTTCGGGGCGCTTTTGGTCTTTGCGGAGCACTTCCGGATTCATCGCCGCACTTCCGGTCTTTCGGAGCCCTTCGGACCATTTCGGAAGTGTTCGGAGCACTTCCGGTTCCTTCGGAGAACATCGGAACACATCGGCGAAGTTCCGATCATTTCGGACCACTTCGGGTCTTTCCGGAGCTGTTCGGAAAACTTCGGCCAGATCTGAGGGCACTTCCGGGTTTTTCACAACAATTCGGGTCGCATCGGATCACTTCGGTGACGTTCGGGAAACTTCGGAGATGTTCGGAGATGATCGGAAACTTCCGGACGCGGCTCAATTGCGCCGCTTAGCGGACAGCGCCGTTATTGCAGCATTAATAAATGCTAATGCCCCCTGGTGGATACAGCCGGTATTGCAATTAATAATATTAATGTTATGCTAATTAATATTATAATATTATAATTAATATTGATTTTTTTTGTCTCTGCGCCTCTTTATTTCTTTTCTTGTTCCTAATTTAGGATAATGGCTCTTATGGGTTCTATGGGGCTGCCCCATAGATCTGTTCACCCCATAGGTTCTATGGGGCTGCCCCATAGATGTGTTCACCCCATAGGTTCTATGGGGCTGCCCCATAGATCTGTTCGCCCCATAGATTCTGTGGGGCTGCCCCATAGATTTCGGTGCCCCATAGATTCTATGAGGCTGCCCCATAGATCTGTCCAACCCATAGAATCTATGGGGCTGCCCCATAGATTGTTCACCCCATAGATTCTATGGGGCTGCCCCATAGATTGTTCCGGCCCATAGATTCTATGGGGCTGCCCCATAGATTGTTCCGCCCCATAGATTCTGTGGGGCTGCCCCATAGATTGTTCTGCCCCATAGGTTCTATGGGGCTGCCCCATAGATTGTTCTGCCCCATAGATTCTATGGGGCTGCCCCATAGATTGTTCCGCCCCATAGATTCTGTGGGGCTGCCCCATAGATTTCGGTGCCCCATAGATTCTATGGGGCTGCCCCATAGATCTGTCCAACCCATAGAATCTATGGGGCTGCCCCATAGATTGTTCCGCCCCATAGATTCTATGGGGCTGCCCCATAGATCCATTCACCCCATAGATTCTATGGGGCTGCCCCATAGATTGTTCTGCCCCATAGGTTCTATGGGGCTGCCCCATAGATTGTTCACCCCATAGATTCTGTGGGGCTGCCCCATAGATTGTTCACCCCATAGATTCTGTGGGGCTGCCCCATAGATGTGTTCACCCCATAGGTTCTATGGGGCTGCCCCATAGATCTGTTCGCCCCATAGATTCTGTGGGGCAGCCCCATAGATTGTTCTGCCCCATAGATTCTGTGGGGCTGCCCCATAGATCTGTTCGCCCCATAGATTCTGTGGGGCAGCCCCATAGATTGTTCTGCCTCATAGATTCTGTGGGGCTGCCCCATAGATTTCAGTGCCCCATAGATTCTATGAGGCTGCCCCATAGATCTGTCCAACCCATAGAATCTATGGGGCTGCCCCATAGATTGTTCCACCCCATAGATTCTGTGGGGCTGCCCCATAGATTGTTCTGCCCATAGATTCTGTGCGGCTGCCCCGTAGATTGTTTGCCCCATAGATTCCATGGGGCTGCCCCATAGATGTGTTCACGCATAGATTCTATGGGGTAGCCCCATAGATTGTTCCACCCCATAGATTCTGTGGGGTTGCCCCATAGATTTCAGTTCCCCATAGATTCTATGGGGCTGCCCCATAGATGTGTTCACCCCATAGATTCTATGGGGCAGCCCCATAGATTGTTCTGCCCCATAGAATCTATGGGGCTGCCCCATAGATTGTTCCGCCCCATAGATTCTATGGGGCTGCCCCATAGATTGTTCCGCCCCATAGATTCTATGGGGCTGCCCCATAGATCTGTGCGCCCCATAGGTTCTATGGGGCTGCCCCATAGATTCCTCCACCCTATAAGTTCTATGGGGCTGCCCCATAGATTCCTCCACCCCATAGGTTCTATGGGGCTGCCCCATAGATCTGTTCACCCCATAGGTTCTATGGGGCTGCCCCATAGATTGTTCCGCCCCATAGATTCTGTGGGGCTGCCCCATAGATTTCGGTGCCCCATAGATTCTATGGGGCTGTCCCATAGATCTGTCCAACCCATAGAATCTATGGGGCTGCCCCATAGATTGTTCCACCCCATAGATTCTGTGGGGCTGCCCCATAGATTTTTCTGCCCATAGATTCTGTGCGGCTGCCCCGTAGATTGTTTGCCCCATAGATTCTATGGGGCTGCCCCATAGATGTGTTCACCCCATAGATTCCATGGGGCTGCCCCATAGATTCACCCACCCCATAGATTCTGTGGGGCTGCCCCATAGATTTCAGTACCCCATAGATTCTATGGGGCTGCCCCATAGATTGTTTGCTCCATAGATTCTATGGGGCTGCCCCATAGATTGTTCTGCCCCAGAGATTCTATGGGGCAGCCCCATAGAATCCTCGACCCCATACATTCTGTGGGGCTGCCCCATAGATGTGTTCACCCCATAGGTTCTATGGGGCTGCCCCATAGATCTGTTCGCCCCATAGATTCTATGGGGCAGCCCCATAGATTTCGCTGCCCCATAGATTCTGTGGGGCTGCCCCATAGATTTCGGTGCCCCATAGATTCTATGAGGCTGCCCCATAGATCTGTCCAACCCATAGAATCTATGGGGCTGCCCCATAGATTGTTCCACCCCATAGATTCTGTGGGGCAGCCCCATAGATTTCAGTACCCCATAGATTCTATGGGGCTGCCCCATAGATTGTTCTGCCCCATAGATTCTATGGGGCTGCCCCATAGATTCCTCCACCCCATAAATTCTATGGGGCTGCTCTATAGATTGTTCCGCCCCATAGATTCTGTGGGGCTGCCCCATAGATGTGTTCACCCCATAGATTCCATGGGGCTGCCCCATAGATGGTTTCACCCCATATATTCTATGGGGCTGCCCCATAGATTCCTCCACTCCATAAATTCTATGGGGCTGCCCCATAGATCTGTTCACCCCATAGATTCTATGGGGCTGCCCCATAGATTGTTCTGCCCCATAGATTCTGTGGGGCTGCCCCATAGATTCCTCCACCCCATAGATTCTATGGGGCAGCCCCATAGATCTGTCCACAACATAGATTCTATGGGGCTGCCCCATAGATTGTTCTGCCCCATAGATTCTCTGGGGCTGCCCCATAGATCTGTTCACCCGATAGATTCTATGGGCCTGCCCCATAGATTGTTCGCCCCATAGATTCTGTGGGGCTGCCCCATAGATTCCTCCATTCTACAGATTCTATGGGGCTGCCCCATAGATTTTTCTGCCCCATAGATTCTGTGGGGCTGCCCCATAGATTTCGCTGCCCCATAGATTCTATGGGGCTGCCCCATAGATCTGTCCAACCCATAGAATCTATGGGGCTGCCCCATAGATTGTTCCACCCCATAGATTCTATGCGGCTGCCCCATAGATTGTTCCACCCCATAGATTCTATGGGGCTGCCCCATAGATCCATTCACCCCATAGATTCTATGGGGCTGCCCCATAGATTCTGTGGGGCAGCCCCATAGATGGTTTCACCCCATAGATTCTGTGGGGCTGCCCCATAGATCTGTCCACCCTATAAGTTCTATGGGGCTGCCCCATAGATTGTTCACCCCATAGATTCTGTGGGGCTGCCCCATAGATGTGTTCACCCCATAGATTCCATGGGGCTGCCTCATAGATTCCTCCACCCCATAGATTCTATGGGGCTGCCCCATAGATGTGTTCACCCCATAGATTCCATGGGGCTGCCCCATAGATGGTTTCACCCCATATATTCTATGGGGCTGCCCCATAGATTCCTCCACTCCATAGATTCTATGGGGCTGCCCCATAGATCTGTTCAGCCCATAGGTTCTATGGGGCTGCCCCATAGATTCCTCCACCCCATAGATTCTATGGGGCTGCCCCATAGATTTCGCTGCCGGATAGATTCTATGGGGCTGCCCCATAGATGTGTTCACCCCATAGATTCCATGGGGCTGCCTCATAGATTCCTCCACCCCATAGATTCTATGGGGCTGCCCCATAGAGTGTTCCGCCCCATAGATTCTATGGGGCTGCCCCATAAATCTGTTCACCCCATAGATTCTATGGGGCTGCCCCATAGATGTTTTCCCCATAGATTCTATGGGGCTGCCCCATAGATTGTTCTGCCCCATAGCTTCTGTGGGGCTGCCCCATAGATCCATTCACCCCATAGATTCTATGGGGCTGCCCCATAGATTCTGTGGGGCTGCCCCATAGATTGTTCTGCCCCATAGATTCTGTGGGGCTGCCCCATAGATTTCAGTTCCCCATAGATTCTATGGGGCTGCCCCATAGATTTTTCCACCCCATAGATTCTATGGGGCTGCCCCATAGATTTTTCCACCCCACAGATTCTATGGGGTTGCCCCATAAATTCCTCCACCCCACAGATTCTATGGGGCTGCCCCATAGATTTTTTACCCCATAGATTCTATGGGGCTGCCCCATAGATTGTTCCACCCCATAGATTCTGTGGGGCTGCCCCATAGATTGTTCTGCCCCATAGATTCTATGGGGCTGACCTTTGACCCTCATCAGGCCTTGGCTCCCCAAATCGTTGACCTTTGACCCCATCGTGTGAACTGTGACCCCACTCCGTTGACCTTTGACCCCAGCATGATGTCAGGTGACCCTGTGACCTCTGACCCCAAATTGAACCCCAATCGTTGACCTTTGACCCCCAAGGATCCCCATAAATGCAGTGGTGACCTTTGACCCCCCAATCTGTGACCTTTGACCCCAATGGGGGACCTCCGACCCCAATATGGCGACCTTTGACCCCAATGTTGACCTTTGACCCCAATGTTGACCTTTGACCCCCCAATGTTGACCTGTGACCTCAATCCTCGACCCCTGACCCCCAATCCGTGACCTTTGACCCCCCCAAATGTGACCTTTGACCCCAACATCTGACCTTTGACCCCAATGTTGTCCTTTGACCCCAATGTTGACCTTTGACCCCCAATGGTGACCTTTGACCCCCCAATGTTGGCCTGTGACCTCAATCCTTGACCCCTGACCCCCAATCCGTGACCTTTGACCCCCCCAAATGTGACCTTTGACCCCAATATCTGACCTTTGACCCCAATGTTGACCTTTGACCCCAATGGTGACCTTTGACCCCAACGTTGACCTGTGACCTCAATCCTTGACCCCTGACCCCCAATCCGTGACCTTAGACCCCCAAATGTGACCTTTGACCCCAACATCTGACCTTTGACCCCCAGTGGTGACCTTTGACCCCCCAATGTTGGCCTGTGACCTCAATCCTTGACCCCTGACCCCCAATCCGTGACCTTTGACCCCCAAAATGTGACCTTTGACCCCAACATCTGACCTTTGACCCCAATGTTGACCTTTGACCCCAATGCTGACCTTTGACCCCAATGTTGACCTGTGACCTCAATCCTTGACCCCTGACCCCCAATCCGTGACCTTTGACACCAACATCTGACCTTTGACCCCAATGTTGACCTTTGACCCCAATGGTGACCTTTGACCCCCAATGTTGACCTGTGACCTCAATCCTTGACCCCTGACCCCCCAATCCGTGACCTTTGACACCAACATCTGACCTTTGACCCCAATGTTGACCTTTGACCCCAATGGTGACCTTTGACCCCCAATGTTGACCTGTGACCTCAATCCTTGACCCCTGACCCCCCAATCGGTGACCTTTGACCCCCAAAATGTGACCTTTGACCCCAATGTTGACCTTTGACCCCAATGGTGACCTTTGACCCCAATGCTGACCTGTGACCTCAATCCTTGACCCCTGACCCCCAATCCTCGACCTTTGACCCCCCAAATGTGACCTTTGAACCCCAACATCTGTCCTTTGACCCCAATGTTGACCTTTGACCCCAATGTTGACCTTTGACCCCAGTGTTGACCTTTGACCTCAATCCTTGACCCCTGACCCCCCAATCCGTGACCTTTGACCCCCCAAAATGTGACCTTTGACCCCCAATATGGCACCCAAAACGCCGCCCTCTGCCCCCCACTTGTGACCTTTGACCCCAACGCCGCGACCTTTGACCCCAACAAACGACGCTCAGCCGCCATCTTGTTGCAGCCCCCACAACAGCGGCCATTTTTCACCCCCTTTCCTTTTCCCCTCCACCTCCCTCCCCCAATATGGCGACCTTTGACCTCCGCGCCCACCGGGGCGTGGGGTCAAAGGTCAAAGGTCACTCGTCTTGACCCCGTGACCCCGCCGGGTCGCCGGCCAGCAGAGCTTCTTCCAGTTTCTTCCTCACGCGCCTCACGCGCTCCTCCTGCTTCCTGTTAGGGGGCAAAGGTCAGAGGTCAGAGGTCACGGAAACCCCATAGGACCCCATAGGACCCCATAAGACCCCATAAGACCCCATAGGACCCCATAGGACCCCATAAGACCCCATAGAAACCCCATAGGATCTTCTAGGACCCCATAGGACCCCATAGGACCCCATAAAACCCCATAGAAACCCCATAGAATCTTCTAGAATCCCATAGAACCCAATAGGGCCCCATAGAACCCCATAGGATCCTATAAGACCCCATAGGGCCCCATAGGACCCCATAGGACCCCATAGAACCCCATAAGACCCCATAGAGACCCCATAAAACCCCATAGAAACCCCATAGAATCTTCTAGAATCCCATAGAACCCAATAGGGCCCCATAGAACCCCATAGGATCCTATAAGACCCCATAGGACCCCATAAGACCCCATAGGGCCCCATAGGGCCCCAAAAAAACCCCATAGGGACCCCATAGAATCTTCTAGAATCCCATAGAACCCTATAGGGCCCCATAGAAACCCCATAGGACCCCATAGGATCTTCTAGGACCCCATAGGACCCCATAGGACCCCATAAGACCCCATAAAAACCCCATAAGACCCCATAGAAACCCCATAGAATCTTCTAGAATCCCATAGAACCCAATAGGGCCCCACAGAACCCCATAGGATCCCATAGAACCCAATTGGGCCCCATAGGACCCCATAAGACCCCATAGGACCCCATAGGACCCCATAGGACCCCATAGGACACCATAGGATCCCATAAGACCCCATAGAAACCCCATAGAATCTTCTAGAATCCCATAGAACCCAATAGGGCCCCATAGGACCCCATAAGACCCCATAGGACCCCATAAGACCCCATAGGACCCATAGGACCCCATAGGGCCCCATAGAGACCCCATAAAACCCCATAGAAACCCCATAGAATCTTCTAGAATCCCATAGAACCCTATAGGGCCCCATAAGACCCCATAGGACCCCATAGGACCCCATAGGACCCCATAGGACCCCATAAGACCCCATAGGGCCCCATAGGATCCCATAAGACCCCATAGAAACCCCATAGGACCCCATAGGATCCCATAAAAACCCCATAAGACCCCATAGGGACCCAAAGAAACCCCATAGGGACCCCATAGAATCTTCTAGAATCCCATAGAACCCTATAGGGCCCCATAGAAACCCCATAGGACCCCATAGGATCCCATAAAAACCCCATAAGACCCCATAGAAACCCCATAGAATTTTCTAGAATCCCATAGAACCCCAAAGGGCCCCATAGGACACCATAGGATCCCATAGAACCCCATAAGACCCCATAAAACCCCATAGGATCCCATGCGATCCCATAGAACCCCATAGAAACCCCATAGGATCTTCTAGGACCCCACAGAAACCCCATAAGACCCCATAGAACCCCATAGGATCCCATAGGATCCCATAAGACCCCATAGAAACCCCATAGAATCTTCTAGAATCCCATAGAACCCTATAGGGCCCCATAGAACCCCATAGGATCCCATAGGACCCCATAGAAACCCCATAGGACCCCATAGGGCCCAATAAGACCCCATAGGGACCCCATAGAATCTTCTAGAATCCCATAGAACCCAATAGGGCCCCATAGAACCCCATAGGACCCCATAGGATCCCATAAGACCCCATAGGGCCCCATAGAGACCCCATAAAACCCCATAGAAACACCACAGAAACTTCTAGAATCCCATAGAACCCCAAAGGGCCCCATAGGACCCAATAGGATCCCATAAGACCCCATAGAAACCCCATAGGACCCCATAGGACATCATAGGACCCCATAGGACCCCATAGGGACCCCATAAAACCCCATAGGGACCCCATAGAATCTTCTAGAATCCCACAGAACCCCATAAGACCCCATAGGACCCCATAGGATCCCATAAGACCCCATAGAAACCCCATAGGACCCCATAGGACCCCATAAGACCCCATAGGGACCCAAAAAAAACCCATAGAAACCCCATAGAATCTTCTAGAATCCCATAGAACCCCATAGGATCCCATAGGACCCCATAGAACCCCATAGGACCCTATAAGAACCCAATAAGACCCCATAAAAACCCCATAGGGCTCCATAGGACCCAATAAGACCCCATAGAGACCCCATAAAACCCCATAGAAACCCCATAGAATCTTCTAGAATCCCATAGAACCCAATAGGGCCCCATAGAACCCCATAGGACCCCATAAGACCCCATAGGACCCCATAAAACCCCATAGAAACCCCATAAGACCCCATAAGACCCCATGGAACCCAATAAGACCCCATAGAAACCCCATAGAAACCCCATAGGGCACCATAGGACCCTATAAGACCCCATAAAACCCCATAGAGCTCAATAGGATCCCACTGGACCCCATAAAAAACCCCATAGAAACCCCATAGAATCTTCCAGAACCCCATAGAAGCCAATAGGGCCCCATAGAACTCAATAGGGCCCCATAGAAGCCAATAGGGCCCCATAAAAACCCCATAGAAACCCTATAAAACCCCACAGTCTGCGCAAGGAAAAAAAGGCATTTTGTGGTAGAAGGAAGCTGGGATCAGAAAGACCCAAAATCGCCTGAATTTGACCCAAAATGGAGGAGAGAAAAACAGAATTTGACCAAAAATGGAAGAAAAAATGGGGTGAAAAAGGGGAATTTTGGTCAAAAATTGAAATTGGAATCTTGGAAACGAAAAAGGTTTTTTTAATGGTAGAAGAGGATTTGAAATAGAAAATATCGAAATTGAATGAATTTGACCCAAAATGGAGGAGAGAAAAATGGGATTTGACCAAAAATGGAGGAGAGAAAAACAGAATTTGACCAAAAATGGACGAAAAAATGGGGTGAAAAAGGGGGAATTTGGTCAAAAACTGAAATTGGAATCTTGGAGTGGAAAAGGGTTTTTTTAATGGTAGAAGAGGATTTGAAATAGAAAATGTCAAAATTGAATGAATTTGACCCAAAATGGAGGAGAGAAAAATGGGATTTGACCCAAAATGGAGGAGAGAAAAACAGGATTTGACCAAAAATGGAAGAAAAAATGGGGTGAAAAAGGGGGATTTTGGTCAAAAATTGAAATTGGAAACTTCAAATGGAAAAGGGTTTTTTTAATGGTAGAAGAGGCTTTTTATGAGAAAACACAAAAATTGTGTGAATTTGACCCAAAATGTCAGAGAGAAAAACAGAATTTGACCAAAAATGGAAGAAAAAATGGGGTGAAAAAATGCAATTTTGGTCAAAAATTGAAATTGGAATCTTGGAGTGGAAAAGGGTTTTTTTAATAGTAGAAAACGATTTAAAACAGAAAACGTCAAAATTGAATGAATTTGACCCAAAATGTCAGAGAGAAAAACAGAATTTGACCAAAAATGGAAGAAAAATTGGGGTGAAAAAGGGGGATTTTGGTCAAAAAGTGAAATTTGAATATTGGAGTGGAAAAGGATTTTTTTAATGGTAGAAAAGGATTTAAAACAGAAAACGTCAAAATTGAACGAATTTGACCCAAAATGGAGGAGAGAAAAACGGAATTTGACCAAAAATGGAAGAAAAAATGGGGTGAAAAAGGGGGAATTTGATCAAAAAGTGAAATTGGAATCTTGGAAAGGAAAAAGGTTTTTTTAATGGTAGAAGAGGATTTGAAATAGAAAATATCGAAATTGAATGAATTTGACCCAAAATGGAGGAGAGAAAAATGGGATTTGACCAAAAATGGAAGAAAAAATGGGGTGAAAAAGGGGGATTTTGGTCAAAAAGTGAAATTGGAAAGTTGGAAAGGAAAAAGGTTTTTTTAATGGTAGAAGAGGATTTGAAATAGAAAATATCGAAATTGAATGAATTTGACCCAAAATGGAGGAGAGAAAAACGGAATTTGACCAAAAATGGAAGAAAAAATGGGGTGAAAAAGGGGGAATTTGATCAAAAAGTGAAATTGGAATCTTGGAAAGGAAAAAGGTTTTTTTAATGGTAGAAGAGGATTTGAAATAGAAAATGTCGAAATTGAATGAATTTGACCCAAAATGGAGGAGAGAAAAATGGGATTTGACCAAAAATGGAAGAAAAAATGGGGTGAAAAAGGGGGATTTTGGTCAAAAATTGAAATTGGAAACTTCAAATGGAAAAGGGTTTTTTTAATGGTAGAAGAAGGGAAGTATGAGAAAATATTAAAATTGAATGAATTTGACCCAAAATGGAGGAGAGAAAAACGGAATTTGACCAAAAATGGAAGAAAAAATGGGGTGAAAAAGGGGGATTTTGGTCAAAAAGTGAAATTGGAAACTTCAAATGGAAAAGGGTTTTTTTAATGGTAGAAGAGGATTTGAAAGAGAAAATAATGAAATTGAATGAATTTGACCCAAAATGGAGGAGAGAAAAATGGGATTTGACCAAAAATGGAGGAGAGAAAAACGGGATTTGACCAAAAATGGAAGAAAAATTGGGGTGAAAAAGGGGGATTTTGGTCAAAAATTGAAATTGGAAGCATTGAAAGGAAAAAGGTTTTTTTAATGGTAGAAGAGGGCTTGAAATAGAAAATATCGAAATTGAATGAATTTGACCCAAAACGGTGGAGAGAAAAACAGAATTTGACCAAAAATGGAAGAAAAATTGGGGTGAAAAAGGGGGATTTTGGTCAAAAAGTGAAATTGGAAACTTCAAATGGAAAAGGGTTTTTTTAATGGTAGAAGAGGCTTTGAAAGAGAAAATGTCGAAATTGAATGAATTTGACCCAAAATGGAGGAGAGAAAAACAGAATTTGATCAAAAATGGAAGAAAATAATTGGGGTGAAAAAGGGGGATTTTGGTCAAAAATTGAAATTGGAAACTTCAAATGGAAAAGGGTTTTTTTAATGGTAGAAGAAGGGAGGTACGAGAAAATATTAAAATTGAATGAATTTGACCCAAAATGGAGGAGAGAAAAACAGAATTTGACCAAAAATGGAAGAAAAAATGGGGTGAAAAAATGCAATTTTGGTCAAAAATTGAAATTGGAAACTTCAAATGGAAAAGGGTTTTTTTAATGGTAGAAGAGGCTTTTTATTAGAAAACACAAAAATTGTGTGAATTTACCCCAAAATGTCAGAGAGAAAAACGGAATTTGATCAAAAATGGGAGAAAAAATGGGGTGAAAAAATGCAATTTTGGTCAAAAATTGAAATTGGAATCTTGGAAAGGAAAAAGGTTTTTTTAATGGTAGAAGAGGATTTGAAATAGAAAATATCGAAATTGAATGAATTTGACCCAAAACGGTGGAGAGAAAAACAGAATTTGACCAAAAATGGACAAAAAAATGGGGTGAAAAAGTGGGATTTTGGTCAAATTTGGGTTGAAAAAGAGTGCAAAAAACGAACTTTTACCGGATGTCGTCGTCGGTGACAACGAAAGCTTTGCAAAGGGGTTGAGAAGAATTGAGCCAAACTGCTGGATTCTTTTCTGCCGCGCTCGAAAGCTGACCGGTAACCGGAACCGAACCGACGTGCAGAGCGCTGGCGACCGCCGACAGCAAGGTGACGTCGTCTGGGACGGGACCTAGGGCTGAATTTTGGGGGCAAAAAGGGGGATTTTGGGGAAAAAAAGGGAGAAATGCCATCAAACAGGGAAGCAATGGGGATTTTGGGGGATTTTTGGGGGATTTTGGGGGATTTTTCCCCATTTTTTGGGTCGATTTCTCAAAGGTTTTTTCTCCTTCGTGTTTATGGGGATTTTTGGCCAATTTTGGGGATTTTTTCCCCAATTTTTGGATATTTTCCCAATTTTTGGATATTTTTCCCATTTTTGGTCATTTTTCCCCATTTTGGGATTTTTTTGGTGATTTTTGGGGGATTTTTTGGGATTTTTGGCCAATTTTGCCCCATTTTTGGGGTCGATTTCTCAAAGGTTTTTCCCTTCGTATTTATGGGGATTTTTGGCCAATTTTTGGGATTTTTTGCCCCATTTTTGGGATTTTTTCCCCAATTTTTGGATATTTTCCCCAATTTTGGATTTTTCCCCATTTTTGGAATTTTTTGGGATTTTTTTGGTGATTTTTTGGGGTATTTTTGGGATTTTTCCCCATTTTTGGGGTCGATTCCTCCAACGCTTTTTTGTCCTTCGTATTTATGGGGATTTTTGGCCAATTTTTGGCATTTTTTGCCCAATTTTTGGGATTTTTTCCCCAATTTTTGGATATTTTTCCCATTTTTTGTCATTTTTGCCCAATTTTGGGATTTTTTTGATGATTTTTGGGGGATTTTTGGGGATTTTTCCCCATTTTTGGGGTCGATTCCTTGAAGGTTTTTCCCTTCGTGTTTATGGGGATTTTTGGCCAATTTTTGGGATTTTTTGCCAAATTTTGGGATATTTTTCCCATTTTTTGTCATTTTTCCCCATTTTGGGATTTTTTGGGTGATTTTTGGGGGATTTTTGGGGATTTTTGGGGATTTTGCCCCATTTTTGGGGTCGATTTCTCAAAGGTTTTTTCCTTCGTGTTTATGAGGATTTTTGGCCAATTTTTGGGATTTTTTGCCCAATTTTTGGGATTTTTTCCCCAATTTTTGGATATTTTTCCCAGTTTTTGTCATTTTTCCCCATTTTGGGATTTTTTTGATGATTTTTGGGGGATTTTTGGGGATTTTTCCCCATTTTTGGGGTCGATTCCTTGAAGGTTTTCTCCTTCGTGTTTATGGGGATTTTTGGCCAATTTTTGGGATTTTTTGCCCAATTTTTGGGATTTTTTGCCCAATTTTTGGATATTTTTCCCATTTTTTGTCATTTTTCCCCATTTTGGGATTTTTTTGGTGATTTTTGGGGGATTTATGGGGATTTTTGGCCAATTTTGCCCCATTTTTGGGGTCGATTCCTCCAAGGTTTTTTCCATCGCATTTATGGGGATTTTTGGCCCATTTTTGGGATTTTTTCCCCATTTTTGGGATTTTTTCCCCATTTTTGGGATTTTTTCCCCAATTTTTGGATATTTTCCCCAATTTTGAGATTTTTCCCCATTTTTGGGATTTTTTGGGATTTTTTTGGTGATTTTTTGCTGATTTTTGGCCAATTTTTCCCCATTTTTGGGGTCGATTCCTCCAAGGTTTTTTCCTTCGTATTTATGGGGATTTTTGGCCAATTTTTGGGATTTTTTGCCCAATTTTTGGGATTTTTTCCCCAATTTTTGGATATTTTTCCCATTTTTTGTCATTTTTGCCCAATTTTGGGATTTTTTTGATGATTTTTGGGGGATTTTTGGGGATATTTCCCCATTTTTGGGGTCGATTCCTTGAAGGTTTTTCCCTTCGTGTTTTTGGGGATTTTTGGTCAATTTTTGGGATTTTTTGCCCAATTTTTGGATATTTTTCCCTTTTTTGTCATTTTTCCCCATTTTGGGATTTTTTTGGTGATTTTTGGGGGATTTTTGGGGGATTTTTGGGGATTTTTGGGGATTTTGCCCCATTTTTGGGGTCGATTCCTCCAACACTTTTTTGTCCTTCGTATTTATGGGGATTTTTGCCCAATTTTTGGGATTTTTTCCCCAATTTTTGGATATTTTTCCCCAATTTTTGGATATTTTCCCCAATTTTGAGATTTTTCCCCATTTTTGGGATTTTTTGGGATTTTTTTGGTGATTTTTTGGGTTTTTTTTGCCCAATTTTTCCCCATTTTTGGGGTCGATTCCTTGAAGGTTTTTCCCTTCGTGTTTATGGGGATTTTTGGCCAATTTTTGGGATTTTTTGCCCAATTTTGGGATTTTTTCCCCAATTTTGGGATATTTTTCCCATTTTTTGTCATTTTTCCCCAATTTTGGGATTTTTTTGGTGATTTTTGGGGGATTTTTTGGGATTTTTGGCCAATTTTTCCCCATTTTTGGGGTCAATTCCTTGAAGGTTTTTTCTCCTTCGTATTTATGGGGATTTTTGGCCAATTTTTGGGATTTTTTTGCCAATTTTTGGATATTTTTCCCCAATTTTTGGATATTTTTCCCATTTTTGGTCATTTTTCCCCATTTTGGGATTTTTTTGATGATTTTTGGGGGATTTTTGGGGATTTTTCCCCATTTTTGGGGTCGATTCCTTGAAGGTTTTTCCCTTCGTATTTATGGGGATTTTTGGCCAATTTTTGGGATTTTTTACCCCAATTTTGGGATTTTTTCCCCAATTTTTGGATATTTTCCCCAATTTTGAGATTTTTCCCCATTTTTGGGATTTTTTGGGATTTTTTTGGTGATTTTTTGGGTTTTTTTTGCCCAATTTTTCCCCATTTTTGGGGTCGATTCCTTGAAGGTTTTTCCTTCGTATTTATGGGGATTTTTGGCCAATTTTTGGGATTTTTTGCCCAATTTTGGGATTTTTTGCCCAATTTTTGGATATTTTTCCCATTTTTTGTCATTTTTCCCCAATTTTGGGATTTTTTTGGTGATTTTTTGGGGTATTTTTGGGATTTTTCCCCATTTTTGGGGTCGATTCCTCCATCGCTTTTTTCTCCTTTTTTAAGTGGATTTTTGGCCCATTTTTGGGATTTTTTCCCCAATTTTGGGATTTTTTCCCCAATTTTGGGATATTTTTCCCATTTTTTGATATTTTCCCCATTTTGGGATTTTTTTGGTGATTTTTGGGGGATTTTTGGGGTATTTTTGGCCAATTTTTCCCCATTTTTGGGGTCGATTCCTTGAAGGTTTTTTCCTTCGTGTTTATGGGGATTTTTGGCCAATTTTTGGGATTTTTTCCCCAATTTTTGGATATTTTTCCCCAATTTTTGGATATTTTCCCCAATTTTGAGATTTTTCCCCATTTTTGGGATTTTTTGGGATTTTTTTGGTGATTTTTTGCTGATTTTTGGCCAATTTTTCCCCATTTTTGGGGTCGATTCCTCCAAGGTTTTTTTCATCACATTTATGGGGATTTTTTGCCCCAATTTTGGGATTTTTTCCCCAATTTTTGGATATTTTCCCCAATTTTGAGATTTTTCCCCAATTTTGGAATTTTTTGGGATTTTTTTGGTGATTTTTTGGGGTATTTTTGGGATTTTTCCCCATTTTTGGGGTCGATTCCTTGAAGGTTTTCCCTTCATGTTTATGGGGATTTTTGGCCAATTTTTGGGATTTTTTGCCCAATTTTTGGGATTTTTTCCCCAATTTTGGGATATTTTTCCCATTTTTTGTCATTTTTCCCCTATTTTGGGATTTTTTTGGGTGATTTTTTGGGGTTTTTTTGCCCAATTTTTCCCCATTTTTGGGGTCGATTCCTCGAATGCATTTTTCTCCTTTTTTAAGTGGATTTTTTGCCCATTTTTGGGATTTTTTCCCCAATTTTGGGATTGTTTCCCCAATTTTAGGATATTTTCCCCAATTTTGGGATTTTTCCCCATTTTTGGGATTTTTTGGGATTTTTTTGGTGATTTTTTGGGGTATTTTTGGGATTTTTCCCCATTTTTGGGGTCGATTTCTCAAAGGTTTTTTCTCCTTCGTGTTTATGGGGATTTTTGGTCAATTTTTGGGATTTTTTGCCCAATTTTTGGATATTTTTCCCATTTTTTGTCATTTTTCCCCATTTTGGGATTTTTTTGGTGATTTTTGGGGGATTTTTGGGGATTTTTGGGGATTTTGCCCCATTTTTGGGGTCGATTCCTCCAACGCTTTTTTGTCCTTCGTATTTATGGGGATTTTTGCCCAATTTTTGGGATTTTTTCCCCAATTTTTGGATATTTTTCCCCAATTTTTGGATATTTTTCCCATTTTTGGTCATTTTTCCCAATTTTGGGATTTTTTTGATGATTTTTGGGGGATTTTTGGGGATTTTTCCCCATTTTTTGGGTCGATTTCTCAAAGGTTTTTTCTCCTTCGTGTTTATGGGGATTTTTGGCCAATTTTGGGGATTTTTTCCCCAATTTTTGGATATTTTCCCAATTTTTGGATATTTTTCCCATTTTTGGTCATTTTTCCCCATTTTGGGATTTTTTTGGTGATTTTTGGGGGATTTTTTGGGATTTTTGGCCAATTTTGCCCCATTTTTGGGGTCGATTTCTCAAAGGTTTTTCCCTTCGTATTTATGGGGATTTTTGGCCAATTTTTGGGATTTTTTGCCCCATTTTTGGGATTTTTTCCCCAATTTTTGGATATTTTCCCCAATTTTGGATTTTTCCCCATTTTTGGAATTTTTTGGGATTTTTTTGGTGATTTTTTGGGGTATTTTTGGGATTTTTCCCCATTTTTGGGGTCGATTCCTCCAACGCTTTTTTGTCCTTCGTATTTATGGGGATTTTTGGCCAATTTTTGGGATTTTTTGCCCAATTTTTGGGATTTTTTCCCCAATTTTTGGATATTTTCCCCATTTTTTGTCATTTTTCCCCAATTTTGGTGATTTTTTGGTGATTTTTTGGGGTATTTTTGGGATTTTGCCCCATTTTTGGGGTCGATTCCTTGAAGGTTTTCTCCTTCGTATTTATGGGGATTTTTGGCCAATTTTTGGGATTTTTTCCCCAATTTTTGGATTTTTTCCCCAATTTTTGGATATTTTTCCCATTTTTTGTCATTTTTCCCCAATTTTGGGATTTTTTTGGTGATTTTTTGGTGATTTTTTGGGATTTTTCCCCATTTTTGGGGTCGATTCCTTGAAGGTTTTTTCCTTCGTGTTTATGGGGATTTTTGGCCAATTTTTGGGATTTTTTCCCCAATTTTGGGATTTTTTCCCCAATTTTTGGATATTTTTCCCATTTTTTTGTCATTTTTTCCCCATTTTGGGATTTTTTTGGTGATTTTTGGGGGATTTTTGGGGATTTTTGGCCAATTTTGCCCCATTTTTGGGGTCGATTCCTTGAAGGTTTTCCCTTCGTGTTTATGGGGATTTTTGGCCAATTTTTGGGATTTTTTGCCCAATTTTGGGATATTTTTCCCATTTTTTGATATTTTCCCCAATTTTGGGATTTTTCCCCATTTTTGGGATTTTTTGGGATTTTTTTGATGATTTTTTGCTGATTTTTGGCCAATTTTCCCCATTTTTGGGGTCGATTCCTCCAAGGTTTTTTCCATCACATTTATGGGGATTTTTTTGCCCATTTTTGGCATTTTTTGCCCAATTTTGGGATTTTTTCCCCAATTTTTGGATATTTTCCCCAATTTTGGGATTTTTCCCCATTTTTAGAATTTTTTGGGATTTTTTGGGGGATTTTTGGCCAATTATTCCCCATTTTTGGGGTCGATTCCTCGAACGTTTTTTCTCCTTCGTGTTTATGGGGATTTTTGGCCAATTTTTGGGATTTTTTGCCCAATTTTTGGGATTTTTTGCCCAATTTTTGGATATTTTTCCCATTTTTTGATATTTTCCCCATTTTGGGATTTTTTGGGTGATTTTTTGGTGATTTTTTGGGGTATTTTTGGGATTTTTCCCCATTTTTGGGGTCGATTCCTTGAAGGTTTTCCCTTCGTATTTATGGGGATTTTTGGCCAATTTTTGGGATTTTTTCCCCAATTTTGGGATTTTTTCCCCAATTTTTGGATATTTTTCCCATTTTTTGTCATTTTTCCCCACTTTGGGATTTTTTGGGTGATTTTTGGGGGATTTTTGGGGATTTTTGGCCAATTTTTCCCCATTTTTGGGGTCGATTTCTCAAAGCTTTTTTCCTTCGTATTTATGGGGATTTTTGGCCAATTTTTGGATTTTTTACCCAATTTTGGGATTTTTTTCCCCAATTTTTGGATATTTTTCCCATTTTTTGTCATTTTTCCCCATTTTGGGATTTTTTTGGTGATTTTTGGGGGATTTTTGGGGATTTTTGGCCAATTTTGCCCCATTTTTGGGGTCGATTTCTCAAAGGTTTTTTCTCATTCGTGTTTATGGGGATTTTTTGCCAATTTTTGGGATTTTTTCCCCAATTTTGGGATTTTTTTCCCCAATTTTGGGATATTTTTCCCATTTTTTGTCATTTTTCCCATTTTGGGATTTTTTTGATGATTTTTGGGGGATTTTTTGGGATTTTTCCCCATTTTTGGGGTCGATTTCTCAAAGGTTTTTTCTCCTTCGTATTTATGGGGATTTTTGGCCAATTTTTGGGATTTTTTGCCCAATTTTGGGATTTTTTTCCCCAATTTTAGGATATTTTCCCCAATTTGGGATTTTTTCCCCATTTTTGGAATTTTTTGGGATTTTTTTGGTGATTTTTTGCTGATTTTTGCCCAATTTTTCCCCATTTTTGGGGTCGATTCCTCCAAGGTTTTTTCCATCACATTTATGGGGATTTTTTGCCCATTTTTGGGATTTTTTCCCCATTTTTGGGATTTTTTCCCCCATTTTGGGATTTTTCCCCAATTTTGGGATTTTTCCCCAATTTTTGGGATTTTTCCCCATTTTTTGGGATTTTTTTTATCCCGTTTTTGGGGTTTTTTCCCCAATTTTGGGGCATTTTTTCACCTATTTTTAGGGCGATTTTTGGGGCATTTTTTGGGCCTTTTTTTGACCCTCTGGGGTCAAAGGTCAACCGTGGGGTCAAAGGTCAACAATTAGGGTCAGAGGTCAACAATTAGGGTCAAAGGTCAACCCCAGTGGGTCAAAGGTCAACCACATGGGCCCTATAGGATTCCAGGTCCCCTTATAGGGTCAAAGGGCTTCCTATGGGGTCAAAGGTCATTCTATGGAACCCTTGGGGTCAAAGGTCAGCCCTTGGGGTCAAAGGTCATCCTATGGGGTCAGAGGTCAACCCCAGGGGTCAAAGGTCAGCCCTATGGGATCCATACGTTCAATGACCGTCCAATGGGATCTCAAGTCGTCCTATGGGGTCAAAGGTCATTCTATGGAACCCAAGGGGTCAAAGGTCAGCCCTTGGGGTCAAAGGTCATCCTATGGGGTCAGAGGTCAAGCCCAGGGGTCAAAGGTCTGCCCTATGGGATCCATACGGCCAATGACCATCCAATGGGATCTCGAGTCGTCCTATGGGGTCAAAGGTCATTCTATGGAACCCTTGGGGTCAAAGGTCATCCATTGGGGTCAAAGGTCATCCTATGGGGTCAGAGGTCAAGCCCAGGGGTCAAAGGTCAGCCCTATGGGATCCATACGTTCAATGACCATCCAATGGGATCTCGAGTCGTCCTATGGGGTCAAAGGTCATTCTATGGAACCCAAGGGGTCAAAGGTCAACTGATGGGGTCAAAGGTCATCCTATGGGGTCAGAGGTCAAGCCCAGGGGTCAAAGGTCACCTTGCAGTCCCCGCGGGAGCTCCATGGCTTTGAGGATCTCATGGCCGACGTCGGAGGCGCTGAGGCCGCGCAAACGCTTCTCCCAGAAGAGCTGCGGGGGTTTCATTAAGCAGCCGTTAATTAAGCGCTAATTAGCGCCGCTAATGAGCCCTAATCAGTCTCCCATCGTGACCGTTACGCATAAGGAATGAGGCTTCATTGCCGACCGTCCAATCGGGCTCCAGAAAGGAGGATGACATTTGCATGCGGGGCCACGGCGCTTCGGTTCGTTAGCGTTGATGGGTTATAAATTGATGAATAATTAAAGGGATGGGGGGGAAACTGGGGGATTGTGGGGGGAAATGGGGATTATGGGTAATTTTGGGGGGAAAAAGGGATTTTTGGGGGGGGATTTGGGGGGATTATGGGGGATTTCAGGGGATTTGGGGGGATTTGGGGGGATTTCAGGGGATTATGGGGGATTATGGGGGATTATGGGGGATTTCAGAGGATTATGGGGGATTATGGGGGATTTCAGGGGATTATGGGGGATTTTGGGGGGATTATGGGGGATTTTGGGGGGATTATGGGGGATTATGGGGGATTTTGGGGGATTATGGGGGATTTCAGGGGATTATGGGGGATTTTGGGGGATTCTGGGGGATTTCAGGGGATTATGGGGGATTTTGGGGGGAATTTGGGGGGATTATGGGGGATTTCAGGGGATTATGGGGGATTATAGGGGATTTCAGGGGATTATGGGCGAATTTGGGGGGATTATGGGGGATTTTGAGGGATTTTGAGGGATTTTGGGGGATTATGGGAGATTTTGGGGGGGATTTCAGGGGGATTATGGGGGGTTATGGGGGATTTGGGGGGATTTTGGGGGGATTATGGGAGATTTCAGGGGATTATGGGGGATTTGGGGGGATTTTGAGGGAATTTGGGGGATTATGGGAGATTTTGGGGGGATTTCAGGGGATTTTGGGGGGATTATGGGGGATTCTGGGGGAATTTGGGGGGATTATGGGTGAATTTTGAGGGATTTTGAGGGATTTCAGGGGATTATGGGGGATTTGGTGGGATTATGGGGGATTTCAGGGGATTATGGGGGATTTTGGGGGATTCTGGGGGATTTCAGGGGATTATGGGGGATTTTGGGGGATTCTGGGGGATTATAGGGGATTTTGGGGGATTATGGGGGATTTTGTGGGGGATTTTGCGGGATTATGGGAGATTTCAGGGGATTATGGGGGATTTTGGGGAGATTATGGGGGATTCTGGGGAATTTAAGGGGATTATGGGGGATTTTGGATTCAAAAAGGGGAATTTTGGGGTATTTGGGGGTGAAAAATGGGGTTTTGGGGCTATTTGGGGTCGAAAATGGGGTTTTTGGGGTGGAAAATGGGGGATTTTGGGATGGATTTGGGTGTTTTTTAGGTATTTGGGGGTCAAAAATGGGGTTTTTGGGGTCAAAAAGGGGGATTTTGGGGTCAAAATGGGGATTTTGGGATCAAAAATGGGGTTTTTGGGGTATTTTGGGGTCAAAAATGGGGTTTTTGGGGTATTTTGGGGTGAAAAATGGGGTTTTGGGGTCAAAAAGGGGGATATTGGGGTGGAAAATGGGGGATTTTGGGGTATTTTGGGGTCAAAATGGGGTTTTTGGGGTGGATTTGGGTGTTTTTGGGGTACTTGGGGGTCGAATATGGGGATTTTGGGGTCAAAATGGGGATTTTAGGGTCAAAAAGGGGGATTTTGGGCTGGAAAATGGGGTTGTTGGGGTCCGAAAGGGGGATTTTGGGGTCAAAAATGGGGTTTTTGGGGCGGAAAATGGGGGATTTTGGGGTCAAAAATGGGGTTTTGGGGGTATTTTGGGGTGGAAAAAGGGGTTTTTGGGGTCAAAATGGGGGATTTTGGGGTGGAAATGGGGATTTTGGGGTGGATTTGGGTCTTTTTGGGGTCAAAAATGGGGATTTTGGGGTGGAAAATGGGGTTTTTGGGGTCAAAATGGGGGTTTTTGGGGTCAAAAATGGGGTTTTTGGGGTATTTTGGGGTGGAAAATGGGGATTTTGGGGTATTTGGGGGTCAAAAATGGGAGTTTTGGGGTCCAAAAGGGGGATTTTGGGGTCAAAAATGGGGATTTTGGGGTCAAAATGGGGGATTTTGGGGTGGAAAATGGGGTTTTTGGGGTCAAAATGGGGGATTTTGGGGTCAAAAATGGGGTTTTTGGGGTATTTTGGGGTGAAAAATGGGGTTTTTGGGGTCAAAATGGGGGATTTTGGGGGGGAAAATGGGGATTTTGGGGTATTTTGGGGGTCGAAAATGGGAGTTTTGGGGTCCAAAAGGGGGATTTTGGAGTGGAAAATGGGGTTTTTGGGGTCAAAATGGGGATTTGGGGGTCAAAATGGCGGATTTTGGGGTCAAAAATGGGCTTTTTGGGGTTTTTTGGGGTGGAAAAAGGGGTTTTTGGGGTCAAAAAGGGGGATTTTGGGGTGGAAAATGGGGTTTTTGGGGTACCTGTCGGGGTTGGTCGGCCAGGCGCTGGGGGTCGGAGCGCACTTTGTTGTCGGGGTGGTTGGTGACTTTGGTGACGGGTTGTTTGAAGATGGAAGCGGTTTGGCGGATGGGGAGCGCAGTGTTCAGGTCGGGTTTGCCCTAAAAGCCCATAAAAGGACCCAAATCCTATAAGAAATCCCATAAAAGGAGCCAAATCCTATAAGAAATCCCATAAAAGGAGCCAAATCCTATAAGAAATCCCATAAAAGGACCCAAATCCCATAAGAAATCCCATATAGGAACCCAAATCCCATAAGAAATCCCATATAGGAACCGAAATCCCATAAGAAATCGCATAGAAGAAGCCAAATCCCATAAGAAACCCCATAAAACCCCATAATCCTATCAATAATCCCATAGAAGAACCCAAATCCCATCAAATCCCATAAATAATCCCATATAAGAACCCCAATCCTATAAATAATCCCATATAAGAACCAAAATCCCATAAATAATCCCATATAGGAACCAAATCCTATAAGAAATCCCATATAGGAACCGAAATCCCATAAGAAACCCCATAAAACCCCATAATCCTATCAATAATCCCATAGAAGAACCCAAATCCCATAAGAAATCCCATAGAAGAACCCAAATCCCATAAATAATCCCATATAAGAACCAAAATCCTATAAATAATCCCATATAGGAACAGAAATCCCATTAAGAATCCCATATAGGACCCAAATCCCATAAGAAATCCCATATAGGAACCCAAATCCTATAAAAAATCCCATAAAAGGACCCAAATCCCATAAGAAATCCCATATAGGAACCGAAATCCTATAAGAAATCCCATAAAAGGACCCAAATCCCATAAGAAATCCCATAAAAGGAGCCAAATCCTATAAGAAATCCCATAAAAGGACCCAAATCCCATAAGAAATCCCATATAGGAACCCAAATCCCATAAGAAATCGCATAGAAGGACCCAAATCCCATAAGAAATCCCATATAGGAACCCAAATCCCATAAGAAATCCCATAAAAGGAACCCAAATCCCATAAGAAATCCCATAAAAGGACCCAAATCCCATAAGAAACCCCATAAAAGGACCCAAATCCCATAAGAAATCCCATAAAAGGACCCAAATCCTATAAGAAATCCCATATAGGAACCAAATCCTATAAGAAATCCCATATAGGACCCAAATCCCATAAGAAATCCCATAAAAGGACCCAAATCCTATAAGAAATCCCATAAAAGGACCCAAATCCCATAAGAAATCCCATATAGGAACCCAAATCCTATAAGAAATCCCATATAGGAACCGAAATCCCATAAGAAACCCCATAAAACCCCATAATCCTATCAATAATCCCATAGAAGAACCCAAATCCTACAAATAATCCCATATAGGAACAGAAATCCCATAAGAAATCCCATAAAAGAACCCAAATCCCATAAGAAATCCCATAAAAGAACCCAAATCCCATAAGAAATCCCATAAAAGGACCCAAATCCTATAAGAAATCCCATATAGGAACCAAAATCGTATAAGAAATCCCATAAAAGAACCCAAATCCCATAAGAAATCCCATAAAAGGACCCAAATCCTATAAGAAATCCCATATAGGAACCGAAATCCTATAAGAAATCCCATATAGGAACCCAAATCCCATAAGAAATCCCATATAGGAACCCAAATCCCATAAGAAATCCCATAAAACCCCATAATCCTATCAATAATCCCATAGAAGAACCCAAATCCTACAAATAATCCCATATAGGAACAGAAATCCCATAAGAAATCCCATAAAAAGACCCAAATCCCATAAGAAATCCCATATAGGAACCCAAATCCCATAAGAAATCCCATATAGGACCCAAATCCCATAAGAAATCCCATAAAAGGACCCAAATCCCATAAGAAATCCCATATAGGAACCCAAATCCCATAAGAAACCCCATAAAAGGTCCCAAATCCCATAAGAAATCCCATATAGGAACCGAAATCCCATAAGAAACCCCATAAAACCCCATAATCCTATCAATAATCCCATAGAAGAACCCAAATCCTATAAGAAATCCCATAAAAGGAGCCAAATCCCATAAGAAATCCCATAGAAGAACCCAAATCCCATAAATAATCCCATATAAGAACCCAAATCCTATAAATAATCCCATATAAGAACCCAAATCCTATAAGAAATCCCATATAAGAACCCAAATCCTATAAATAATCCCATATAGGAACAGAAATCCCATTAAGAATCCCATATAGGACCCAAATCCCATAAGAAATCCCATATAGGACCCAAATCCCATAAGAAATCCCATATAGGAACCCAAATCCTATAAGAAATCCCATATAGGAACCGAAATCCTATAAGAAATCCCATATAGGATCCCATATCCAGTTTATAGGGTCAGCATTGGGGTTATAGGGTCAGGATGGGGGTTATAGGGTCAGCATTGGGGTTATAGGGTCAGGATGGGGGTTATAGGGTCAGGATGAGGTTATAGGGTCAGGATGGGGGTTATAGGGTCAGCATTGGGGTTATAGGGTCAGGATGGGGGTTATAGGGTCAGGATTGGGGTTATAGGGTCAGGATGGGGTTATAGGGTCAGGATGGGGTTATAGGGTCAGCATTGGGGTTATAGGGTCAGCATTGGGGTTATAGGGTCAGCATTGGGGTTATAGGGTCAGGATGGGGGTTATAGGGTCAGCATTGGGGTTATAGGGTCAGGATCGAGGTTATAGGGTCAGCACTGGGGTTATAGGGTCAGGATGGGGGTTATAGGGTCAGGATGGGGGTTATAGGGTCAGCATTGGGGTTATAGGGTCAGCATTGGGGTTATAGGGTCAGGATGGGGGTTATAGGGTCAGCATTGGGGTTATAGGGTCAGCATTGGGGTTATAGGGTCAGGATGGGGGTTATAGGGTCAGCATTGGGGTTATAGGGTCAGGATCGAGGTTATAGGGTCAGCACTGGGGTTATAGGGTCAGGATGGGGGTTATAGGGTCAGCATTGGGGTTATAGGGTCAGCATTGGGGTTATAGGGTCAGCATTGGGGTTATAGGGTCAGGATGGGGTTATAGGGTCAGGATGGGGTTATAGGGTCAGGATCGAGGTTATAGGGTCAGGATTGGGGTTATAGGGTCAGGATTGGGGTTATAGGGTCAGCATTGGGGTTATAGGGTCAGCATTGGTTTATAGGGTCACCATTAGGATTTATAGGGTCAGGATGGGGTTATAGGGTCAGCATTGGGGTTATAGGGTCAGGATGGGGTTATAGGGTCAGGATGGGGGTTATAGGGTCAGGATTGAGGTTATAGGGTCAGCATTGGGGTTATAGGGTCAGCATTGGGGTTATAGGGTCAGGATGGGGGTTATAGGGTCAGGATTGAGGTCATAGGGTCAGGATGGGGGTTATAGGGTCAGCATTGGGGTTATAGGGTCAGCATTGGGGTTATAGGGTCAGGATGGGGGTTATAGGGTCAGGATTGAGGTCATAGGGTCAGGATGGGGGTTATAGGGTCAGCATTGGGGTTATAGGGTCAGGATCGAGGTTATAGGGTCAGCATTGGGGTTATAGGGTCAGCATTGGGGTTATAGGGTCAGGATGGGGGTTATAGGGTCAGCATTGGGGTTATAGGGTCAGCATTGGGGTTATAGGGTCACCATTGGTTTATAGGGTCACCATTAGGATTTATAGGGTCAGCATTGGGATTATAGGCCCAGGATGGGGGTTATAGGGTCAGGATCGAGGTTATAGGGTCACCATTGGGTTATAGGGTCACCATTAGGATTTATAGGGTCAGGATGGGGTTATAGGGTCAGCATTGGGGTTATAGGGTCAGGATTGGGGTTATAGGGTCAGGATTGGTTTATAGGGTCACCATTAGGATTTATAGGGTCAGGATGGGGTTATAGGGTCAGCATTGGGGTTATAGGGTCAGGATTGGGGTTATAGGGTCACCATTGGGTTATAGGATCACCATTAGGATTTATAGGGTCAGGATCCCAGTTATAGGGTCACCATTGGGTTTATAGGGTCAGCATTAGGATTTATAGGGTCAGCATTGGGGTTATAGGGTCAGGATCCCAGTTATAGGGTCAGGATGGGGGTTATAGGGTCAGGATCGCAGTTATAGGGTCAGGATTGAGGTTATAGGGTCAGGATGGGGGTTATAGGGTCACCATTGGGGTTATAGGGTCAGGATCGCAGTTATAGGGTCAGGATGGGGTTATAGGGTCACCATTAGGATTTATAGGGTCACCATTAGGATTTATAGGGTCAGGATGGGGTTATAGGGTCACCATTGGGATTACAGGCCCAGGATGGTGATTATAGGGTCAGCATTGGGGTTATAGGGTCAGGATGGGGGTTATAGGGTCAGGATGGGGGTTATAGGGTCAGCATTGGGGTTATAGGGTCAGGATCGAGGTTATAGGGTCACCATTGGTTTATAGGATCACCATTGGGTTATAGGGTCACCATTAGGATTTATAGGGTCAGGATGGGGTTATAGGGTCAGCATTGGGATTATAGGCCCAGGATGGTGATTATAGGGTCAGGATGGGGTTATAGGGTCAGGATCAAGGTTATAGGGTCAGGATTGGGGTTATAGGGTCACCATTGGTTTATAGGGTCACCATTAGGATTTATAGGGTCAGGATGGGGTTATAGGGTCAGCATTGGGGTTATAGGGTCACCATTGGGTTATAGGATCACCATTAGGATTTATAGGGTCAGGATCCCAGTTATAGGGTCACCATTGGGTTTATAGGGTCAGGATGGGGGTTATAGGGTCAGTATTGGGGTTATAGGGTCAGGATGGGGGTTATAGGGTCAGGATTGGGGTTATAGGGTCAGGATTGGGTTATAGGGTCAGCATTGGGGTTATAGGGTCAGCATTGGGGTTATAGGGTCACCATTGGGTTATAGGATCACCATTAGGATTTATAGGGTCAGGATCCCAGTTATAGGGTCACCATTGGGTTTATAGGGTCAGCATTAGGATTTATAGGGTCAGCATTGGGGTTATAGGGTCAGGATTGGGGTTATAGGGTCAGGATGGGGGTTATAGGGTCAGGATGGGGGTTATAGGGTCAGGATTGAGGTTATAGGGTCAGCATTGGGGTTATAGGGTCAGGATGGGGTTATAGGGTCACCATTGGGTTATAGGGTCACCATTGGGTTATAGGGTCACCATTGTTTTATAGGGTCACCATTAGGATTTATAGGGTCAGCATTGGGATTATAGGGTCAGGATGCTGATTATAGGGTCAGCATGGGGTTATAGGGTCAGGATTGGGTTTATAGGGTCACCATTGGGTTTATAGGGTCAGGATGGGGGTTATAGGGTCAGGATGGGGGTTATAGGATCACCATTGGGTTATAGGGTCAGGATGGGGTTATAGGGTCAGGATTGAGGTTATAGGGTCACCATTGGGTTATAGGGTCAGCATTGGGTTATAGGGTCACCATTGGGTTATAGGGTCACCATTAGGATTTATAGGGTCAGGATGGGGTTATAGGGTCAGCATTGGGATTATAGGCCCAGGATGGGGGTTATAGGGTCAGGATCGAGGTTATAGGGTCAGCATTGGGGTTATAGGGTCAGGATGGGGGTTATAGGGTCAGCATTGGGATTATAGGCCCAGGATGGTGATTATAGGGTCAGGATGGGGTTATAGGGTCAGGATTGGGGTTATAGGGTCACCATTGGGTTATAGGGTCACCATTGGGGTTATAGGGTCACCATTAGGATTTATAGGGTCACCCTTCGCATTTATAGGATCGCCCTTCGCAACCCCCCATTCCCCCTCCATTTATGGGGTCAGCCTGCAGCTGAGCCTTCCGGGATCCCCCCCCAGCGCCACCTTATGGGGTTGGCCTTATAGGATCGGCCCTTATAGGGTCAGCCCTTGCTTTATAGGGTCGTCACCTTATTGGGGTTGAGCGAATCGTTCCTCAACCTCTGTTTGTTCTTCTGCAGTTTGCTGGGCATCATTTTGCCCGTCCGAAAATCGAAGCAGCTCAAATCCACAGCGTTGCCCAAATATCGAGCGAGTTGGGGTTTGCTTCGGAATTTTTTCCCGCTCGGGCTGTGGGATTATAGGGGAAAAAGGGCAGAAATCCTATAAGAAACCCCGTAAAAATCCCATAAAAGCCCTATAAGTTACATAGCGGGAAATGGGGAGGAAATGAACCTAAAAATCGACCCTTTTCAGCCCCAAAATGGTGGATTTTCACCCCAATTTCCCTCATTCTGACCCTATTGGGATTCATGGGGGACAGAAAAACCCCAAATCCCATAAAAATCCTATAAAAATCCCATAAAAAACCCCACAAATCCCATCAAAACCCTATAAGTTACATAGCGGGAAATGGGGAGGTGAAAATGACCCCAAATCGACCCTTTTTGGCCCCAAAATGGCGGATTTTTACCCCAAAATCTCCCACCCTGACCCTATAGAGACTCATAGGGTGGAGAAAAACCCCAAATCCCATAAAAATCCTATAAAAATCCCATAAAAAACCCCACAAATCCCATAAAAGCCCTATAAGTTACATAGCGGGAAATGGGGAGGAAATAAGCCTAAAAATCGACCCTTTTCGGCCCCAAAATGGCGGATTTTCACCCCAATTTTGCTCATTCTGACCCTATAGAGACTCATAGGGTGGAGAAAAACCCCAAATCCCATAAAAATCCCATAAAAATCCCATAAAAAAACCCCACAAACCCCATAAAAACCCTATAAGTTACATAGCGGGAAATGGGGAGGAAATGACCCTAAAAATGAACCATTTTTGGCCCCAAAATGGCGGATTTTCACCCCAATTTTGCTCATTCTGACCCTATTGGGATCCATGGGGGACAGAAAAACCCCAAATCCCATAAAAATCCTATAAAAATCCCATAAAAATCCCATAAAAAAACCCCAAAAACCCCATCCAAACCCTATAAGTTACATAGCGGGAAATGGGGAGGAAATGAGCCTAAAAATCGACCCTTTTCGGCCCTAAAATGGGGGATTTTCACCCCAATTTTGCTCATTTTTACCCTATAGGGACTCATAGGGTGGAGAAAAACCCCAAATCCCATAAAAATCCCATAAAAATCCCATAAAAAACCCCACAAATCCCATAAAAACCCTATAAGTTACATAGCGGGAAATGGGGAGGAAATGAGCCTAAAAATGAACCATTTTTGGCCCCAAAATGGCGGATTTTTACCCCAAAATCTCCCACCCTGACCCTATAGAGACTCATAGGGTGGAGAAAAACCCCAAATCCCATAAAAATCCCATAAAAATCCCATAAAAAACCCCACAAATCCCATAAAAGCCCTATAAGTTACATAGCGGGAAATGGGGAGGAGATAGGCCTCAAAATCGACCCTTTTCGGCCCCAAAATGGTGGATTTTCACCCCAATTTCCCTCATTCTGACCCTATTGGGATTCATGGGGGACAGAAAAACCCCAAATCCCATAAAAATCCTATAAAAATCCCATAAAAAACCCCACAAATCCCATCAAAACCCTATAAGTTACATAGCGGGAAATGGGGAGGTGAAAATGACTCCAATTCGACCCTTTTTGGCCCCAAAATGGCGGATTTTTACCCCAAAATCTCCCACCCTGACCCTATAGAGACTCATAGGGTGGAGAAAAACCCCAAATCCCATAAAAATCCCATAAAAATCCCATAAAAAACCCCAAAAACCCCATAAAAACCCTATAAGTTACATAGCGGGAAATGGGGAGGAAATGAACCTAAAAATCAACCATTTTTGGCCCCAAAATGGTGGATTTTCACCCCAATTTGTCTCATTCTGACCCTATTGGGATTCAAGGGGGGGACAAAAACCCCCAAATCCCATAAAAATCCCATAAAAATCCCATAAAAAACCCCAAAAACCCCATAAAAGCCCTATAAGTTACATAGCGGGAAATGGGGGGGAGATAGGCCTCAAAATCGACCCTTTTCGGCCCCAAAATGGCGGATTTTTACCCCAAAATCTCCCACCCTGACCCTATAGAGACTCATAGGGTGGGGAAAAACCCCAAATCCCATAAAAATCCCATAAAAATCCCATAAAAAACCCCAAAAACCCCATAAAAGCCCTATAAGTTACATAGCGGGAAATGGGGAGGAAATAGGCCTCAAAATCGACCCTTTTTGGCCCCAAAATGGTGGATTTTCACCCCAATTTTGCTCATTCTGACCCTATTGGGATTCATAGGGGATAGAAAAAGCCCAAATCCCATAAAAATCCCATAAAAATCCCATAAAAATCCCATAAAAAACCCCAAAAACCCCATAAAAACCCTATAAGTTACATAGCGGGAAATGGGGAGGAAATGAGCCTAAAAATGAACCATTTTTGGCCCTAAAATGGTGGATTTTCACCCCAATTTCCCTCATTCTGACCCTATTGGGATCCATGGGGGACAGAAAAACCCCAAATCCCATAAAAATCCCATAAAAATCCCATAAAAAACCCCACAAATCCTATAAAAACCCTATAAGTTACATAGCGGGAAATGGGGAAGAAATGAACCTAAAAATCGACCCTTTTCGGCCCTAAAATGGTGGATTTTCACCCCAAAATCTCCCACCCTGACCCTATAGAGACTCATAGGGTGGAGAAAAACCCCAAATCCCATAAAAATCCCATAAAAATCCCATAAAAAACCCCACAAATCCCATCCAAACCCTATAAGTTACATAGCGGGAAATGGGGAGGAGATAGGCCTCAAAATCGACCCTTTTCGGCCCCAAAATGGCGGATTTTCACCCCAATTTTGCTCATTCTGACCCTATTGGGATTCATAGGGTGGAGAAAAACCCCAAATCCCATAAAAATCCTATAAAAATCCCATAAAAAACCCCACAAATCCCATAAAAACCCTATAAGTTACATAGCGGGAAATGGGGAGGAAATGAGCCCAAAAATCGACCCTTTTCGGCCCTAAAATGGGGGATTTTCACCCCAATTTTGCTCATTCTGACCCTATAGAGACTCATAGGGTAGAGAAAAACCCCAAATCCCATAAAAATCCTATAAAAATCCCATAAAAAACCCCAAAAACCCCATAAAAGCCCTATAAGTTACATAGCGGGAAATGGGGAGGAAATAGGCCTCAAAATCGACCCTTTTTGGCCCCAAAATGGCGGATTTTCACCCCAATTTTGCTCATTCTGACCCCATAGGAATCCATGAGATGGAAAAAAACCCCAAATCCCATAAAAATCCCATAAAAATCCCATAAAAAACCCCAAAAACCCCATAAAAACCCTATAAGTTACATAGCGGGAAATGGGGAGGAAATGACCCTAAAAATGAACCATTTTTGGCCCCAAAATGGCGGATTTTCACCCCAATTTTGCTCATTCTGACCCTATTGGGGTTCATAGATAAGAGAAAAACCCCAAATCCCATAAAAATCCCATAAAAATCCCATAAAAAACCCCAAAAACCCCATCAAAACCCTATAAGTTACATAGCGGGAAATGGGGAGGTGAAAATGACTCCAAATCGACCCTTTTTGGCCCCAAAATGGCGGATTTTTACCCCAAAATCTCCCACCCTGACCCTATAGAGACTCATAGGGTGGAGAAAAACCCCAAATCCCATAAAAATCCCATAAAAATCCCATAAAAAACTCCAAAAACCCCATAAAAACCCTATAAGTTACGTAGCGGTAAAACGGGAGGAGAAAATGACCCCAAATCGTCCCTTTTTGGCCCCAAAATGGCGGATTTTTACCCCAATTTTGCTCATTCTGACCCTATTGGGATTCATAGATAAGAGAAAAACCCCAAATCCCATAAAAATCCCATAAAAATCCCATAAAAAACCCCACAAACCCCATAAAAACCCTATAAGTTACATAGCGGGAAATGGGGAGGAAATGAACCTAAAAATCGACCCTTTTCGGCCCCAAAATGGGGGATTTTTACCCCAATTTCCCTCATTCTGACCCTATTGGGATCCATGGGGGATAGAAAAACCCCAAATCCCATAAAAATCCCATAAAAAACCCCATAAAAATCCCATAAAAGCCCTATAAGTTACATAGCGGGAAATGGGGAGGAGATAGGCCTCAAAATCGACCCTTTTCGGCCCCAAAATGGCGGATTTTCACCCCAAAATCTCCCACCCTGACCCTATAGAGACTCATAGGGTGGAGAAAAACCCCAAATCCCATAAAAATCCCATAAAAATCCCATAAAAAACCCCACAAATCATATCAAAACCCTATAAGCAACTCCCATTGCCTTCCATTGACTCCCATTCCACCCCCAGCCCCAAATCCACTCCGGGTTTTCCCCCATCCCCATTCACTCCCATTGACTCCCATTGCCTTCCATTCACTCCCATTGCCTGCCATTGCCTCCCATTCCACCCCCACCCCCAAATCCACTCCGGGTTTTCCCCCATCCCCATTCACTCCCATTCACTCCCATTGCCTTCCATTGACTCCCATTGCCTTCCATTCACTCCCATTGCCTTCCATTGACTCCCATTGCCTTCCATTGACTCCCATTGCCTTCCATTGACTCCCATTCCCCTTCCAGCCCCAAATCCACTCCGGGTTTTCCCCCATTGACTCCCATTCACTCCCATTGACTCCCATTGCCTTCCATTGCCTCCCATTCCACCCCCACCCCAAATCCACTCCGGGTTTTCCCCCATCCCCATCCCCTCCCATTGACTCCCATTGACTTCCATTGACTCCCATTCCACCCCCAGCCCAAATCCACTCCGGGTTTTCCCCCATCCCCATTGACTCCCATTGCCTTCCATTGCCTCCCATTCCCCTTCCAGCCCCAAATCCACTCCGGGTTTTCCCCCATCCCCATTGACTCCCATTGCCTTCCATTGCCTCCCATTCCCATCCTACCCCCAAATCCACTCCGGGTTTTCCTCCATTCACTCCCATTGACTTCTATTGCCTTCCATTGCCTCCCATTCCACTCCCACCCCAAATCCACTCCAGGTTTTCCCCCATCCCCATTCACTCCCATTCACTCCCATTGCCTTCCATTGCCTCCCATTCCACTCCCAGCCCCAAATCCACTCCGGGTTTTCCCCCATCCCCATTCACTCCCATTCACTCCCATTGCCTTCCATTGACTCCCATTGCCTTCCATTGCCTCCCATTGCCTTCCATTGACTCCCATTCCCATCCTACCCCCAAATCCACTCCGGGTTTTCCCCCATTCACTCCCATTGACTTCTATTGCCTTCCATTGACTCCCATTCCACTCCCACCCCGAATCCACTCCGGGTTTTCCCCCATCCCCATTCACTCCCATTCACTCCCATTGCCTTCCATTGACTCCCATTGCCTTCCATTGACTCCCATTCCACCCCCAGCCCCAAATCCACTCCGGGTTTTCCCCATCCCCATTCACTCCCATTGACTCCCATTGCCTTCCATTGACTCCCATTCCACTCCCACCCCCAAATCCACTCCGGGTTTTCCTCCATCCCCATTCACTCCCATTCACTCCCATTGACTCCCATTGCCTTCCATTGACTCCCATTGCCTTCCATTGCCTCCCATTCCACTCCCACCCCAAATCCACTCCAGGTTTTCCCCCATCCCCATTCACTCCCATTCACTCCCATTGCCTTCCATTGACTCCCATTCCACTCCCACCCCCAAATCCACTCCGGGTTTTCCCCCATCCCCATTCACTCCCATTGACTCCCATTGCCTTCCATTGACTCCCATTCCACCCCCAGCCCCAAATCCACTCCGGGTTTTCCCCCATCCCCATTCACTCCCATTCACTCCCATTGCCTTCCATTGACTCCCATTGCCTTCCATTGACTCCCATTGCCTTCCATTGACTCCCATTCCACTCCCAGCCCAAATCCACTCCGGGTTTTCCCCCATCCCCATTCACTCCCATTGACTCCCATCCCCTCCCATTGACTCCCATTGCCTTCCATTGACTCCCATTGCCTTCCATTCACTCCCATTGCCTTCCATTGACTCCCATTGCCTTCCATTGACTCCCATTCCACCCCCAGCCCCAAATCCACTCCAGGTTTTCCCCCATTGACTCCCATTGCCTTCCATTGACTCCCATTCCACTCCCAGCCCCAAATCCACTCCGGGTTTTCCCCCATTGCCTTCCATTGCCTCCCATTCCACTCCCACCCCAAATCCACTCCGGGTTTTCCTCCATCCCCATTCACTCCCATTCACTCCCATTGCCTTCCATTGCCTCCCATTCCCATCCTACCCCCAAATCCACTCCGGGTTTTCCCCCATCCCCATTCACTCCCATTCACTCCCATTGCCTTCCATTGACTCCCATTGCCTTCCATTGACTCCCATTCCACCCCCAGCCCCAAATCCACTCCGGGTTTTCCCCCATCCCCATTCACTCCCATTCACTCCCATTGCCTTCCATTGCCTCCCATTGCCTTCCATTGACTCCCATTCCACTCCCAGCCCCAAATCCACTCCGGGTTTTCCCCCATCCCCATTCACTCCCATTCACTCCCATTGCCTTCCATTCACTCCCATTGCCTTCCATTGACTCCCATTGCCTTCCATTGACTCCCATTCCACCCCCAGCCCCAAATCCACTCCGGGTTTTCCCCCATCCCCATTCACTCCCATTGACTCCCATTGACTCCCATTGCCTTCCATTCACTCCCATTCACTCCCATTCACTCCCATTGCTTTCCATTGCCTCCCATTCCACTCCCACCCCAAATCCACTCCGGGTTTTCCTCCATCCCCATTGACTCCCATTGCTTTCCATTGACTCCCATTCCCATCCTACCCCCAAATCCACTCCGGGTTTTCCCCCATTCACTCCCATTGCCTCCCATTGCATTCCATCGCCTCCCATTCCACCCCCAGCCCCAAATCCACCCCACCTTTTCCCCCTTCCCCCCCTCCCTCCCCCTCCAGCCCTATGGAGGATGGGCTGCGCGACCCCAAACCCCCCCCCCTATGGAACCCATAGCAGAAAACGTCTCGCCAGCCTCCCCCATTAAAACCCCATGGAAGCGGAGCCAAACGAACCGCAATGGGGATTCGGGGCCTGACCTGAAGTAATAAACGTCGCTTTTCCCTGCGCTCAAGCCGGATTTACGGATGACTTCTTCCTTCTTCCAACCGGGTGGAAGAGCCGGGCAATCGATCCGGCCTTGTTTCTCCATCTTGTTTCTTCAGGGGTGCTGATGAGGAGCCGGGCTTCGGATGAGTTCGGAAGATGTTCGGAACGCGTTCGGCTCGAGTTCGGGAGGTGGTTCGGCTCCAGTTCCGGGTTGTTCGGGCCGAGTTCGGATGGAGTCGGGTGACGTTCGGAGCGACTTCCGGTCGAGTTCGGGAAGCGTTCGGGTCCGAGTTCCGGGTTGTTCGGGTCGAGTTCGGGGGGACTCGGGTTGAGTTCGGGGGGACTCGGGTCCGAGTTCCGGGGTGTTCGGGGAGAGTTCGGAGAGACTCGGGTGGGGTTCGGGGAGACTCGGGTCGAGTTCGGAGAGACTCGGGTCGAGTTCGGGGGGACTCGGGAAGCGTTCGGGTCCGAGTTCCGGGTTGTTCGGGTTGAGTTCGGAGAGACTCGGGTGGGGTTCGGGGGGACTCGGGTCGAGTTCGGGGGGATTCGGGTCGAGTTCGGGGGCGCTCGGGTCCGAGTTCCGGGGTGTTCGGGGAGAGTTCGGAGAGACTCGGGTCGAGTTCGGGGAGACTCGGGTCGAGTTCAGGGGCACTCGGGGAGCGTTCGGGCCCTGAGTTCCGGGTTGTTCGGGTCGAGTTCGGAGAGACTCGGGTCGAGTTCGCGGGGATTCGGGTCGAGTTCGGGGGCGCTCGGGTCCGAGTTCCGGGGTGTTCGGGGAGCGTTCGGAGAGACTCGGGTCGAGTTCGGGGGGACTCGGGTCGAGTTCGGGGGCACTCGGGGAGCGTTCGGGTCCGAGTTCCGGGTTGTTCGGGTCGAGTTCGGGGGCGCTCGGGTCGAGTTCGGGGGGACTCGGGTCGAGTTCGGAGAGACTCGGGTTGAGTTCGGGGGCACTCGGGGAGCGTTCGGGCCCTGAGTTCCGGGTTGTTCGGGTCGAGTTCGGGGGCGCTCGGGTCCGAGTTCCGGGGTGTTCGGGGAGAGTTCGGAGAGACTCGGGTCTGAGTTCGGGGGGACTCGGGTCGAGTTCGGGGGGACTCGGGAAGCGTTCGGGTCCGAGTTCCGGGTTGTTCGGGTCGAGTTCGGGGGCGTTCGGCTCCGAGTTCCGGGGTGTTAAGGGCGACTTCCGGTCGAATTCGGGGACGCTCGGAGCGCACTCGGGTCGAGTTCGGGTGGACTCGGCAAGCGTTCGGGTCAACTTCCGGGCTGTTCGGGAGTGTTCGGAACGCACTCGGGTCGAGTTCGGGGAACAGTCGGAGGCGTTCGGAAACGCTCGGAGATCTTCGGGTCGAGTTCGGGGCGGCTCGGGAGCGTTCGGGTCGAGTTCCGGGCTGTTCGGAGCGGCTCGGGCTGCAATCGGAGGCGTTCGGGTCGAGTTCGGGGCTGTTCGGGTCGAGTTCGGGCAGCGCTCGGAGGTGTTCGGGGAGGCATTAAGAGCCGTTCGGAGACGCTCGGTGATGTTCGGGTCGAGTTCGGGGCGGAATCGGAGGCGCTCGGGATGCGTTCGGAGCTTTTCGGGGACATTCGGAGACGTTTGGGTGAAAGAAACGGAGGGGACCGGAGGATCGAAAGGAGGAACGGGGACAGGAAGTGGGGGGGAACCGGAAGAAAAAGGAAGAGGGTGGAAGGTTGACCGGAAGTGAAGGGAAAACCGGAAGTGTAGGGAATCACGCGGAAGAAGGACCTTAATTAGGACCTTAAATTCATTAAGGATGAAGAAGATCCCTCCCCCCCCAGTGTCCCTGCCAGGAGCCTAATTAGGACCGTAGGATAATTAGGGCGGGAAAAGATGGGGGATTTGGCAGCTATGGGTCTCAATTGAGAGCTGTGGATCAATATTTGGCAGCCACGGGTTTATATTGGGAGCGATGGATCAATATTTGGCAGCCACGGGTTTATATTGGGAGCAATGGCTCCCTATTTGGCAGCCGTTGGTCTCTATTGGGAGCAATGGATCCCTATTTGGCAGCCGTGGGTCTCTCTTGGGAAGAATGGATCCCTATTTGGCAGCCATGGGTCTCCATTGGGAGCAATGGCTCCCTATTTGGCAGCCGTTGGTCTCTATTGGGAGGAATGGATCAATATTTGGCAGCCATGGGTCTCTATTGGGAGGAATGGGTCCATATTTGGCAGCCATGGATCTCTATTGGGAGCAATGGATCCATATTTGGCAGCCATGGGTCTCAATTGAGAGCTGTGAATCAATATTTGGCAGCCACGGGTTTATATTGGGAGCGATGGATCCATATTTGGCAGCCGTGGGTCTCTATTGGGAGGAATGGATCCATATTTGGCAGCCGTGGGTCTCAATTGGGAGCAATGGATCCCTATTTGGCAGCCATGGGTCTCTATTGGGAGGAATGGATCCATATTTGGCAACCATGGCTCTCAATTGGGAGCAATGGATCAATATTTGGCAGCCACGGGTCTCTATTGGGAGCAATGGATCCCTATTTGGCAGCCATGGGTCTCTATTGGGAGCAATGGATCAATATTTGGCAGCCGTTGGTCTCTATTGGGAGGAATGGATCCATATTTGGCAGCCGTGGGTCTCAATTGGGAGGAATGGATCCATATTTGGCAGTCATGTGTCTCCATTGGGAGCATTGGATCCCTATTTGGCAGCCTTGGGTCTCAAATGAGAGCAGATGGATCAATATTTGGCAGCCATGGGTCTATATTAAGAATAGTGGATCAAAATTTGGCAGCTCTGGGTTTCCTATTGGAAGGTATGGGTCCCTATTTGGCAACCATGGCTCTCAATTGGGAGCAATGGATCAATATTTGGCAGCCATGGGTCTATATTAAGAATAGTGGCTCCGTATTTGGCAGCTCTGGGTTTCTATTGATCGTAGTGGATCCCTATTTGGCAGCCATGAGTCTCTATTGGGAGTAGTGGATCAGTTTTTAGCAGACATGGGTCCTATTGGAAGGAATGGATCAATATTTGGCAGCCATGGGTCTATATTAAGAATAGTGGCTCCCTATTTGGCAGCTCTGGGTTTCTATTGATCGTAGTAGATCCCTATTTGGCAGCCATGGGTCTCAATTGGGAGGAATGGATCGCTATTTGGCAGCCATGAGTCTCTATTGGGAGCACTGGATCAGTTTTTAGCAGACATGGGTCTCTATTGGAAGGAATGGATCAATATTTGGCAACCGTGGGTCTATATTAAGAATAGTGGATCCCTATTTGGCAGCTGTGGGTTTCTATTGATCTCATTGGATCCCTATTTGGCAACCATGGCTCACTATTGGGAGGAATGGATCAATATTTGGCAACCGTGGGTCTATATTAAGAATAGTGGATCCCTATTTGGCAGCTGTGGGTTTCTATTGGAAGCCATGGATCCCTATTTGGCAACTGTGGGTCTCTATTGGGAGTAATGGATCTTTATTTGGCAGCCGTGGGTCTGTATTAAGAATAGTGGCTCCCTATTTGGCAGCTGTGGGTTTCTATTGGAAGCCATGGATCCCTATTTGGCAACTGTGGGTCTCTATTGGGACTAATGGATCTTTATTTGGCAGCCGTGGGTCTGTATTAAGAATAGTGGCTCCCTATTTGGCAACCATGGATCTCTTTCTGGTAGCCACCGGCCTACATTTGGTAGCCACAGGTCCGTATTTGGTTGACTTCCAGCGGTTCCCCCCCGCTTAATTAGCGGGGTTAATTAGCCGAACGTTCGTTAAATAAAGGAGCTTTCATTTGCATTCGTGTGGTGTTTGTATTGGTAGAATGGAAGGGGGTGGGGGGGTGGTCCTCCAGGATCATAGAGTTGTGGGGAAGGAAGGTCCTCCAGGGTCATAGAGTTGCGCAATGGTTGGGTAGGAGAGACAAATATCACAGAGCCACGGGAAGGAAGACCCTCCTATCCCACCACCCTACATCTCTATGATCTTGGAGGACCTTGCTACCCCCCCGCCCTTCAACTCTATGACCCTGGAGGACCCCCCCCCCCTCCCCTTCCCACAACCCACCATCTCTATGACCCTGGAGGACCCCAGCAGCCCACCAACTCTATGACCCTGGAGGACTGTGGAGGACTCCTCCCCCCCCCCCCCCCCCCCCTTCCCACCACCCACCAACTCTATGACCCTGGGAGGACCCCAACAACCCACCAACTCTATGACCTTGGAGGACCCCACCAACTCTATGACCCTGGAGGACCCCCCTTCCCACCACCCACCAACTCTATGACCCTGGAGGACCCCAACAACCCACCAACTCTATGAGCTTGGAGGACCCCACCAACTCTATGACCCTGGAGGACCCCCCTTCCCACCACCCACCAACTCTATGACCCTGGAGGACCCCAGCAACCCACCAACTCTATGACCCTGGAGGACCCCAACAACCCACCAACTCTATGACCCTGGAGGACCCCACCAACTCTATGCCCCTGGAGGACCTAGGACTCCATTCTGCCTCCTGATTGGTAGAGCTTGCGAATCCGGCAGCTTTGCACCGCCTCCAAAGAACCAATGGGACGAAAGCTTTCGGTCCCCACCCCTTTGGAAAGCCTGGCGGCGGATTGGCCCAGCTGAGCTGTCAATCTCGCCTTCAGCTCCTTATTCTCCAATGGGGGAAGAAGAAGACATGAGAAGCAAAGCATCCCATGTCCCCCCATAGGCTCCCATTCATCCCATGTCCCCCCATAGGCTCCCATGTCCCCCCATGTCCCCATAGGCCCCCATGTCCCCCCCATTACCCCCCATAGGCTCCCCATGACCCCATAGGCCTCCATGTCCCCCTATGTCCCCCCATAGGCCCCCATTCATCCCACGTCCCCCCATATCCCCCTATAGGCCCCCATGTCCTCCCATGTCCCCCCATGTCCCCATAGGCCCCCATAGGCTCTCATGTCCCCCCATATCCCCCCATGTCCCCCCATAGGCCCCCATCTCCCCCCATACGTCCCCATAGGCCCCCATAGGCCCCCATTCATCCCATGTCCCCCCATATCCCCCCATAGGCCCCCATGTCCCCCCATGTCCCCCCATCTCCCCCCATGTCCCCATAGGCCCCCATAGGCCCCCATTCATCCCATATCCCCCCATGTCCCCATGTCCCCCCATATCCCCCCCTGTCCCCATAGGCCCCCATATCCCCCCATGTCCCCATAGGCCCCCATGTCCCCCATAGGCCCCCATGTCCCCCCATGTCCCCATAGGCCCCCATAGGCCCCCATTCATCCCATGTCCCCCCATATCCCCCCATGTCCCCCCCTGTCCCCATAGGCCCCCATAGGCTCTCATGTCCCCCCTTGACCCCATAGGCCCCCATGTCCCCCCCATGTCCCCATATGTCCCCCCATAGGCTCCCCATGACCCCATAGGCCTCCATGTCCCCTCCTGTCCCCCCATGTCCCTCCATGACCCCATAGGCCCCCATATCCCCCCATAGGCTCCCATTCATCCCATCTCCTCCCATGTCCCCCCATGTCCCCATAGGCCCCCATAGGCCCCCATAGGCCCCCATTCATCCCATGTCCCCCCATGACCCCATAGGCCCCCTCAGGCTTCCATGTCCCCCTATGTCCCCATATGTCCCCCCATAGGCTCCCATGTCCCCCTATGTCCCCCTATGTCCCCCCCATGTCCCCCCATGTCCCCCTATGTCCCCCCATACGCTCCCATTCATCCCATGTCCCCCCATGACCCCATAGGCCCCCATGTCCCCCCATGTCCCCCCATAGGCCCCCATAGGCCCCCATTCATCCCATCTCCCCCCCTGTCCCCATAGGCCCCCATGTCCCCCCATCTCCCCCCATGTCCCCATAGGCCCCCATAGGCTCTCATGTCCCCCCTTGACCCCATAGGCTCCCATGTCCCCCCATGTCCCCATAGGCCCCCATAGGCTCCCATTCATCCCATGTTCCCCCAAGTCCCCATAGGCCCCCCATGTCCCCATGTCCCCCAATAGGCCCCCATGTCCCCCCATGTCCCCCCATGTCCCCATAGGCTCCCATGTCCCCCTATGTCCCCCCATCTCCCCCCATGTCCCCCCATGTCCCCCCATAGCATCCCATGACTCCATAGGCCCCCATGTCCCCCCATGTCCCCCTATGTCCCCCCATGTCCCCCTATGTCCCCCCATAGGCCCCCATGTCCCCCCATGCCCCCCCATAGGCCCCCATAGGCCCCCATTCATCCCATGTCCCCCCATAGACCCCCATAGGCTCCCATTCATCCCATATCCCCCCATGTCCCCCCATCTCCCCCCATAGGCCCCCATAGGCCCCCATTCATCCCATGTCCCCCCATATCCCCCCATAGGCCCCCATGTCCCCCCATGTCCCCCCATATCCCCCCATAGGCCCCCATAGGCCCCCATTCATCCCATGTCCCCCCCTGTCCCCATAGGCCCCCATGTCCCCCCATCTCCCCCCATGTCCCCATAGGCCCCCATAGGCTCTCATGTCCCCCCTTGACCCCATAGGCTCCCATGTCCCCCCATGTCCCCCCATATCCCCCCATAGGCCCCCATGTCCCCCCCATGTCCCCCCATGTCCCCCATAGACCCCAAGTCCCCCCATGACCCCATAGGCCCCCACGTCTCCCCCTGTCCCCCCTCCTGTCCCCCCATGTCCCCCTATATCCCCCCATGACCCCATAGACCCCCATGTCCCCCCATCTCCCCCCATGTCCCCCCTTGACCCCATAGGCTCTCATGTCCCCCTATGTCCCCCCATAGGTTCCCATTCATCCCTTGTCCCCCCATAGGCCCCCATGTCCCCCCATGTCCCCCCATGTCCCCATAGGCCCCCATGTCCCCCCATGTCCCCCTATGTCCCCCTATAGGCTCCCCATGACCCCATAGGCCCCCATGTCCCCCCATGTCCCCCCCTGTCCCCATAGGTCCCCATAGGCCCCCATGTCCCCCCTTGACCCCATAGGCTCTCATGTCCCCCCATGTCCCCCCATGTCCCCCCCTGTCCCCATAGGCCCCCATAGGCCCCCATGTCTCCCCCAGGTCCCCATAGGCCTCCATGTCCCCCCATGTCCCCCCATATCCCCCCATAGGCTCCCATGTCCCCCTATGTCCCCTTATGTCCCCCCATGTCCCCATAGGCTCCCATTCATCCCATGTCCCCCCCTGCCCCCCATGTCCCCCCATATCCCCCCATGTCCCCATAGGCTCCCATTCATCCCATGTCCCCCCCTGCCCCCCATGTCCCCCCCATGTCCCCCTATGTCCCCATCAGCCCCCATAGGCCCCCATAGGCCCCCATGTCCCCCCATGTCCCCCCATATCCCCCCATGTCCCCATAGGCCCCCATAGGCCCCCATAGGCCCCCATTCATCCCATGTCCCCCCATGTCCCCCCATCTCCCCCCATGTCCCCATAGGCCCCCATAGGCCCCCATTCATCCCATGTCCCCCCATGTCCCCCCATCTCCCCCCATGTCCCCATAGGCCCCCATAGGCCCCCATTCATCCCATGTCCCCCCATGTCCCCCCATATCCCCCAATGTCCCCATAGGCTCCCATTCATCCCATGTCCCCTCCTGTCCCCCCCATGTCCCTCCATGACCCCCCATGTCCCCATAGGCTCCCATTCATCCCATGTCCCCCCATAGGCCCCCATGTCCCCTCCTGTCCCCCCCATGTCCCCCTATGACCCCCCCATGTCCCCCTATGTCCCCATAGGCTTCCATGTCCCCCTATGTCCCCTTATGTCCCCCCATGTCCCCATAGGTCTCCATAGGCTCCCATGTCCCCCCATGTCCCCCCATAGGCCCCCATATCCCCCCATAGGCCCCCATGTGCCCCCATGTCCTCATAGGCCCCCATAGGCCCCCATGTCCCCCCATGTCCCCCCATGTCCCCCCATGTCCCCCTATGTCCCCCTATAGGCTCCCATGTCCCCCCCATGTCCCCATATGTCCCCCCATGTCCCCATAGGCCCCCATGTCCCCCCATATCCCCATAGGCTCCCATTCATCCCATGTCCCCCCATGTCCCCTTATGTCCCCCTATGTCCCCCCATGTCCCCCCATCTCCCCCCATAGGCTCCCCATGACCCCATAGGCCTCCATGTCCCCCCCTGTCCCCCCATATCCCCCCATAGGTCCCCATAGGCCCCCATTCATCCCATCTCCCCCCATGTCCCCATAGGCCCCCATAGACCCCCATAGGCTCCCATTCATCCCATGTCCCCCCATGTCCCCCCATGTCCCCCCATGTCCCCATAGGCCCCCATGTCCCCCCCTTGTCCCCCTATGTCCCCATAGGTCCCCATAGGCCCCCATAGGTCCCCATAGGCCCCCATGCCCCCCCATAGGCCCCCATAGGCCCCCATTCATCCCATGTCCCCCCATAACCCCCCATGTCCCCCCATCTCCCCCCATGTCCCCCCATGTCCCCCCATATCCCCCTATGTCCCCATAGGCTCCCATGTCCCCCCATGTCCCCCCATCTCCCCCCATGTCCCCATAGGCCCCCATAGGCCCCCATATCCCCCCATATCCCCCCATGTCCCCCCATATCCCCCCATGTCCCCATAGGCCCCCATAGGCCCCCATTCATCCCATGTCCCCCCATATCCCCCCATATCCCCCCATATCCCCCCATAGGCCCCCCATGTCCCCATAGGCCCCCATAGGCCCCCATATCCCCCCATAGGCCCCCATAGGCCCCCATAGGCCCCCCCTTTTCCCCCCATCCCATAATACCTCCTCCTCCAAGCCCCTCAGCCTCTCCTCCATCTCCTCCACCCTCCGCTCCTTCATCCTCGCTTCCCTCCTCAGCTCCTCCGCCTCAAGAAACCAATCATTCATTAACCTATAAGGTTAACGACCCCCCAACCCCCAAAGGCCGCTAATTAAGCCCTAATTAAGGGCTTAATGACCCCCCCAAAGCCGCTCACTTGACCAATGACCCCACGCAAGGCGCCGTGCTGCCTCTCCATCACCGCCTGCAGGTGGGCCAGCTGCTCCTCCAAGGTGCCGATCTCCTCCCTAATTAGCCTCTAATTAGCTCCATTAAGTGGCCACCCATCCTAAGTGCCTTAATTAGGCTCATTAAGGCCTCCTTCGTTACCGCAAACGGGCTGAAGCCCTTAAGGGAGGCTGGAGGAGCTGCAGCTCCAGCTTGAGCTTCTTGGTGCTCAGCATTCGCTTCTCCTACAAGGGGGGGGAAAAAGGGGGGGAAAAACCCCAAAATGGACCCAAAATTGACCCCAAAATGGGGCCCAGACCCCAAAGACCCCAAAGACCCCAAAGCCGACCCTATAAGACCCCAAAATGACCCCATAAGACCCCAAAACGACCCCATAGGACCCCAAAGACCCCAAACTCAACCCTATAAGACCCCAAAATGGCCGCCAGGCCCCAAAGGGTCTCCTCCAGCGTCTTCCCTGCTACTCTATGGTCTCGGAGGACCCTCCTACCCCGACCTCCCTGCAACTCTATGATCCTGGAGGACCGACTTCACCCAATGCCAACTGAACCCAAGACCCCAAAGCCAAAGCATCCAAGACCCCAAAATGAGCCCATAGGACCCCAAAATGGCCCCAAAGACCCCAAACCCAAACCCTATAAGACCCCAAAATGGGGCCCAGACCCCAAAGACCCCAAAGACCCCAAACCCGACCCCATAAGACCCCAAAATGACCCCATAGGACCCCAAAATGACCCCATAGGACCCCAAAGACCCCAAACCCGACCCTATAAGACCCCAAATGACCCCATAGGACCCCAAAATGGCCCCAAAGACCCCAAACCCAAACCCTATAAGACCCCAAATGGGGCCCAGACCCCAAAGACCTCAAAGATCCCAAACCTGACCCTATAAGAACCCAAAATGCCCCCATAGGACCCCAAAGACCCCAAACCCAAACCCTATAAGACCCCAAATGACCCCATAGGACCCCAAAGACCCCAAAGACCCCAAACCCGACCCTATAAGACCCCAAAATGACCCCATAGGACCCCAAAGACCCCAAACTCGACCCCATAAGACCCCAAAACGACCCCATAGGACCCCAAAGACCCCAAACCCGACCCCATAAGACCCCAAAACGACCCCATAGGACCCCAAAGACCCCAAACCCGACCCCATAAGACCCCAAAACGACCCCATAGGACCCCAAAGACCCCAAACCCGACCCTATAAGACCCCAAAATGGCCGCCAGGCCCCAAAGGGTCTCCTCCAGCATCTTCCCTGCTACTCTATGGTCTCGGAGGACCCTCCTACCCCGACCTCCCTGCAACTCTATGATCCTGGAGGACCGACTTCACCCAATGCCAACTGAACCCAAGACCCCAAAGCCAAAGCATCCAAGACCCCAAAATGAGCCCATAGGACCCCAAAATGGCCTCAAAGACCCCAAACCGAAATCCTATAAGACCCCAAAATGGGGCCCAGACCCCAAAGACCCCAAAGACCCCAAACCCGACCCCATAAGACCCCAAAATGACCCCATAGGACCCCAAAGACCCCAAACCCGACCCTATAAGACCCCAAAATGGCCGCCAGGCCCCAAAGGGTCTCCTCCAGCGTCTTCCCTGCTACTCTATGGTCTCGGAGGACCCTCCTACCCCGACCTCCCTGCAACTCTATGATCCTGGAGGACCGACTTCACCCAATGCCAACTGAACCCAAGACCCCAAAGCCAAAGCATCCAAGACCCCAAAATGACCCTATAAGACCCCAAAAGGACCCCATAGGACCCCAAAATGGCCCCAAAGACCCCAAACCCGACCCCATAAGACCCCAAAACGACCCCATAGGACCCCAAAATGGCCGCCAGACCCCAAAGACCCCAAACCCAAACCCTATAAGACCCCAAAATGACCCCATAGGACCCCAAAATGGCCCCAAAGACCCCAAACCCAAACCCTATAAGACCCCAAATGGGGCCCAGACCCCAAAGACCCCAAAGACCCCAAACCCGACCCTATAAGACCCCAAATGACCCCATAGGACCCCAAAGACCCCCAACCCGACCCCATAAGACCCCAAAACGACCCCATAGGACCCCAAAGACCCCAAACCCGACCCTATAAGACCCCAAAATGACCCCATAGGACCCCAAAGACCCCCAACCCGACCCTATAAGACCCCAAAATGACCCCATAGGACCCCAAAGACCCCAAACCCGACCCTATAAGACCCCAAATGACCCCATAGGACCCCAAAGACCCCAAACCCGACCCTATAAGACCCCAAAACGACCCCATAGGACCCCAAAATGGCCCCAAAGACCCCAAAGACCCCAAACCCGAACCTATAAGACCCCAAAACGACCCCATAGGGCCCCAAAGACCCCAAACCCGACCCCATAAGACCCCAAAACGACCCCATAAGACCCCAAAGATCCCAAAGACCCCAAACCCGACCCTATAAGACCCCAAAACGACCCCATAAGACCCCAAAATGGCCGCCAGACCCCAAAACCCCACAAGAACCCCCATAAATCCCCCCTTTCCCCCCCACCTCCTCCATCCTTCGCAGCCTCTCTTCCACTTCCGCCATCCGTCGCCTTTGTTCCTCTTCCTCCGCCATGTTCTTCCGCCACTCCTTCCTCAACTCTATGATCCTGGCTGCCTGCGGGGCCGCCATGAGTCCTCCAACCCCGTATGACCCCAAACGGCGGCCCTATAAACCCCCAAAAACCCCATTGAAAAACCCCAAACCTCCATTCGCTGCTTCTCCTCATGGTGGGATTTCTTCAGTTCTTCCTGTTTCTTCTTGTAGGTCTCCGAAAATCGTTGGGATGCTGATTTTAAAGCTTGGATTCCGGCTTCTCGCGTCGCTTCCAACTGCAGGGGGGCGAAAAAGGCCCTAAAAGTTTCCCCTATAGGATTTATAGGGTTTCCCAGTGCTGGAAAAGCCCATACAGGCCTCGATCCCCTGCAACTCTATGGTCTTGGAGGACTGATTTAACCCCATCTCTCCATAACTCTATGAGCTTGGAGGACTGACTTAAGCCAATGCCCTTCGACTCTATGATCCTGGAGGACCAATTTAACCCAGTGCTCTCCAACTCTATGATCTTGGAGGACCAACTTAACCCAATACCCTTCGACTCTATGATTCTGGAGGACCAATTTAACCCAATGCTTTCCAACTCTATGATCCTGGAGGACCAACCCAACGCCCTTCGACTCTATGATCCTGGAGGACCAACCCAACGCCCTTCGACTCTATGATCCTGGAGGACCAACCCAATGCCTTTCAACTCTATGATCCTGGAGGACCAACCCAATGCCCTTCGACTCTATGATCCTGGAGGACCAACCCAATGCCCTTTGACTCTATGATCCTGGAGGACCGACTTAACCCAATACCCTTCGACTCTATGATCCTGGAGGACCAACCCAATGCCCTCTGACTCTATGATCCTGGAGGACCAACCCAACGCCCTTCGACTCTATGATCCTGGAGGACCAACCCAATGCCCTTTGACTCTATGATCCTGGAGGACCAATTTAACCCAATGCTTTCCAACTCTATGATCCTGGAGGACCAACCCAATGCCCTTCAACTCTATGATCCTGGAGGACCAATTTAACCCAATGCTCTCCAACTCTATGATCCTGGAAGACCAACTTAACCCAATACCCTTCGACTCTATGATCCTGCAGGACCAACCCAATGCCCTTCAACTCTATGATCCTGGAGGACCAACCCAACGCCCTTCGACTCTATGATCCTGGAGGACCAACCCAATGCCCTCTGACTCTATGATCCTGGAGGACCAACCCAATGCCCTCTGACTCTATGATCCTGGAGGACCAACTTAACCCAATACCCTTCGACTCTATGATCCTGGAGGACTAAGTGAACCCAACGCCCTTCAACTCTATGATCCTGGAGGACCCTCCTACTCCAAGCCCCTTCAACTCCATGATCCTGGAGGACCAACCCAATGCCCTTCAACTCTATGATCCTGGAGGACCAACCCAACGCCCTTTGACTCGATGATCTTGGTGGACCAACTTAATGCAATACCCTTCAACTCTATGATCCTGGAGGACCAACCCAACGCCCTTTGACTCTATGATCCTGGAGGACCAACCCAATGCCCTTCAACTCTATGATCCTGGAGGACCCTCCTACTCCAAGCCCCTTCAACTCTATGATCCTGGAGGACCAACCCAATGCCCTTCGACTCTATGATCCTGGAGGACCAACCCAATACCCTCTGACTCTATGATCCTGGAGGACCAATTTAACCCAATGCTCTCCAACTCTATGATCTTGGAGGACCAAATTAACCCAAGAACCTTCGACTCTATGATTCTGGAGGACCAATTTAACCCAATGCTTTCCAACTCTATGATCCTGGAGGACCAACCCAACGCCCTTCGACTCTATGATCCTGGAGGACCAACCCAATGCCCTCTGACTCTATGATCCTGGAGGACCAACTTAACCCAATACCCTTCGACTCTATGATCCTGGAGGACCAACTTAACCCAATACCCTTCTACTCTATGATCTTGGAGGACCAACCCAATGCCCTCTGACTCTATGATCCTGGAGGACCAACCCAATACCCTTCGACTCTATGATCCTGGAGGACCCTCCTACCCCAAACCCCTTCGACTCTATGATCCTGGAGGACCAACCCAATGCCCTCTGACTCTATGATCCTGGAGGACCAACCCAACGCCCTTCAACTCTTAGATCCTGGAAGACCCTCCAACCCCAAACCCCTTCAACTCTATGATCCTGGAGGACCAACTGAACCCAACGCCTTTCAACTCTATGATCCTGGAGGACCAATCCAGCGCCCTCTGACTCTATGATCTTGGAGGACCATCCTACAGCATCTTCCCTGCAAGCCTATGATCCTGGAGGACCTCTTAACCCAATGCCCTCCAACTCCATGATCTTGGAGGACCCTTCTACCCCCATCTTCCCCACTTCTCTATGATCCCAGTGCTCAAAAACCCCAAATCTGCCTCCCCCCCCATAAAACAAATTAAGGCCCAACCTGAAGGCGGAGGATTCTGTTCTGGTGGTTGAGGTCCAGGAGTTGCTGCTCGATGGGGTCCATCGTTCCGGTGGCTAATTAATTGGCATTAATTAGGATTGAGGAGGTTGGGAGAGGTGGGGGAGGTCGGAGAGGGAAAGGGGGAGAAGGAAGGTCCTCCCAGGTCATAGAGATGGAGGGAGTGGGGTAGGAAGGCCCTCCAAGACGATAGAGTTGAGGGGTGGAGGTTGGATGGTCCTCCAAGGTCATAGAGATGGAAGGGAGTGGGGTAGGAGGGTCCTCCAAGACCATAGAGTTGAGGGGTGGAGGTTGGAGGGTCCTCCAAGGTCATAGAGATGGAAGGGAGAGGTGTATGAGGGTCCTCCAAGGTCCTAGAGATGAAGGGGAATGGGGTAGGAAGGTCCTCCAAGATCATAGAGTTGAGGGGTGGAGGTTGGAGGGTCCTCCAAGGTCATAGAGATGGAGGGGAGAGGTGTATGAGGGTCCTCCAAGGTCATAGAGATGGAGGGGAGTGGGATAGAAAGGTCCTCCGAGATCATAGAGTTGAGGGGTGGAGGTTGGAGGGTCCTCCAAGGTCATAGAGATGGAAGGGAGAGGTGTATGAGGGTCCTCCAAGGTCATAGAGATGGAGGGGAGTGGGGTAGAAAGGTCCTCCGAGATCATAGAGTTGAGGGGTGGAGATTGGAGGGTCCTCCCAGGTCATAGAGATGGAGGGGAGTGGGATAGGAGGGTCCTCCAAGATCACAGAGAGGGAAGGGAGATGTGTATGAGGGTCCTCCAAGATCATAGAGTTGAGGGGTGGAGGTTGGAGGGTCCTCCGAGATCACAGAGATGGAGAGTGGGGGTTGGAGGGTCCTCCAGGGTCATAGAGCCGTAGGCTAGAAAGTCACCTGCCCAAAGGAAGTCCCCCCTCTCCAGGCTGTAGCAGCGGATCCTGACGGTGCGTGAGAAGCTTTTGCTCCCAGCTTCTAATTAAAACGATTAATTAGAAGCCGGTAATTTGCCTTTCTCTTCCTTCCAGGCCTTCGCAGCTCCTTTTCTCCCCTCCCCAAGGGCGAAGTCCCAGCAGTTGGAGGGCAGCGCCCAGTTCCAAAGTCCTCTCCCTCCCCCACCAACTCTATGATCCTGGAGGACCCTCCTACCCCACCCTCCCCGTGGCTCTATGGCCTTGGAGGACCGTCCTACCCCGATCCCTGCAACTCTATGGCCTTGCAGAACCTACCTAGCCCCACCCAACAGCTCTATGATCCTGGAGGACCATCCTACTCCAGTGCCCTCCAACTCTATGATCTTGGAGGACTCTCCTACCCCAGTGCCCTCCAACTCTATGATCCCGGAGGACCCTCTTACCCCAATTCCTCAACTGTATGATCTTGGAGGACCCTCCAACCCTTACCCTCCATCTCTATGATCCTGGAGGACCCTCCAACCCCTACCCTTCATCTCTATGATCTTGGAGGACCCTCCTTCCCAACCGCTCCACAACTCTATGATCTTGGAGGACCATCCCCAATCCAACCACCCCCCAACTCTATGACCCTCCTGAAGGACCCCCATACCCTACAACTCTATGATCCTGGAGGACCCCCCTACCCCACAACTCTATGATCCTCCTGAAGGACCCCCATACCCTACAACTCTATGATCCTGGAGGACCCTCCTACCCCACAACTCTATGATCCTCCTGGAGGACCCCCCTACCCCACAACTCTATGATCCTCCTGGAGGACCCCCCTACCCCACAACTCTATGATCCTCCTGGAGGACCCTCCTACCCCACAACTCTATGATCCTTCTGGAGGACCCCCCTACCCCACAACTCTATGACCCTGGAGGACCCCCATACCCCACAACTCTATGATCCTCCTGGAGGACCCTCCTACCCCACAACTCTATGATCCTCCTGGAGGACCCTCCTACCCCACAACTCTATGACCCTGGAGGACCCCCCTACCCCACAACTCTATGATCCTCCTGGAGGACCCTCCTACCCCACAACTCTATGACCCTGGAGGACCCTCCTACCCCACAACTCTATGACCCTGGAGGACCATCTCGTCCGCCCTTCCATTCCACCAACAGAAACGCCGCGCCAAGGCCAACGTAAAACTCATTTAATTAACGAACGTTCGCTCGTTAAGAGCGGGGAAAGTTCTGGAACTCCTTCTGATCTTTGTGGAAGAGTTGAGCCAGGATGTGGTCGGCTGTGTCCATGAAGTATTTGTTCATACGAAGGGTCTTCAGTGCCTGGAGGAAAACAAGGTGGCTACCAAATATGGGGCTGTGGCTACCAAATATGGGGTCTGGCTACCAAATATGGGGCTGTGGCTACCAAATATGGGGTCTGGCTACCAAATGTGGGGCTGTGGCTACCAAATATGGGGTCTGGCTACCAAATATGGGGCTATGGCTACCAAATATGGGGCTGTGGCTACCAAATATGGGGCTATGGCTACCAAATATGGGGTCTGGCTACCAAATATGGGGCTATGGCTACCAAATATGGGGTCTGGCTACCAAATATGGGGCTGTGGCTACCAAATATGGGGTCTGGCTACCAAATGTAGGTCTGGCTACCAAATATGGGGCTGTGGCTACCAAATATGGGGCTATGGCTACCAAATGTAGGCCTGTGGCTACCAAATATGGGGCTGTGGCTACCAAATATGGGGCTATGGCTACCAAATATGGGGTCTGGCTACCAAATATGGGGCTATGGCTACCAAATATGGGGTCTGGCTACCAAATATGGGGCTGTGGCTACCAAATATGGGGTCTGGCTACCAAATGTAGGTCTGGCTACCAAATATGGGGCTGTGGCTACCAAATATGGGGCTATGGCTACCAAATGTAGGCCTGTGGCTACCAAATATGGGGCTGTGGCTACCAAATATGGGGCTATGGCTACCAAATATGGGGTCTGGCTACCAAATATGGGGCTATGGCTACCAAATATGGGGTCTGGCTACCAAATATGGGGCTGTGGCTACCAAATATGGGGTCTGGCTACCAAATGTAGGTCTGGCTACCAAATATGGGGCTGTGGCTACCAAATATGGGGCTATGGCTACCAAATGTAGGCCTGTGGCTACCAAATATGGGGCTGTGGCTACCAAATATGGGGCTGTGGCTACCAAATATGGGGCTGTGGCTATCAAATATGGACCCATAGCTGCCAAATATTGATCCACAGCTACCAACTGTGGAGCCGGAGCTGCGAAATAGGGATCCATTGCCAGTAGAAAAGCATGGCTGCCAAATAAGGAGCCATTGCCACCCGTATAGACCGATGGCTGCCAAATTAGGAGCCACTGCTACTAATAGAGACCAATGGCTGCCAAATAAGGATCCATTATGTCCTACATAGACCAGGGGCTGCCAAAAACGGAGCCACTACTCCCAACATAAACCACAGCTGCCAGATATTGATCCACTGCTCCAATAGAGTCCCATGGCTGCCAAATAGGGACCCATTGCTCCTAATTGAGGCTAATCGCTGCCAAATTGGGACCCAAAGATGCCAAATAGGGAACCTTAGCCAATAGGGAAGCATGGCTGCCATATAGGGATCCATTCCTATCCTATATGGACCCATGGCTGCCAAATGGGGATCCATGGTTCCCCACATAGACCCAGAGCTGCCAAATACAGCCCCATGTCTGCCAAATAAGGAGCCAGTGCTCCCCATATAGACCCAGAGCTGCCAAATAGTGATCCATTAGCCCCCATACAGACCCATAGCTGCCAAATAGAGATCCATTAGCCCCCATATAGACCCGCAGCTGCCAAATAGAGATCCATTGGACCCCATATAGACCCGCAGCTGCCAAATAGAGATCCATTAGACCCCATATAGACCCGCAGCTGCCAAATAGAGATCCATTAGACCCCATATAGACCCACGGCTGCCAAATAGAGATCCATTAGACCCCATATAGACCCGCAGCTGCCAAATAGAGATCCATTAAACCACATATAGACCCGCAGCTGCCAAATAGAGATCCATTAGCCCCCATATAGACCCGCAGCTGCCAAATAGAGACCCATTAGACCCCATACAGACCCGCAGCTGCCAAATACTGACCCATTAGCCCCCATATAGACCCGCAGCTGCCAAATAGAGATCCATTAGCCCCCATACAGACCCATAGCTGCCAAATAGAGATCCATTAGACCCCACATAGACCCGCAGCTGCCAAATAGAGATCCATTAGACCCCATATAGACCCGCAGCTGCCAAATAGAGATTCATTAGACCCCATATAGACCCGCAGCTGCCAAATAGAGATCCATTAGACCCCACATAGACCCACGGCTGCCAAATAGAGATCCATTAGACCCCATATAGACCCACGGCTGCCAGATAGAGATCCATTAGACCCCATATAGACCCGCAGCTGCCAAATACTGACCAATTAGCCCCCATACAGACCCGCAGCTGCCAGATAGAGATCCATTAGACCCCATATAGACCCGCGGCTGCCAAATAGAGATCCATTAGACCCCATACAGACCCATAGCTGCCAGATAGAGATCCATTAGCCCCCATATAGACCCGCAGCTGCCAAATACTGACCCATTAGCCCCCATACAGACCCATAGCTGCCAGATACGGATCCGTGGCTACCACCCTCGCCCTTTGGGCTACCAACCCCCCCCCCCCCCCCCTTTCCTCACCTCCTTCCCAGTGCTGTAAGCCACCACCAGCAGCAGCTCCTCGTCACAAACGCTCCTCAAGTAATGCTGAGTCCCGACAGGGAAAAAAATCACGTCCCCTATCGTGACATCGAACGTCACCGTCGTCCCCGATTCCATCACTAAGCCGGCCTGGATTAACAGAGCCGTTAATGAGTGGCGTTAACGACTTCCGGGTAACCATAGAGTCCCCATAGCTGCTAAATAGGGGTCCATTAGACCCCATAAACACCATAGCTGCTAAATAGGGAGCCATTAGACCCAGTAGACCCATAGCTGCTAAATAAAGATCCATTAGACCCAATAGACCCCCACAGCTGCCAAATAGGGATCCATTAAACTCCATAAACCCCATAGCTGCCAAATAGGGAGCCATTAGACCCCCGTAGCTGCAAAATAGGGATCTGTTGGACCCAATGGACCCCCATAGCTGCCAAAAAGGGATCCATTAGACCTAATAGACCCCCACAGCTGCCAAATAGGGATCCATTAGACCCCCACAGCTGCCAAATAGGGATCCATTAGACCCAATAGACCTCCATAACTGCCAAACAGGGATCCATTAGACCAGCACAGCTGCCAAATAGGGATCTATTAAACCCCAGCTTGACCCCCAGCTGCCAAATAGGGATCCATTAGACCCAATAGACCTCCATAGCTGCCAAATAGGGATCCAATAGACCCCCACAGCTGCCAAATAGGGATCCATAATTCCCCACCTAGACCCATAACTGCCAAATAGGGATCCATCAAACCCAATAGACCCCCATAACTGCCAAATAGGGATCCCCTAGACCCCCACAGCTGCCAAATAGGGATCCATTAAACCCCAGCTTGACCCCCAGCTGCCAAATAGGGAGCCATTAGACCCCCCATAGCTGCCAAATAGGGATCCATTAGACCCAATAGACCCACATAACTGCCAAATAGGGAGCCATTAGACCCAATAGACCTCCATAGCTGCAAAATAGGGATCCACTAGACCCCCACAGCTGCCAAATAGGGATCCATAATTCCCCACCTAGACCCATAACTGCCAAATAGGGATCCATTAGACCCAATAGACCCCCATAGCTGCCAAATAGGGATCCATTAGACCCAATAGACCCCCATAGCTGCCAAATAGGGATCCATTAGACCTAATAGACCCCCACAGCTGCCAAATAGGGAGCCATTAGACCCAATAGACCCCCATAGCTGCCAAATAGGGAGCCATTAGACCCAATAGACCCCCATAACTGCCAAATAGGGATCCATAATTCCCCACCTAGACCCATAACTGCCAAATAGGGATCCATTAGATCCAATAGACCTCCATAACTGCCAAATAGGGAGCCATTAGACCCAATAGACCTCCATAGCTGCAAAATAGGGATCCAATAGACCCCCACAGCTGCCAAATAGGGATCTATTAAACCCCAGCTTGACCCCCAGCTGCCAAATAGGGATCCATTAGATCCACTAGACCCCCACAGCTGCCAAATAGGGATCCACTAGACCCCCACAGCTGCCAAATAGGGATCCATAATTCCCCACCTAGACCCATAACTGCCAAATAGGGATCCATTAGACCCAATAGACCCCCATAGCTGCCAAATAGGGATCCATTAAACCCCAGCTTGACCCCCAGCTGCCAAATAGGGATCCATGAGACGCCATATAGACCCATAGCTGCCAAATAGGGATCCATGAGACCCAATAGATCCCCACAGCTGCCAAATAGGGATCCATTAGACCCAATAGACCCCCATAACTGCCAAATAGGGAGCCATTAGACCCCCGTAGCTGCCAAATAGGGATCCATAATTCCCCACCTAGACCCATAGCTGCCAAATAGGGATCCATTAAACCCCAGCTTGACCCCCAGCTGCCAAATAGGGATCCATTAAACCCCAGCTTGACCCCCAGCTGCCAAATAGGGATCCATTAAACCCAATAGACCCCCATAGCTGCCAAATAGGGATCCATGAGACCCAATAGACCCCCCCAGCTGCCAAATAGGGATCCCCCAGCGTTAATTAACCCCGGAGCGCGTTAATTAGCCCCTTCCCAAGCCCTCCATACCCTGGCGCAGCCGCTGACGACGTAGGCGAGCTCATTAGCATTGAAATGGTAATGAGGCTGGCCCAGCTCGTTAGCGAAGATCCTTAACGAGGCCAAGGTGAGCGAGCGGCTCTCCTAGGATCAATTAAAACTCATTAACAGGTCCTGGAAGGGGAAGGGAGGGGGAGGGAAGGTCCTGGAAGGGGGGGAAAGGATTAATTAAGGTACCTCATTAAGGGATTGGATGTAAATGAGCTCCATGGGGGACTTGGAGGTCCTGGCAGAGCGAAACGGAGCCCATTGGAATTGGCCACCATGGAAAGGGTGGATGGGAGAAGCTGGAAGGGATGGAAAGGTCCTGGCAGGTTAATGGAGGGGAAATTAATGAGTTTCGGATGCTAATTAAGGTCCTGGAAGGTTAATTAGGGGCTCAGCTTCAACCTTAATGAGGCTAGGATGCTAATTAAGGTCCTGGAAGGGTAATTAGGGGGAAATCTCCCAGCCTAATGAAGCTATGAGGCTAATTAAGGTCCTGGAAGGGCGATAGGTGGCTTTCTCCTTTTTAATGAGCCTATGAGGCTAATTAAGGTCCTGGTAGGTTAATTAGGGGCTCAGATCCAACCTTAATGAGTTTCGGATGCTAATTAAGGTCCTGGAAGGGTAATGAGGGGCTCAGATCCAACCTTAATGAGGCTAGGATGCTAATTAAGGTCCTGGAAGGGTAATGAGGGGCTCAGATCCAACCTTAATGAGGCTAGGATGCTAATTAAGGTCCTGGAAGGGTAATGAGGGGCTCAGATCCAACCTTAATGAGGCTAGGATGCTAATTAAGGTCCTGGAAGGGTAATGAGGGGCTCAGATCCAATCTTAATGAGGCTAGGATGCTAATTAAGGTCCTGGAAGGGTAATGAGGGGCTCAGATCCGACCTTAATGAGGCTAGGATGCTAATTAAGGTCCTGGAAGGGTAATGAGGGGCTCAGATCCAACCTTAATGAGGCTAGGATGCTAATTAAGGTCCTGGAAGGGTAATGAGGGGCTCAGATCCAACCTTAATGAGGCTAGGATGCTAATTAAGGCCCTGGAAGGGTAATTAGGGGCTCTTATCCAACCTTAATGAGTTTCGGATGCTAATTAAGGTCCTGGAAGGTTAATTAGGGGGAAATCTCCCAGTCTAATAAAGCTATGAGGCTAATTAAGGTCCTGGAAGGGCGATAGGTGGCTTTCTCCTTCTTAATGAGCCTATGAGGCTAATTAAGGCCCTGGAAGGTTAATTAGGGGCTCATCTCTGACCGTAATGAGGCTAGGATGCTAATTAAGGTCCTGGAAGGGTAATTAGGGGAAAACCTCCCAGCCTAATGAAGCTACGCGTCTAATTAAGGTCCTGGAAGGGCGATAGGGAGCTCAACTCCCACCTTAACGACCTTTGCGACCCTAATTAAGGTCCAGTCTGTTAATTACCTCCGAGGTCATACAAATAGCGCCACACTTGGCTGTCTTCCGAGCGCGTGTAATTAACGCTGTGCACTAATTGGCCCAAATTAGGCGGCAGGTTGACGACTTGGGCCTCCGAAAACTTCCGGAACGTTCGGATGAATTTCACTCCACCAATCGGCTGCCAGCAAACAAAGAATCAAGCGAAGGGAGCCAATCAGAAGCTTTGGAGCTTCCAGGACCCAAATATCCCATAATTCCCCTTCCAGGACCCAAATATCCCATAATTCCCCTTCCAGGACGCAAATTCCCCATCTTTCCCCTTCCAGGACCCAATCAATGCAATTTTCCCCTTCCAGGACCCAAATTCCCCATCTTTCCCCTTCCAGGACCCAAATATCCCATAATTCCCCTTCCAGGACCCAAATTCCCCATAATTCCCCTTTCAGGACCCAAATATCCCATAATTCCCCTTCCAGGACCCAACCAATGCAATTTTCCCCTTCCAGGACCCAAATATCCCATAATTCCCCTTCCAGGACCCAAATTCCTCATCTTTCCCCTTCCAGGACCCAACCAATGCAATTTTCCCCTTCCAGGACCCAAATTCCCCATGTTTTCCCCTTCCAGGACCCAACCAAAGCAATTCTCCCCTTCCAGGACCCAAATATCCCATAATTCCCCTTCCAGGACCCAACCAATGCAATTTTCCCCTTCCAGGACCCAAATATCCCATAATTCCCCTTATAGGACCCAAATTCCCCATGTTTTCCCCTTCCAGGACCCAATCAATGCAATTTTCCCCTTCCAGGACCCAAATATCCCATAATTCCCCTTCCAGGACCCAAATTCCCCATCTTTCCCCTTCCAGGACCCAACCAATGCAATTTTCCCCTTCCAGGACCCAAATTCCCCATGTTTTCCCCTTCCAGGACCTAAATTCTCCATTTTTCCCCTTCCAGGACCCAACCAATGCGATTTTCCCCTTCCAGGACCCAAATTCTCCATCTCTCCCCTTCCAGGACCCAACCAATGCAATTTTCCCCTTCCAGGACCCAAATATCCCATAATTCCCCTTCCAGGTCCCAAATTCCCCATCTTTCCCCTTCCAGGACCCAACCAATGCAATTTTCCCCTTCCAGGACCCAAATATCCCATAATTCCCCTTCCAGGGCCCAAATTCCCCATCTCTCCCCTTCCAGGACCCAACCAATGCAAACCAACCTCATAGGAGGACCCAACCACCTCACTATTCACCTTCCAGGACCCAACTTCCCCATAGAACTCAATAGAGCCCTATTGGAACCTCATAGGAGGACCCAACCACCTCACTATTCACCTTCCAGGACCCGAATTCCCTATAGAACTCAATAGAGCCCTATTGGAACCTCATAGGAGGACCCAACCACCTCACTATTCACCTTCCAGGACCCAACTTCCCTATAGAACTCAATAGAGCCCTATTGGAACCTCATAGGAGGACCCAACCACCTCACTATTCACCTTCCAGGACCCAACCTCCCTATAGAACTCAATAGAACCCTATTGGAACCTCATAGGAGGACCCAACCACCTCACTATTCACCTTCCAGGACCCAACTTCCCCATAGAACTCAATAGAGCCCCAATGGAACCTCATAGGGGGACCCAACCACCTCACTATTCCCCTTCCAGGACCCAACCTCCCTATGAACCTCAATATCTCCTCAACGGATCGAGGTAGAGAGATGCAACCAACGCCAGTTTCCCCTTCCAGGACCCAACCTCCATATATTCCACTGTAGATCCCCAATAGAACCTCATAGAGGGATGCAACCACCTCACTTTTCCCCTTCCAGGACCCAACCTCCCTATAGAACTCAATAGAGACCCAATAGATCAACATAGAGGGATGCAACCACCGCACTTTTCCCCTTCCAGGACCCAACCTCCCTATAGAACTCAATAGAGCCCCAATGGAACCTCATAGGGAGATGCAACCACCGCACTTTTCCCCTTCCAGGACCCAACTTCCCTATAGAACTCAATAGAGACCCAACAGATCAACATAGAGGGATGCAACCACCGCCAATTTCCCCTTCCAGGACCCAACCTCCCTATAGAACTCAATAGAGCCCTATTGGAAACTCATAGGAGGACCCAACCACCTCACTATTCACCTTCCAGGACCCAACCTCCCTATGAACCTCAATATCTCCCCAATGGATCAACATAGAGGGATGCAACCACCGCACTTTTCCCCTTCCAGGACCCAACCTCCCTATAGAACTCAATAGAGCCCCAATGGAACCTCATAGGGAGATGCAACCACCGCACTTTTCCCCTTCCAGGACCCAACCTCCCTATGAACCTCAATATCTCCTCAACGGATCAACATAGAGGGATGCAACCACCGCCAATTTCCCCTTCCAGGACCCAACCTCCATCCAAACCACTGCAATTAACCCCTTCAGCACCACTTCACGCCCCAACCGAGCCCCATTTCCCCTTCCAGGACCCAACCTCCCTATAGAACTCAATAGAGCCCCAATGGAACCTCATAGGGAGATGCAACCACCGCACTTTTCCCCTTCCAGGACCCAACCTCCCTATAGAACTCAATAGAGCCCTATTGGAAACTGATAGGAGGACCCAACCACCTCACTATTCACCTGCCAGGACCCAACCTCCCTATAGAACTCAATATCTCCCCAATGGATCAACATAGAGGGATGCAACCACTGCCAATTTCCCCTTCCAGGACCCAACCTCCCTATAGAACTCAATAGAGACCCAATGGAACAAGGCAGAGGGATGCAACCACCGCACTTTTCCCCTTCCAGGACCCAACCTCCCTATGAACCTCAATATCTCCTCAACCGATCGAGGTAGAGGGATGCAACCAACGCCAGTTTCCCCTTCCAGGACCCAACCCCCATCCAAACCACTGCAATTAACCCCTTCAGCACCACTTCACGCCCCAACCGAGCCCCATTTCCCCCTCCCCTTTTGAACCTGAAGCGCCCGAGCCGCGATGTCTTCCGGCGTGCCCAAAAACGCCTCATCCGCCTCCAACGTCTTCACCTCCTCGTGGCTCCCGAAGAAGAGGAGCAGCACCGCCTCCCCCTCCCCGCAATTCTTGATCCAATGCACGGCGTTGCGGGGGAAAAAAACCACCTGGCCTTCGGTACCGTTGAAAACGGTGACGTTTTCGGCCGTCACCACGCCGATCCAAACCGTCCCCTAGGATATTTCCTCCTTTCGTTCCCCCGCGAGGAAAACGGTTTTTCGAGTAGGGGAAGAGGAACCCCGAGGATGCGAGTAAAAGCGGGACGATCGGCAGGAAGGTGGAAGAGAGAAAAAGGAAGAGTGGGGAAAAAGAAGGCGAGCATCGGCGCTTACTTGCAGGACGTAGCCGTGCTCGTTGGCGTTGAAATGCCAATGGGGGACGCGGAGCCCGCCGGGTTTGATCCTCAATAGGGCCACGCTCATTTGGGATTGCTTCTGGTGGAGGCTTTCCCCAAATTCCTGCCCTTCTGGGTCGGGGTAATGATCCGAATCGGATCGGTACGTCGCCCATTGGATCGTGCCGCCGGGGTATTTTTGGGGCTGGAGGGTTGGGGGTGAAAAGATTCCATTCATTTTCCTTTCTTCCTTTCCTTTCCTTTCCTTTCCTTTCCTTTCCTTTCCTTTCCTTTCCTTTCCTTTCCTTTCCTTTCCTTTCCTTTCCTTTCCTTCCCTTCCCTTCCCTTCCCTTCCCTTCCCTTCCCTTCCCTTCCCTTCCCTTCCCTTCCCTTCCCTTCCCTTCCCTTCCCTTCCCTTCCCTTCCCTTCCCTTCCCTTCCCTTCCCTTCCCTTCCCTTCCCTTCCCTTCCCTTCCCTTCCCTTCCCTTCCCTTCCCTTCCCTTCCCTTCCCTTCCCTTCCCTTCCCTTCCCTTCCCTTCCCTTCCCTTCCCTTCCCTTCCCTTCCTTCCCTTCCCTTCCCTTCCCTTCCCTTCCCTTCCCTTCCCTTCCCTTCCCTTCCCTTCCCTTCCCTTCCCTTCCCTTCCCTTCCCTTCCCTTCCCTTCCCTTCCCTTCCCTTCCCTTCCCTTCCCTTCCCTTCCCTTCCCTTCCCTTCCCTTCCCTTCCCTTCCCTTCCCCTTCCCCTTCCCCTTCCCCTTCCCCTTCCCTTCCCTTCCCTTCCCCTTCCCCTTCCCCTTCCCCTTCCCCTTCCCCTTCCCCTTCCCTTCCCCTTCCCCTTCCCCTTCCCCTTCCCTATTTCCCCTTCCCCATTTCCCCTTCCCTTCCCCTTCCCCTTCCCCTTCCCCTTCCCTTCCCTTCCCCTTCCCCTTCCCCTTCCCCTTCCCCTTCCCCATTTCCCCTTCCCCTTCCCCATTTCCCCTTCCCCTTCCCCTTCCCCTTCCCCTTCCCCATTTCCCCTTCCCCATTTCCCCTTCCCCTTCCCCTTCCCCATTTCCCCTTCCCCATTTCCCCTTCCCCTTCCCCTTCCCCTTCCCCATTTCCCCTTCCCCTTCCCCTTCCCCTTCCCCTTTCCCATTTCCCCTTCCCCATTTCCCCTTCCCTTCCCCTTCCCCTTCCCCATTTCCTCATCCCCATCCCCATCCCCATTTCCCCTTCCCCTTCCCTTCCCCTTCCCTTCCCCTTCCCCTTCCCCTTCCCCTTCCCCTTCCCCTTCCCCATTTCCCCTTCCCCTTCCCCTTCCCCTTCCCCTTCCCCATTTCCCCTTCCCCTTCCCCTTCCCCTTCCCTTTCCCTTTTCCCCTTCCCCTTCCCCTTCCCCTTCCCCTTCCCCTTCCCCTTCCCCTTCCCCTTCCCCTTCCCCTTCCCCTTCCCCATTTCCCCTTCCCCTTCCCCTTCCCCTTCCCCTTCCCCTTCCCCTTCCCCTTCCCCTTCCCCATTTCCCCTTCCCCTTCCCCTTCCCCTTCCCCTTCCCCTTCCCCTTCCCCATTTCCCCTTTCCCTTCCCCTTCCCCATTTCCCCTTCCCCTTCCCCTTCCTTTTCCCCTTCCCCTTCCCCATTTCCTCATCCCCTTCCCCTTCCCCTTCCGCTTCCCCATTTCCCCTTCCCCATTTCCCCTTCCCCTTCCCCTTCCCCTTCCCCATTTCCCCTTCCCCTTCCCCTTCCCCTTCCCCTTCCCCATTTCCCCTTCCCCTTCCCCTTCCCTTCCCCTTCCCCATTTCCCCTTCCCCATTTCCCCTTCCCTTCCCCTTCCTCTTCCCCTTCCTCTTCCCCTTCCCCCACCTCAGATCGACTCAAACGATTCAGGAACCCAAACCGAACGTCCACCAGCGGTCGGGACGAAACGGCTCCATCCTTAACGAGCACCTCGTTAACATTCATCTCATTAACTCTCATCTCATTAACGAGGCCCCCGGCCTTGGTGTAAACGAGGGAGAGGCTGAGGACGCCGACGGCCGTGGTGAGGAGGCCGGCCAGGAGGCAAACGGCAAACAGCTTCAGCAGGGATCGGCGGCCTGGGGAGGCCTGAGGGCAGGGGAGAGTTGGCCAGGCCCAAGCCAGGCCAAAGGGAGCCAAACCGGGCCAAAGCAGGCCGACTTGGGCCAAGCCAGGCCAAGCTGAGTGAAGCCAGGCCAAGTTGGGCCAAGCTGGGTGAAGCCAGGCCAAGTTGGGCCAAGTTGAACCATACTGAGACAAGCCAGGCCAAGCTGAACCAAGCTGGGTGAAGCCAGGCCAAGTTGGGCCAAGCCAGGCCAAGCTGAGCCAAGTTGAGCCAAGCTGGGTGAAGCCAGGCCAAGCTGAGCCAAGTCAGGCTGAGCTGAGTGAAGCCAGGGCAAGCTGAGCCAAGTCAGGCTGAGCTGAGTGAAGCCAGGGCAAGCTGAACCAAGCTGAGTGAAGCCAGGCCAAGTTGGGCCAAGCCAGGCCAAGCTGAGTGAATCCAGGCCAAGCTGAGCCAAGCCAGGCCAAGCAGAGTGAAGCCAGGCCAATTTGAGCTGAGCCAGGCCAAGCTGAGCCAAGCCAGGCCAAGCCAGGCCAAGCAGAGTGAAGCCACGCCAAGTTGAGCCAAGCTGGGTGAAGCCAGGCCAATTTGAGCCATGCTGAGCCAAGCCAGGCCAAGTTGGGCCAAGCCAGGCCAAGCTGAGCCAAGCCAGGCCAAGCTGAGCAAAGCTGAGCCAAGCCAGGCCAAGCAGAGTGAAGCCAGGCCAAATTGGGCCAAGCCAGGCCAAGCTGAGCCAAGCCAGGCCAAGCTGAGCCAAGTTGAGCCAAGCTGAGCAAAGCCAGGCCAAGCTGAGCCATGGTGAACCAAGCCAGGCCAAGCTGAGTCAAGCCAGGCCAATTTGAGCTGAGCCAGGCCAAGCTGAGCCAAGCCAGGCCAAGCCAGGCCAAGCAGAGTGAAGCCAGGCCAAGTTGGGCCAAGCTGAGTGAAGCCAGGCCAAGTTGGGCCAAACCAGGCCAAGCTGAGCCAAGCTGGGTGAAGCCAGGCCAATTTGAGCTGAGCTGGGCCAAGCTGAGTGAAGCCAGGCCAAACTGAACCAAGCCAGGCCAAGTTGGGCCAGGCCAGGCCAAGCAGAGTGAAGCCAGGCCAAGCCAGGCCTACCCAACCCCAACCCCAACCCCAATCCCAATCCCAACCCCAATCCCAACCCCAACCCCAACCCCAACCCCAATCCCAACCCCAATCCCAACCCCAATCCCAATCCCAATCCCAATCCCAATCCCAATCCCAATCCCAACCCCAATCCCAATCCCAATCCCAATCCCAATCCCAACCCCAATCCCAATCCCAACCCCAACCCCAACCCCAACCCCAACCCCAATCCCAATCCCAATCCCAACCCCAATCCCAATCCCAATCCCAATCCCAACCCCAATCCCAACCCCAATCCCAATCCCAATCCCAACCCCAATCCCAATCCCAATCCCAACCCCAATCCCAACCCCAATCCCAATCCCAACCCCAATCCCAACCCCAATCCCAACCCCAATCCCAACCCCAATCCCAATCCCAACCCCAATCCCAACCCCAACCCCAATCCCAACCCCAATCCCAATCCCAATCCCAACCCCAACCCCAATCCCAACCCCAATCCCAACCCCAATCCCAACCCCAATCCCAACCCCAATCCCAATCCCGATCCCAATCCCAATCCCAACCCCAATCCCAATCCCAACCCAATCCCGATCCCAATCCCAACCCCAATCCCAATCCCAACCCCAA